GGTGTGCAGAGGGAGTCTGCTGTGGGCTGAGGGCCACCGCTGTGGTCCTGGGGTTTCCTCAGGGCCTATGATCACTGGGCATCGTGCTGCACACGTCATCCCAGCACTTGGGAGGCTGAGGCAGGAGGACCACAGGTTTGAGCCCTGCCCAGGCTACATCGTGATTTAGTAAGAATCTATCTCAAAATTAAAAATTAAAAAAAGGGCTGGGGATGGAGCTGAATGCACAGGACCTGGGTTTAATCCCCGGCACCACAAGGGGGGAAAAAAAGGCAGAGGACCCAAAATGTCTATTCGCGGAGTTACTGTTCACCTGTGTGCCAGCTTACCCTTTAGTGGGCAGAAGCAAGGACCGAAACTCATCAACCAGGTTAAAATACAAACCACCTGCTCAGGTCAGAAGTTCAGAGATGGGAACCCAGTTAAATGCTGTTTCCTGAGGCTGGGCCCCTGTGGGACTTGTGGATTCAAGTATCAGAGGAAAACACAGACCTGAGGATGGACTCGAAGTACCTTTAAACTTAGGAATTCAGAAGACAGGGGCTTGGAAGGGGGAAAATTTAAAAAAAGAAAGAAAACAGCTGGGGGGGATGAAAAGGAATTGGAGTAACCTTGATTACATCTGGAAGCTACAGTTTTCTCAAAATTACAGTTTGTTCTTTGAGACAGGGCCTCAGTATGTGGTCCAGGAGGGCCTTGAACTCACTACGGAGCCCAAGGGAGATCAAAAAAGCAAAAGAAAAATTTCTTAATTAACTAGTTCATTAAAATAAAATAAATAGGACCGGGGATTTAGCTCAGTGGTTCCACCGCCTGCCTCGTAAGCCCAAGGTCCCAAGTTCGATCCTCAGTACCAAAAAATAAATAAAATAAAATAAATAAATCTTGGAAGCATCCTATGTGTCCACCAACAGATGACTGGAAAGGAAATGCAGTGTTCACACACAGCGCTGGACAAGCATAATGTGAGGTGCATTCTCTGCTGTAAAGAAGGGTGAACTTGAATCATTTGTAGGAAAATGGATGCACCTAGAGTCTGTAATTTTCAGTGAAATAAATCAGACACACAAGCTTCAGGAGCACCTGATTTCACTCATATGAGCAGCCCAAACTATAAATAACTTCAAGAGCAAAACAAGGTGGAAACAGGAAAGGGAGACCTTCGGAGAGAAGGGCGGGGCCTGGGGTGGAGTGGGAGGGAGGACGGGAAGCAAAAAGGCCCAGGATTCATGGTGTCCCCCAGCTCCCCTCCAGGAGGGTGTTCATTAGGCACTGCATGTACTAATAAAAAAATTTTAAGTAAAAATTTTAAAAACCCAGGAGTACTCATGTCCGTGATCTCAGCACTCAGGAGGCTGAGGCAGGAGGATCACAAGTTGGAGTCCAGCTTCGGAATTTAGTGACTTGGCAATCAGAAAATAAAAAAGGGTGGAGGATGTAGCTCAGTGTGAAGACCCCAGGTCAATCCCCAGTAAAGCCAAAAAAATAAGTAAATAAGTACAGTTTTTTGTTTTGTTTTGTTTTTTTGGTACCAGGGATCAAACTCAGGACCTTGTGCTTGCAAGGCAGGTGCTATGCCACTGAGCTAAATCCCCAGGCCTTTTTTTGGTGTTTTTGAGACAGGTTCTCACTCTGTAGCCCAGGCTGGCTTCAAACTCACAGCCATCCTCCTGCCTCAGCCTCCCGAGTGCTGGGATTACAGGTGTGCACCACCACAACCTGCTAAAAAAAACTAAATAAAACCATTTGTTTTAAACTGCCAAATGAGGTCCTCTCTAGTATTTCATTATTAAAATTTTTAACTCAAAAAAGTTAAAGGGGGGCCAGGGATTTAGATCAGTGGCACTGAGCCTGCCTCGCAAGAGCAAGGTCCTGAGTTCAATCCCTGGTACCGCAAAAAAAAAAAAAAAAGGATTTTTGGCCAAGGATTTAGCTCAGTGGTTCTGCCGCCTGCCTTGCAAGCTCAAGGACCCAAGTTCGATCCCCAGTACCAAAAAAAAAAAGTTAAAGGGATTTCAATTTTAATGCAACACTCATATACCCACCACCTAGACGCTGTCATTTATATTTTATTTTTTTTTTTTTGGTACCAGGGATCAAACTTGGGACCTTGCACTTGTGAATCAGCCAGAGGAACCATTGAGCTAAATCCCCAGCCCTATTTTATTATTCTTGATGACATATCTATGCATCTGTCCTTGTTGCTTTTGTTGTTTTCTGCAACAGGGTCTCTCCATGTAGCCCAGGCTGGCCTTGATCTTCAGATCCTCCTGTCTCAGCCTCCCAGATGCGGGGACGAAGGTACGCACTACCACACCTGCCGAGCCAATTCATACAAGGGACCTGACCAAAGTCAGTTTGACCTCTGAGGAAACTGAGGACGCTGTCCCTGCACCGTGCCTGTGTCACAGATTGGGAAACTGAGGCCCAGGAAGCCCAGCTCCAGCCGCTGTGGGCTCTGAGCCCAGACTTCTGAGGCCTCTGCCCAGCCCATCACCTGCCCAAGGTTGGTCGTGTCCTGCATGGAGGCCTTGTGACACCAGCACCTCCAGGTGTCTCTGTTTGTCCCTGTCACGCGTCACCTTCAGGCCCCGTTGCCTGGGGCAGGTGATAGGGCCACAACCTGTGCTCTGCCATCAAGAAGCAATTAGACAGCGTGGGTGCCAGGGCCCTGACACAGCCGGGAGCTGTCAGCAGCGAGGTGCTCCCACAGCCACTGCGGTGCAGGGACCAGGGGTTTCCAAGCTCTAGATGCTGAAGCCCATGGACACTGTCAGGGCAGCAGACCTGTTCACCTTCTGTCCCCCCGGGGCCCAGAGAGGCTCAGGAACTGCGACAAACTTGGGGTACCTGAAAAGTCAAAATGCCAAATGTCCCCTAACTCTACCGTAGAGACTGCACTTCCCACAGGGCCAGCAGTTACAGAAACCTTTAGGGGTCTGCACCCCAGAACTGGGGACTGAGCCCAGGGCCTTCACACTGAGTTGCACCCCCAGCCCTTTTATATTTCTTATTTTGAGACAAGGTTTTGCTAAGTTGCTAAATTGCCCAGGCAGGAGTCAAACCTGGGACCCTCCTGCCTCAGCCTCCCAGAGTTCTGGGGTAACAAGAGGGTGCCACCTCACCCAGCTAAACTCTCCACAGTCCTGATCACCTCCGCAGAATCTCTTCGCCTGGAATGTCCCATACTCCCAGGTGCCAGGGATTGGGGTGTGAGCATCTGTGGTGAGACCCCCCACTCCCCACCACACCCCTACTGGGAGGACAGAGCCCAGAGGTTCAGGCTCAAGTCTGCTGTTTGGTGTGTGACTCAGTTTCTCCACTGCTTCTGGGGTCTCAGGAGCATGAAGGTCCAAGGATGTAGTTTCTGATTGCCCGGGAGGCCGCAGGGGGCCGGGATTCAAGCCCAGGCCCTGCTGGCTCTGAGCCCTCTGCCCAGCAGCAGCTATGTCCAGGTCCCGGCCTCCATGGGCTCCATCCTGGCCACAGTGACCGCCCCGGGACCCGCTTGTTCTGGAAGCCATGACTCAGCACCAGCCATGACCGTGGCCCAGCCTGGGCTCTGGGAAACCTGGGCTCCCCAAGCCTGTCCTCCCCATTACTGTGGCAACAGCAGCAGCAGCTGCCCCTCCCGAGACCCCCACTGGCGTCCTCAGACGCTGCTGTCCCACTGGACAGCTGCTGCCGGTCACCATGGAAACGCAGCCTGCAGCCTGCATGCCTGTTAGTCCTCAGCAAAGCTGGCATGAGCGTGGGCACCACTCGGAGCCCCGGGCACCAAAATGCCCCGCACCAGGACGATGTGGAGCAGGACAGCTGTCCGGTCCTGACCAGAAACTTGGAACACCCTGGAGCTGCCCTCGTCCGTCCGTACAGGACCATCAAGGGGAATTCATCAGAGGCCATCAGTGCACCCGCTCATTTTCTGGGTCCCTTTTCCTTATTTAATTTTATTTATTTTATTTATTTTGGGGTTCTCTGAGATGAGGTGGCTGTCACATGTAGCCCAGGCTGGCCTCGAACTCACACCGGGCCCGACTGCTGCCTCTTCGGGCGGATGCTGTCATTAGCTTGCTAGCATTGTTAAGATGTGTGTTTCCAGTGCAAAGCTGGGGGTGCTTTATGCAGTCTCCTGTCTCCCCTCGAAAGCACAGCCCTGAAGCCGGGGTGCTCCAGGGCTGGGGGGCGTCTGTGAGCCGAGGGCTTGGGGAGCAGAGAAGCAGGGGCAAAACCCACCCTGCAGCAGAGGGCAGAATGAAGGGGAAGCCAGGTGTCCTCGAGAGGCGAGGGCAGGGGTCCCAGGCAACCAGGTGGGCATCGGGGAAGGAGCCGGCTGGCAGCCCATGGCCCATTGCTCCCGATAACCGTGCACATCCTGTTTGCAGAGTCAGAGATCGATACAGCACCCCACGGCCCGCTGCCAGCAGGAGGAGGCTCAGGAGGGACCTGGGCGCTTTATAAGGCGCCCAGGCTGCAGACAGAGCAGAGCTGGCTCCCCGACACCACAAGCCACCCCCCCGGCTCTTCAGGTGAGATGCTAGGAGGGCACCAGGCACTCCCAGAGACAGACAGGCACCCTCCTGGCCCGGGCATGACACAGACCCAGCTCTAGGCTCACCCTGGACTCCATCTCCAGCCCTGTCCTAGACCAGCTTGGGCCGAAGGACGTTCCTCAACAACTGCGCTGTCCCAGGTCTAAAACTGTCCTGCATGGTGGCCACGAGCCACATGGGCACCTGAGACAGAGCCAGGTCCAGGAGCTAGGTTATTGTCATTCACCAAGGCAGGGTCTCCCTGAGTCACTAAGTTGCCCAGGTTGAGCTGCAACTTGAGATCCTCCTGCCTCAGCCTCCCAGAGTGCTGGGATTATAGGTGTGAACCACTGGCCCTGGCCAACTACTCTAGGGCTTGAAGCAGTGCCTCTACTGGGTGTAGTGGGGGGCAAGCCTTTGGGCCTGAATGGGGACGGTCACCGTGGAGCCCCTCTCCCCACAGACGCGATGCCCCGACTGTACGCGTGCTCGCTGGCCCTGATGCTGGCCCTGATGCTGGCCCTGGCCGCCTTCTCCGAGGCCTCGTGGAGGCCCCGCTCCCAGGAGCAGGGCGCACCCTTGGGCCCCGCAACCGGCAGGGGCCTGGAGACACACTGGCTGGATCTGCCCGGCCCGGCGTCGGCCCAGCGAAGACAGCTGGGCCCCCCGGGCCCCCCACACCTGGTGGCAGGTAGGAGTCCCTGACCGCGCCTGGCGGGCTGGGCAGGGTCCCCACGCTGGCCCTGACCCCGTTCCTGTGCCGGTGTCCCCCGCGCCACCTCGTCTGTCCCCTCCTAGATCTGTCCAAGAAACAGGGGCCGTGGGCGGAGGAGGAGGAGGCAGCGGCCGCCTACGGGTGGATGGACTTCGGCCGCCGCAGCGCCGAGGATGCTGAGCAGCGCCCCTAGCGCCAGCTTCCTCCACCAGCCCTGTTCCGAGGAGGACACGAATCCAAATAAACTCGTTCCCTGGACACCGGACTCTGTCACTGCTGGGAGGGGAGGGCTGGTCTGGGCCGGTGGCGTTCAATGCCCCAAGGCGAGGATGGGGCGGATCCTTTCCCGCCCCCTGTGGACGGAACCTGCCCGTGGGCCCCCGAAGCCACAGCGAAGGGACAGAGCCACGTCCCAAGCCTTTTTATTTTTTACTCTGAGACAGGGTCTCGCTAAATTGCCCAGGCTGAGCTTCAATTTGTCACACTCCTGCCTCAACCTCCAGAGTGCTGGGATGGCAGGCGTGCACCACCACTCCCAGCTCAAAGTAAATTTAAAAAAATAATAATAAAGGCCAAGCCTTCCCAGCACACTCAGAATAAAAGGATTCTGACCAGAGCTGGAAGAGCTGGCCCCGCCCCGCCCGGGGGCCCCGCCCCCTTCCCCGGCCCTCCCTGCTTTGCCCTCTCAGAGGACACCGAGCTCCTGGGGCCCAGAGCCTTTGCCCCTGCACCCCGTGCCAGCTGCTCCGCCCCAGGTGCTCCCGGCGCCCAGGTCTTGGTCCAGCGCCCTCCCGTGCCCGCCACCCTTGCTCACATCCCTGTCGGTGCCGGCTCCGCCGCTTCGTCACTGGCACCCCACTCTCCTTCCTGCAGAGACCCCGGTGTTTAAAGCAGGGGCCCAGATACTCTGGTTTCTCTTCAGATCGTATAAATCTTTCGCCTTGTACTAAAGATTTCCGTGGAGAGGAACAATTGTGAGTCTTAACCCAATTTTTTGAGGCCTTGCTTTTAGCAGGGCTAATAAAGCTGTATAATGAAAGAAAAAAAACAAAAAAGCAGGGGCCCAGTAAACACAGGTCAGAGGGACGCTGTGAGGCAAGCATTCGTGGACTCGTCTCTCATGAACGCACGTGGCCTGGGATCCAGGTGTGTACCACGGCTTCAACAAAGGACACGAAGTGCGTGCGTGGTGGCGCACGCCTGTGAGCCCAGCACTCAGGAGGCTGAGGCAGGAGGATCACTGTGTTCAAGGCCAGCCTGGGCTACAGAGTGAGACAGGCCAGCGAGGACCCAAAGCCGGCGTGTGCTCTTGGGGAGACCCTCCCGACTCGGCCTCCCCTGGAACCTGCTTGGCCGGGTGACCACAGGCCTCCTCCCTCAGGCTTTGTCCACCGTGCCACGAGGTGATCCAGGCCTCACAGCGGCAGCTCAGCATCTGTCCCCGAAGAGCTGAGGCCAGGTGCTCAGGGCTGGCCGAGGCTTGTGGGAAGCAAAGCCATGGGGCCCGGGAGGAGCAGCACCCAGGCAGGGCACAGGTGCAGTGGCCTCGCAGGGGTGGACATCAGGTGGACGGGCTCCCCCCTCCCCCAGTGCGGGTCTCTGACGACCTCTGGGCGCCTTTGGCCGGGGCGGGGCACAGAGTCCAAGCAGAGGGAAGTGGGGCTGCCCGCTGTCCCCCATGTTCCTTCTCAATCCCCGACCCCCAAGCTCTGCAGAATTTCCTCCCTGTCCTCATCCCGGGATGGAACCCAGAGCCCCAGCACCCAGCTACAGCCAGGCTTTTTCCTTTTCTTTTTCATTTTTTATTTGGAATCATTTTTTTTTTTTGGTACCGGGGATCGAACTCAGGACCTCGCGCTTGTGAGGCAGGCGGTGGCACCACTGAGCTCAATCCCCAGCCAGTCTCCATAAGTCGCTAAATTGCCCAGGCTGGGCTGGAACTTGAGATCCACCTGCCTCGGCCTCCCAGGGCCCGGGATCACAGGTGCACTCAGCCACACCCTGCTGAATCTCTCTCTTAAATATTTCTCCTCTCTGCCATCTCCCTCAGCCCTCCTGCATCCCAGGCCCAGTCCCAGGCCAAGGCCGAGGCCTTGCCCCTCTTCTCAGCTTTGTGTGCTAGCACACCTAGCAAACCCCACTGGGGCACCCTCACCCGGCCTGGTCGGGGTGAGATCCACACGCACTTCCTGGAAGTTCTGAGACACAGCAGGAAGCTGAACCCTGGGACCAACTCACCTCCTTGGCCTGCACTCCTCCAACCCCCATCCATGCCCAGGGATTATCTGCCCTTTAACAAAGGATCGGTCCTGGCCTGGTGTAGTGGCACAACCCTGTGATACCAGCTCTTCAGAGGCTGAGGCAGGAGGGTCCCCAGGAGTTGGAGCCAGGCTGGGCAACATAGCGAGACCCTGTCTCAAAATAAAAAGTAAAAATAGGTCTGGGGATGCAGGTCTGTGGTAAAGGATATCTGGACTCAATCCCTAGCTACTCAGGAGGCTGAGGCAGGAGGACCACAAATCCACAGCCAGGGTGGGCAACTCAGCAAAACCTAGATTCAAAATCAAGTAAGAAGGGCTGGGGTGGGGCTGGGGGTGGAGCCTGCCCAGCACATCCAGGCCCTGGGTTCCACCCTCGCATCGCAAAATAAGCAGACAAGAGACCCTGTGCCAGGGACCCAGGTCCAGGATGGATTCGGGCCTGGAGGGGCCTCCCCTGGGGCTTTGTGGGCGCTAGGCCTGAGGGGACACCGGGGGTGGCGCTGGTGACCCAGAGCCTGAGGGCGCCCTGACCCTGGCCAGTCCCGAAGTCAGCGGCCCCAGCAGCCAAGAAGGGGCTCGCACGGCCGGACGGCTCTGTCCACAGCGCACCGTCTACACTTTCCTTTCTCTCTGACCCCAAGCACTGGAACCAAGGTCTTCGCAATGAGCGGGATCCCCGCCCTTTTTTGTTATTTTCTAAGTTTTTCTTGGTCCATGTCTGAGTTCATCGGCCTCATGTTCTTGGGGACGACCCGAGCCCAACCCCCGGCTCTGGGCTCCTTCAGTCATCTCGTGGCAGTGCCTGGGCTGCTCACTTCGGATTTTGGGGACCCAAATTAGGTGCCCAATAAATATTTGTGGAGTGAGACCCGGGCGTGGTGGACACGCCTGTCGTCCCAGCCCTCGGAAGGCTGAGGCAGGAGGATCCCAAGTTTCAGCCCCGCGAGGCTGGGTGGGGTGCAGCTCCATAGGAACCCCAGGTCCCCTCCCTGCTCCACCCCTGTCCGGAGCCAGCTCCCAGAGGTCCCAGGGTCCTCTCTGGATTCGGCACCCTTCAGGGCCACGAGGCAGAGGCTCGGGTTTTCCTCTCCGTGCTTCCTCATGTGCTGGTGGTTCCCGCCTGTCTTCCCAGCCACTCAGGAGGCTGAGGCAGGAGGGTATCTCGAGCCCAGCGGTTGGAATCTCACATTTCACCTGAGGCTTTCAAAATATTCTAGGGACTTTGAGACCATTATGCTGAGATAAATCACTGGGCTGGAGCTTCAGCAGACTCAAAGCATAAATAAACAGCAACATAAAAGATAGGTACTAGGAGTGGGGAGACAGGTGACACTCGAATGCCTGACCCTCCTGCCTCAGCCTCCCTTGGAGCAAGGCTCACAGGCGCGTCTGGTTTTGCCTGGCTCTGCCTGTGCTAAGTGAGGTCTCTATCCCGCTGCAGGGCCGCCAGGCAGGCGTCCCAGACACAATAACCAACCAGCTGCCCTGAAGTGGCAGCAGGAGAGAGCCCCGCCTGGGCCAGCCCTGGGGCTGCTCTGCCCCCTTCCTCTACCTGCTTTGTAGACAGAGCAGGGTCCCCGAGCTATCCAGGGGGATCTCGAGGCTGGGATGCTCAGCAGAGACCTGAGCCAGGCCAAAGCCCCAGGAGAGGGGAAGGGAGCCGGGTGTGGTGGTGCACAGCCATGACCCCTACTACTCAGGAGGCTGAGGCAGGAGGACTGTGAGCTCCAGGCCAGCTTGGGCTACATGTGAGACCTGTCTCAAAAGAGAAAAACAATAAACAGGGCCTACTTGGAGAATGGGCCACACCCTTCCACTGGGTGAGCCCTTTTCTGGGATTCCCACCCGCTCAAGTAGAAAGGTTCCATTTCAGGCCCTAAGGAGCCTCAAGGGCCTGAACTGTTTGTCTGAATGCGTACTTAACTTTCTTCAAACAAAACCCTCCCTCTTCCTCTTAGCCAGGGTCCTGAAAACACTTTCAGAGGACCTGTGCTAGAGGTGGGGCGGGGTGTGCTGCCCAATGAGCCCAGGGTGCTCCTGGGCACCGTTTCTGGGGTCTTCCCTAGTCACTGAGGGGCTCAGACTGGGGTCAAACCCAACACCCTCCTGCCTCAGCCTCCCAGACTGTGTCTTTTATCAACTGTGCTTTCCCGGGTTCTCCATCACTGGTGTTTCCGGCCTGGAGCTGCTGAGTAGCCACTGGAGACCCGGGACCCACACCTCTGAATGGCTCCTTGACTCCAAGTGTGATTTTTATTTCCTTTGCTTTGGTCGATACAAAAACCCCACCAAGAACCAAGGCCATAAAGCAACGATGACCATGAACTCGCAGCCGGCCCTCACGGGCGGGCGGGGGACGTGGTCCACAGCGGGGAGGGGGACAGGAAGCCCACACCGCACACCGCAGGGGTCAGCAAGAGCACTTCTGGGGTTCTCGGGTGGGACGGGCCGGGAGGGGCGTCGCTCAGGGGGGCTCCCGCCCCACCACCAGGTCCTGAGCTTTGGGCTGCAGCTGTGGGGGCCCAGACCATGCACAGGACTCACAGCCCGGGGTCGCGGGGTCTGAAGCTTTAGGGCCAGGGTCACGGAGGGGGGGGCAGGCCCGGGACAGGGGACCCCGGGGCGCAGCGGAGGGGCGGCGGCTCCGCGCAGGCACTTTTCAGGCTCACCTGTGTCCCCAGGGGCCACACCTGCCCACAGCTGCCGGCCCAGGCACAGCCAGGCCGGCCACTCCCGGAGGGCCAAGGTCCCGCCCAGGCAAGGTCTGAGGAAGGCGGACCACACCCCGGCACCCCAGAAAGGAGCCGGCTTAGAGCTGGGGTTCAGCAGAGCCAGGAGGAGAGCGCGGAGCAGCAGGGCGCCTAGGCCAGCATGTGGTCCGAGGTGGGGTACGGGAGCCGCAGGCCGTCGCCGTAGGGCAGGTCCAGGGGGTACTCCCCGTCCACGTCCAGGTGCTCCGGGGGGTCGTCGCCCGCGTACATGGGGCGGTAGGTGGCGTCCAGGTCTGCGGGGAGGGGTGGAGCCTCAGCGCCCTGCCTCCCGTGCCCCGCCCCCGCGAGGAGGACCCGGTGTCCCCTCAGGCGAAACTCACCATCGGCGTAGGGCTCGTTGATGGGGATCATGCTCTGGGCCTGCGGGACAGAGGACAGAGCGGGCTTAGAAACTCAGGGAGGGCTGGGTGTGGTGGCGCATGCCTATCATCCCAGGCCTCCAGAGCTGAGGCAGGAGGATCGCCCGCCCGCAAGGCGGCCCGGGCCAGCCTGAATTGCATTACAAGACCCTGTCGCAAAGCAAAGCAAAGCAAAGCAGGCTCCGCCCTCAAACCTGTTATACATTCATTTGGACAAAAGGAAACCCCTGCTTTTATAGGTAAAACACAGATATACAGGGCCGGGGATGTAGCTCAGTGGTACCGCCTGCCTCCCAAGCACAAGGTCCTGCGTTCGATCCCCATACCAAAAACAAAACAAAACAAAACAAAAACAGATACACAGTTCAACCTACTACTTCCACCTGCTGCGAGTTGTCACACGTGATCTACTTATATAGGGAAATCTGTCACCCCCATCACGGTAGGTTGGGGCCTCCCCACAAGTGGAGCCCTTGAGCAGTGCACAACTTGAACAGCCCTGTGCGCCCGCGGCCCAGCCCGACGCTCACCGCCTCCCAGGCAGCCGGGTCGTGCTTGAAGAGGGAGTTGGTCAGCTCCACGGACACGCGCTTGCGGTAGTCAGGGTTCTTGTCCTCGGAGATGCGGAACAGGACGGCGGCCGCGTAGGTGGCTGAGGGGAGATAGCCAGGGGCGGGTCAGGCGAAGGGCGGCCGGAACGCACCTGCGCCCGCGCCCGCGCCCTGCTCCGCCTCACCGGTGCCCTCATTGCGTGAGTGCAGCAGCTCCATGAGGGGCGCAGAGGCGCCCTCGGCATCGATGGCGTCCGCCGCCTCCTTGTCCTGGGCCAGCTCACACAGCACGCCCGCCGCCACGCGCTGGATGTTCTCCACCGAGGAGTACAGCAGCTGCGGGGGCGGGCGAGCGGCGGGTGAGTGGGGGCAGGTGGCGCCTCCCACCTCCCTGCCTGCAGGGGACCCTAGAGAACCCGGGGGGCCGGGTGTGGAGGCGCCCGCCTGTCACCCCAGCGCTCGGGAGGCTGAGGCAGGAGGATGGCCAGTTTGAGCTCAGCCTGGGCTACATGGGGATTGCACGACACCCTGTCTCAAAATGAAAATAAAAATGTGGCAGGGCATGATGGTGCACGTCTATGATCCCAGCACTTGGGACGCTGAGGCAGGAAGATTTCTGTCAGTTCGAGGCCAGCCTGGACTACACAGACCCTGTCTCAAAACAAAAATAAATAATTTTTTTTTTTGGTACCGGGGATCGAACTCGGGACCTTGAGCTTGCAAGGCAGGTGCTGGAACCACTGAGCTAAATCCCCAGCCCGATAAATAAATTTTTTAAAAAATTTGGGGGGGGTACCGGGAATCGAACTCGGTCCTTGCGCTTGTGAGGCAGGCGGAGGAACCACTGAGCTAAATCCCCGACCCCAATAAATTAAATCTTTCTAAAAAATCATGTACAACCCTTCCCTGAGGAGAGAAGCTGAGGCTTTGTGGCTCCGTCGCAGCACAGGACACCCTGGGGTCTCTGTCTTCCCCCAGACCGAAAGCCCAGAGGGGAGGAGCCCGGTACGGCCACCCGTTGTCCTCCGTGCCCCTGGAAACGGCTCTCCGGAGGAACGCTCCCTCCTCAGCCTCCCAGCCCGCACTGTTTGTTTCTGCCCGCCTGGGCTCCTCATTCTCCCAGCCTCTGCTTAATATTTCCACACTCTCTAGGCTGTTACTCTGGCCGAGAACTCGCAGCGATCCTCCTGTCTCAGCCTCCCGAGTGCTGGGATCCCAGCCAGGCGCGCGTCACGAGGCCCGGCTGCAGTTTGTCTCTAACAGGACACTGAGCTGTCTGTGGCTGAATCCGTTTCCGTTTTCCCTTCCCGACGTGCTCCTGTGTTTGGAAAGCCCTGCCCTCCCTGGGGCTGCCCGCCGGACCTGCTGAGGCGCTGCCGGCCCGACTGCGAGCCCCGCCCACCGCGCGCACCTGCACGAAGAGCGGGATCGTGTTGAGGCGGAAGATCTCCATGCGGTTCATGGGGTCTCGGGCCAGGATGTGCAGGGCGCCGGTGCAGCCTTCCACGATCTCCTCCATCCGCACGCCGTCCTGCGCCAGGCGGGGGACGGGAGGTCAGGGCTGCTCGGGGCAGGTACAAAGGGCACCCCAGGCCCCCGCCTCACCGTGTAGGGCTGCTGCGTGCCCGCGGCCACGTGGCGCTGGGCGTCCTGGTGCGCCTTGACCAGCAGCTGCACCAGCCTGGGGATCACAGCCGCCTCCTGCAGCGGCGCGTGGTTGGCCGGGCACAGGGCCAGGTTCCGGATCAGCCCGATGGTGGCCTGCGAGAAGGGCGGGGCCTCAGCCTCCCGTCCCCGCCCGGCCAGCGCTCCGGCCCCGCCCATCTTTGGCCTGGATTGTGACCTGTCCCCCAAAGGGCTGCGCGGGATGGGGCCCCTCTTTGGGACCCCCCTCTGCAGCAGTTGGTCATCTCATCGGATGCTTAAGACCAGAAGCCAAAACGAGTCACCTGAGAAGCGGGGCGTGGTGGCGCACACCTGGCTTCCACCACTCAAGAGGCTGAGGCAGGAGGCTCACAAGTTGAAGGCCAGCCCTGCCCAAGTTAGCAAAGTTCTGTCTCAGAATCAAACTTAAAAAGGGCTGGGGCCGCCGCTCAGTGGTAAGGGTCCATCCCCAGGGGTTAAAGAGATCGGGAGACAGGAGGGTGTGGGCAGGAGCCTGTCACTTGTCTCCTAGCTGCCAAGACTGTCACCGGCCCGGGGAGAGCAGGGACCAAGCACCAAGGCTGGTCCCACGCTGCCACACTTTCCGTAGACAGAGTCTTTGGTCTTTAATCCATTTTGTGGCACTGGGAATGGCACCCAGGGCCTCACTCCTGCTAGATGAGCATCTGCCCCTAAGCTACATCCCTGGCCTTTTTATTCTTTTTGAGACAGGAACATCTAAGTTGCCTGGCTGAGACATGAAGTTGCATTCCTCCTGCCTCAGTCTCCAGCAGAGCTGGACTAGACAGATTACAGGTGTGCACCACTGCACCTGGCTAGACTTTGTTTTTTTAATTTAACGTTAAATCACATGGCATCTTGTTGTGTTTTTTTTTTTTGAGACAGGGTCTGGCTCTGTAGTCCAGGCTGGCCTTCAACTCAGTGAGATCCTCCTGCCTCAGCCTCCTGAGTGTTGGGATGACAGGTGTGCACCACCACACGCGGTTACAGTGTCACCTCATGGAAACCAGCTCACAGAAGCCCGGCGGGGACCCCCACTCTCAGGTCAGCAAAGCCCACGACCACCTCGCCCTGGACTCCTTTCCTGGTTCCCGAGCCTACGCCCTGCCCGGCGGGCCCCACCTTGACCAGCGGCCACTGGTTGGGCTGGTTCAGCAGCTTCACGATGGCCGGGATGCCATAGTTGAGGCGCACAGAGTTCTGCGCCATCTCGGCCTCTGGGTGGCGGCTGGTGAGGTGGCGTAAGGCGCACACGGCGGGCTCCGCGATGTCGTCCTTGTCGCCGGCGCGCAGGATGGCGTGGATGAGCGCCTCCACGCCGCTGTTCTGTGTCACCAGCGTCTTGTTCTTGCTGTTGTTGCAGGTCAGGTTGGACAGCGTGCCCGTGGCGCAGGTGAGCACGTTCACGTCGTCCACGCTCAGCTGGCTCACCAGGGTCTTCAGCACCCCCTCCAGGCCCTCCTGGGGACGCAGCGCGGGTGCAGGTGGGACCCAGGGCCTCACCGAGCGACACCCTCCCCTCGCCCTTTGTTACTTTTTATTTCGGTTTTGGGGTTTTTTTTGATACCAGGGATCAAACTCGGGTCCTTGTGCTTGTGCAGCAGGTGGCGAAACCACTGAACTAAATCCCCGGCCCACTTTTTATTTCGAAACAGGGTCTAAGTTCCAGGCTGAGCTCAAACTTGCGGTCCTCCTGCCTCAGCCTCCCACAGTGCACCGTCAGGCTCAGCTAATGCCCGGGCATTTCCAGGTACCTGGGAGAGGCCATAAGAGGCCAGGGACCAGGCGAGGGCCCGAGGACCGATGTCCACACCTCTCCCCTTCCTGGGCCCTCGCTGCGCCCCCTAGCGGCCCCCAAGCCAGATGGGCTTTCACAAGACCCCTAACTCAGGAGTCTCACATCTGGGGCGCACAAGGGCCTTGTGGTCCACAGAAGGAGCCTAGCACTGGGGACAGACGGTGCTGACTTTGAATCCCAGCTCTCCCACCTGCTGGCTGAGAAGGTGAGCACTGTTGAACTCCCGGGGCCTCAGTTTCTCCAGCTAAGCCAGGGGGGTACACTCTGCACCCCGAGCTTTCGGAAATTAAGGGGCTCGGGGCCTGGTCCTGGGCTGGATTCTTCCCCGGAAGCCGTCCTATGGCTCACGATCCGGACAAAAGTGCCCCCCCAGCCCGGCCCAGGGCACCGGGCTCCCCCTCACCTGCTTAGTGGCCACGTCTGAGAGGTTGCGCAGCGTCCACAAGCAGTTCTGCACCAGGCGTGGGCTGTTGCTGCTCAGGTGTTTGCCCAGGGCCTGCATCCCACCTGGGGGGGGGCAGGGAATCAGCCTAGCCCCGCCCACCCCGCCCGCGGGCCCCGCCCCCGCCCGCACAGGTGCAGTCCTCACCGGCCTCCACGATGGCGGGCTTGTTGCTGGGACAGACGGACAGCACCTTGAGCACGCGGCTGGTGGTCCACAGCAGCTTCTCATAGCTGTAGTTCCGCATGATCTGCACCAGCGCCTGGGGGCCCCCGTTGGCCAGGATGATCAGCTGCAGGGATTGGAGGAGACAGATGGAGATGGGGCGGTCATCAGCACCCGGCTTCGCCAAAACCGGAGAACTTTTGTGCCATCACACGAGCCACAACAAATCGTTTTTGGTTTTTTTTCTTTAGGGACAGGGTCTCGCTATGTAGCCAGCCCAGGCTGGCCTCTGAACTTCCAGGGAGCCTCCTGCCTCAGCCTCCCAAGTATTGCATGCAATATTAAACCAAATGTGGGAAACAAGGGTAACACCCGCTGCCAGCCATGGTCCCTGAGGTTAAGTCTAGGCCACAGTGACGGCGAACCTTTCAGTTTTCAAGATAACAAACAGCCCAACTGTGGCACACGTGCCGTGCCATAGGTTCACCACCGCTGATCCAGGAGCATGGAAAGCCTTTAGCCCCACCAATGAAAACTGTCTGCATTCTGGGAAAGCTGTGTGCCCAGAGACACCCCCTACAGCTTGGCTTATAGAGGGGGGAAATGGCTGGGCAAAGCAGATGCTCTCCTGTAATCCCAGCACTCTGGAAGGAAGGCTGAGGCAGGAGGATCACAACTTTAAGACCAGCTTAGGCAATTTAGCCACTTAGTGAGACCTTGTCTCAAAATAAAGAAGGCTGGGACGCTCGCAGCTCGTGTGAAGGCCCAGCCTGGGGACGTGGCCTCCAGGGCCCACCTTGCTCTCCTGGTTGCCGTAGGCCAGGAGCTGCAGGCAGTCGGTGGTGATGGCCAGGAACTTGGGGTTGTTCTTGTTGAGCAGCGGCACCATCTTCTGCAGTCCGTCCGCCAGCCGCACGGCCATCTTGGCGCCCTCCTGGTACAGCAGCAGGTTGTGCAGCGTGGTGATGGCGTAAAACAGCACGGACTCCACGGGCGAACTGCATGCAGCAGGTGGGTGTCAGGACCGGGTGCTGTCCGTCCCCTCCCCTCCCGTACCGTCCCTTCCCCCTGATAAACTCAGCACAGGCAAGGCCTGGGCTTGCGTCCTGGCACAATGGAAAATAAAGTCAGGCAGCAGAAGTGCGGCCCAGCAGGGTCCTGGACCAAGGATGTGAACATCAGGCTCTGCCGGGCATGGTGGCGCTCGCCTGTGACCCCAGCCCTGGAGGCTGAGGCAGGAGGATCCCTGAGAGTTCAAGGCCAGCCTGGACTACACAGCAAGACCTTGTCTCAAGAAATAAAACCCACTCCAGTAAGCAGCCGACTCGTGATGACTTCTCTTGCCTGCTCACACACTGCGTCCACTCACTCGCTGTCTGCTCTCCCGTGCAACCCTTAGCCATTTCCTCTCTGTCCTCACTGATTGATCACCAATCCACCCACCGCTAAAATAACCACTATTAACACTTGATCTTTCCACTGTGCATGTCTTTTTTTATTGTTTGTGTGTCCTGTATTTCCTGACACAGCGTCTCACGAAGCCGCAGAATTACCCAACCTGGACTCAAACTTGCAATCCTCCTGCCTCAGCCTCCCAGAGTGCTGGGGTTCCAGATGTTTGCCACCACACTGGCTTATATGTATTTTAATATAATAGGAATAACCTATAAAGCGTGTATCCTACTCTTCATTTAATAGTATAGCATAAGGGCTGGGGATTTAGCTCAGTGGTTTCGCCACCTGATGCGCAAGGGCAAGGACCCTGAGTTCAATCTGCAGTACCAAAAAAAAAAAATAGTATAGCATAAACATTTGCCCATTCTCAGGAATGTTTCAGTAGTGACTTTTTTTTTTTTTTTTTTTTTGGTACCAGGGATTGAACTCGGGTCCTTGCGCTTGCACATCAGGTGGCAAAACCACTGAGCTAAATCCCTGGCCCTCGGTAGTAATATTTTTAATGGCTGTATAATGTCTTATATTAAATATTATACATAATTGCTGGGCATTTTGGAGGTTGGTTTTTATGAGACAGGATCTCACTATGTAGTCCAGGCTGCCCTTGAACTCGCTAAATAGCCCAAGCTGGCCTCTAACCAGTGACGGCGAGCCTTTCAGAGCTCCCAATAACAGCCACTGCAGCACAATGCCACAGGTTCACCACCATTGCTCTAGGCCATCCTCCTGCCCCAGCCTCCTCCTGAGCACTGGGATTCCAGGCCTGCACCACCATATCCAGCTTCTTGCTGGACATTTAAATAAAATAAAATCTCGTGGTCCCCTGAGCCAAGCAGCACTCTTAAATACAGGGCGCAGGGCGTCCCATCCTGTCCTCTCCCAGTGGGACCCCACCTCCTGCTTCTGGCCCCAGCTGGTGCTGAGCACGAAGAGGCCTTTGGGGTCCCAGAGGGCTCAAAACCCAGCCCTCTGCCCCCAGGAGCTGCAGCCTGGCAGGGCCAAGGCCAGGAGAGCTCAGGGACCTCAAGCTGCTGCCTTGGCTGGAACTTGGCCCACGGGAGCGCCTGGGGCATAGCCCCTCCGACACTGCACCTGAGCATGCGGACCAGGGCGGGGATGCCGCCCGACTTGAAGATGGCCAGCAGCCCCTCGCGGTGGTGCGACAGGTTGTGCAGGATGCTGGTGGTGCATCGCGCCGTGTCCAGGTCGCTGGTGTTCTGCATGGTGCGCACCACGCCCGCTACCAGCTGCGGGGACCCCATCAACGCCCGGCGCGACGCCTCCTTCTTGGACAGCTGGTTCACGATCATGGCCGCCTTGGTCACCACCACCTGGGGCCGGGCGGGAAGGTCAGGGGGACTGAGGCCGAGGCCGCGCATGTGCGGGGAGCCGGGCCGCCCTCCCGCCACGCACCGGGTCCTCGTCGTTGAGCAGCTTGGTGAGCTCGGGCAGCGCGCGCGTGGCCAGCTCGGCGTCGTCCTGGTAGTTGATGAGGTGCACGATGGCCGACTTGAGCAGCTGTGACGGCTCAGCCAGGCGCTGCAGGTTGGTGGCCTGGCCCTCCACCTGCGTGGCCAGCAGCAGCGAGCTGTCCTCGCCGGTCACGCCAGGGCACATGGCCTCCCGCACACGCTTGGCCCTAGCCGTGGTGGACATCTGGTAGTCCAGGTCACCTGGGGGCAGAGGCAGGGGCTGAGCTGGGGCACAGACACCGGCGAGCCCCCCCCCCCCCCCCCTGCGGACACCGGTGCACCGAGGCCCCAGCCACACGGGGGCGCTACGCCTCAGTCTCCCCGTCTGGAACGTGGCGTCCTCCTGCTCTGCCTGCAAGGGGCTTCTTACAACAGTTAAAGGACATCATAGCTGCCACATACTCTCAAAAGAAAAGTCCCATGCAGGGGTGGTGACACAAGCCTATCATTCCAGCACGTGGGAGGCTGAGGCAGGAGGATCACCCCAAGTTCGAGGCCAGCTTGGGCTGCATAGTGAGCTCAAGGCCACATATGGGATGCAAAGGAAGACCCTGTCTCAAAGCATCTTGTGGCCTGGCACCCACCACTACAAAAATGTGTGATGATTCTGAACAAGGACAGCTGGGCCAGGGTAGCACAGTGGCAGGCAGAGCACGCACCCACCGCACACCAGGCACTGTGTTCCACCCCCAGAGGTGCAAATAAAGAAGAGAACAGCTAAGCCAGGAGCAGTCACACACCTGTGCTCCTAGCACCCCAGAGGCTGAGCCAGGACTGCAAGCCTGGGCAATTTAGCCACTTAATAAAATCTTTTCTCAAAATAACAACTGAAAGGGCCGGGGATTTAGCTCAGTGGTTTCACCGCCTGCTGCACAAGTGCAAGGACCCCAGTTCGATCCCCGGTACCAAAAAAAAAAAACAACTGAAAGAGTCTGGGGAGCAGGGTGTGGTGGCACATGCCTGTAATCACAGGAGGCTGAAGCAGGAGGATCCCTGGGAGTTTGAGGCCAGCCTGGGCTAAATAGTGAGTTCAGGGCCAGCCTGGACTACTTACTACAAGGAGAGACCCTGCTTCAAAACAACAAACAAAAAATTTTTTTAAATAAATAAAAAGGGGCCGGGAATTTAGCTCAGTGGTTCTGGCGCCTGCCTCGAAAGCACAAGGTCCCAAGTTCGATCCCGGGTACCAAATAAATAAATAAATAAATAAATAAAAAGGCTGAGGATGGGGCAGCCCATTCAGGAGCCGTCCTGTCTCTCAGGAGCTATTCTTATTCCCCAATAAATTTTCCTACTCTTAAAAAATAAAAAAATTTTAAAAACAGAAAAGCTGGGGATGTAGCTCAGTGCAGAGGCTCTGGTTTAAGCCCAGTTCTGAAAAAAAGAAAAAGAAAAAAAACGCTGATATTTTTGAATCCTTGCTAGGTGCCTGGCAGTGAACGAGGCGATTGTTTTCTCATTAACTCTTACAGCCCGACAAGGCGAGGGTGTGCGAGGGTGTGATCCATTCCCCTGCTTTCCAGAGAAGCCTGGGCCCCAGGGCTGAAGACAGCCCCATGCTCCCTCAGATCAGACTGCCTGAAACCACAAGATACCGATCACCCCCAAAGCAAGGCCGGCAGAGCCCCAAGCACCCCAGGTCACCCAGCAGCACTGCTTGGCCTCTGCACAATGCCAGGGGCCCCAGCTGTCCAGGAGGGGCAGGCACTTTGTCCTCTGGTCAGGTGAGGATGGCACTGCCAGCTGCCCACTCCACCCCACCTCTGTCCCGGCCGCACCTGGCCCCTGGGGCGCGGCCTGCGTGTACGTGGTGGTCTTCTTGAGCGTGTACTGGCGCCCGCAGGTCTCATCCTCGTCCAGGATGCCCTTGCTGCTGATGGAGGGCGCACAGGTGTTGGCGCCCGAGTGGATGCCCGAGTCATAGGTGTAGGTCTGCTGCCACTCCGTCACCTTGATGGGCTGCTCGATCAGGTTCATCACCTCCATGGTGGCTGTGGGACAGCGGCAGGAGGTCAGCCAAGGCCCAGGCCCCAGGCTGGCAGCTCTGACCCGGCCTCGGGAGGGACAGGAAGGGCCCGGTGCCCCCACAGGGGCCAGAAGGGGCCATAGGCCATGGGCTTGGCAGGGGCAGGCCTGGACCTGGGTGGGGCAGGGAAGCGGCCCGACAGGTTTCTGCAGGCTGTGGCGTGGTCAGAGGATGGGACTCTCTTTCCAGCAGCTTGGGCAGTTGGCACGAGGCCCCCAGGCCCACTGTCCCCGTGCCCCAGCTCCTGGAGCCCCCAGCGCAGGCTCAGCCTCTGCTCCCTGCCTCTCTGCTGGGCCTCAGTGGCCTCACTGGTGGGGATCAAGCAGGTTCTGCCTTGGCAGCACAGTGGGGCGCATGGGCTCAGTGTCCCCTCCAGGCCCCCGGAGCCTGGCTGGGGCACCAGGGTGGCAGGCATCCTTCCTCACGCAGGCACTTGGGGCGTGAAGGCAGAGGGACTCGGGTGCCCCTAACAGACGTGACGCGGTCACTGGGACCAGGCCAGCATGCATGCCCCACGCAGCTCCCGGGGGCAAGCATAGCCCAGCCAGCCCCCTACCCAGTGGGGTGGGCCCCGCACCTCAAACAGGGCCAGCAAGGCTGAGGGAGAGGCAGCGGGTGTCCCGGGCCCGCCCAGGAGCAGGGGATTCCCAGCTCCGCCCTCCAGCAGGTGACAAGGCCCTGGGTGACAGCCCCGCCCCTTCCGCACACCCGGGAGGCAGAGGTGGCGCCACCCCTGCCTCCCTCCCTCGCTCAAGTGACTCAGAGTTTCAGGCTGAGGAGCAGAAGCAGCCAGTGCGCAGCTGCTGCAGGGAGGGGCCAGAGGAGCAGCAGGTACAGAGGAGCCAGAGGCAGGAAACTCCTGTCCCTCCCCGCCCTGACCCTCCAACGCCACTGCAGGGGACCTCAGTCCCTGGGCTTGGGACAAGCTGGCGGTCCCCTGCCCTGGCCACACCCCATGCTGACCAGAAATGGTCCCAGCCCACAGGGCCCAGGCAGAGGGGACGGGGCTCCCCGAAAACCAAGGACCAGCCTCCTGTTCAGGGGCCTCTGGGAGGCTGAGGCAGGCGGATCGCAAGCTCAAGTGACCAATGCCCAGACAATTTAGTGACTGAGCAGGACCCTGACTCAAAACAAAAATCTGAAAAAGAGCTGGGGCTGTGGCTTACTGTGAAGGGCCTGGGTTCAACCCCAGTACCACACAATGGGAGACGAGGCGCGCAAGTCCAAACCCACCCTGGGCAACTTAGTCAGACCCTGTCTCAGAGTAAAAACTACCCATATTTAAAAGGGCTGGGATGCAGCTGAGCTCGAAGGCTCTGGGTTAGTCTCCAGGGCCACAGCTGACAGGAGATTCGGGACCAGAGCCATCCCGTCCCGGCAGACTCCAGCCAGCAGGAGCCGGACAGCTGCCCAGGGAGGGTGGGAGGGCGACTCGGGGGTCGGAGCAGACAGCCAGCTGCCTTTATCATCAAATTAACCTCAACTGCACTGGCCGGCATTTTCTTCTTATTTTAGAGCTCATGGGGTTTGAACCAAGGCTGAGCCATGTCCCCAGCCCTTTTCATTGTGAGACAGGGTCTCTAACTTGTCCAGGCTGGGCTTGAACTCACAGTGATCCTCCTGCCTCAGCCTCCCAGGGTGCTGGGATGACAGACAGGCCTGCACCACCACGCCCAGTGAGGCAAGCATTTTGCTATTTCAAATTTCTAGATGGAGAAACCGAGGCTCCACACTGAGAAGGTTGGCCAGAGTTTGGGCCAGCAGACAGGTCCCCAGCATGGTCCCTGGTGGAGACAGCCCCACTGCACATAGGGCACCTCAGGGTGCTGTCCCATCTCCACTTCACTGCACTGGGCGTCCTTCGGTGGTCCAGTCTCCTGCCTGAGCTCTGTCTGCAGAGCGACCGCCCCAGCCGGTCTTAGGAATGAAGGCCGAGGGTGGGCATGGGAAAACAGTCCCGAGAAGGGACGCACAGAGCTCTTCCTGAGTCAGCCTCAGGCGGGATGCCCCAGCCCACCCCAAACTCCCAGAACCCGGAGCAGGTTCCCCAGCTGGCCGGGTGGAGGGCCACACCCAGGCTGCTGTCACCCGCCCCCCCAGGGCATCGAGAGTCCTGCCACAGACTACAGTCAGAGACAGGCGGGGCCTTGCTGAATGGGCACCTTGTCGGCAGCAGAGAGGAGGAGGTCAGCTCAGTGACCGGACAGGAAGGGAGAAGGCCAGGTCCACCCTGGGAAAGAGTCTGGGACGGCCCCACCCTCACCCTGGTGGGTGCACAGCCCAAGAGGCCCTGGCACCAGCACCCTGAGTCCTTTAACAGTAAGCCCACCCCCAGGCGTCCTGGGACACACCTGTCACCCCAGCACTCCAGAAGCTGAGGCAGGAGGATCGCTGTGACTGAAAGAAATGGGCACAGGTGGGCTGCGGGACACCTGGCACAGGGACAGGAAGGGCTGCCAGAGACGCCTCACAGAGCCAGGCATTCAGGAAGCAGCTGGGCAGGGCCAGGCCCGGGTTTCTGTGTGCCAGAGGCGGCCACATTGTGCCTACCCCCATGCCAGGGAGTCAGCAGGGGCAGGAGGGCCACGCTGAGGCAGGACGACACCTCCAGGGCCACAGTTTCCCTCCTCTGTGAGGTGAACCCCAAGCCACTCCCTCTGTTGCCAATCGACCCGTGTGCTCCAAAGCTGGCTTGGACAGGAAAGGCCCGGGTGACCTCCTGTTGGAGACACCACTGCAGCTGAGCGGGAGGACCCTGGGTCTCCTGTGACCTCAGGAGAGTGCAGAAGTAGCCGACTCGCGGGCCCAGGCTACTGTCCCTGGGCCAGGGACACCTGGGCCCCTCTGGGAAGAAGGGTCACCCTGAGAGGCGCTGGGGACAGAGGACTGGGGGCTTCTGGAGCTAGGCCCTCCCTTCCGGTCTGCAGCAGGGCCAGCACAGGGCGGGACACGGAGGGGACAGGCAGGGGACGGAAGTGCCCAGGCAAGCAGCCTGGCCTGGGGACCCTGGGGCCCTGGAGAGGGGCCACCTCCTGCTGGGGGCCCAGTCCAGGTGAGCCCGAGCAGACGAAGCCCTATCAGGGACAGCAGCAGGGGTGACTTGCAGGGCAACAGCGCTGGCTTCACGGGTCCCCTGCTCCCACTGCCCGGCCTCCCCCACCCCTGGGCCGCCCACCCCTCCTCAGGGATGGCAGCGCCCTCCCCTGGGCGGATGGTGGCACTGCAGCCCGGTCCCCACCCAGACCAGGCTGGTTTGGAAGGAGGCTTGGTTAAAACTTTACGGTGAGCCGGGCATGGTGGCCCACGCCTGTGATCCCAGCACTTGGGAGGCTGAGGCAGGAAAATCATCAGGAGTTCAAGGCCAGCCTGGGCTACAAAGATCTTGTCTCAAAAAAAAAAAAGAGAAAAGAAAAAGAGAAAAACTTCACCGTGTGCAGCAAGTGAGCTCACAGATGAGGCTGCAGAAAAGACAGCACTAAGAAAAGAGAACAGCGGGCTCCCTACAGAGTTGGGATTAAAGTGAATTTTTCTTCTCCCAATTTTTTTGCAACGTTTTTACAACGGTCAGATATTCACTCTTTCAATCAGGGGAGTGGGGCAGCACCAACTGAGCAGCCTGCTTGCCTCTCGGCCTGTCCCGCCTGTCCGCTCTCCTTGTCCCCACAGGCTGAGCCACCCTGCCAGCCAGGGGAGCTGCTGGGAAATGGGGCAGTGGCACCCCAGAGTCGCCCTCATCCTGGGAGAGGCCTGGGGAGGTCTTAGGTCTTAGATGCTGCTCATCTCTCTGCTGGGTGTGTAGTTCAGGCACTCTGGAGGCTGAGGCAGGAGGATCTTGCGTTGGGGCTACACAGTGAGTATCTCTGTAACAGCCAGGAAGTCCCTCCTCTGGTCCTCTACTCCCTGGCCTCCAGGACCCCCGCCTTGGCCAGCAGCAGCCTACTGCCACCCACAGGACCCCAACACATGACAGCTAGTCTCCTCAGGGTCAGCCAGAGGCACAACCCAGGCCTAAAGCTGACTCCCACCCTCACCTCTGCAGACAGTGGCTTCACATCTGGGCACCACCTCCAGCCAAGCTGGCAACTGCTGTTTCCTATCCAGGACGAGCCCAGGAAGCCTTGACTGGACCGAGCACAACCTCTGCTCACCTTCCCCACCACTCCCCCGGGCCCGGGCCTCCACCAAGCCACCAGGGCAGCAGAGTGGAAGGCCAGGACCCAGGCACCAGGCCTGTCCCCGCTGTCCCCCCAGACCCCCACTGCTCCCACAAGGCTCTCAGGAAGGCAGGGCTGGGGCGGCCCAGGGGCAGAGCTCTTCCTGGTTCCATCCCCGACCAGAAAGGAAAACATCCTTCAGGAGCTTCGCCAAGGCCCCGCGACGGGACTGGCCCTGGACCCGAGGACGACGCGCAAGCTCGGGTCCCCAGGCGTCAGCAGTCAGCGCCGCCTGCGTCTGAGGGCGGCCGCGGTGACGGAGGGAGAAGCAAAATGAAAGTCCTGGCACCCACGAAGTCTCTGTCCACCCTGGGGCACCACTGCCCGGGCCCCACTCCCCAAGGGGAGGCTCAAGGAGGCGAAGGGGCCCGGAGCGACTCCATCCAACCCTGGTCCCCATCAGAACCGGCTCTGCCACGGCCGCTCAGATAAACCCCAGCTGCGAGTCCTCGGCTCCAGCCGGTCTTAGGGGCCGCTGGTGGGGGAGACCCCTCACTGCGGGGCACCGGGAGGGAAGCGGCTGCCTCCCCCCGCCCCCGCGCGACCTTCTAGGTTCCCACTCGGCATCCTAAACCGCGGGGTGCACCAGGCCGGGGTGGGGCTGGGTGCGGACGGAGGCAGCGTCACCCAAGTCGGGGCTTGATCTGAGAGCCGTGACTAATGGATCCTGCCTTCCTCTTCCCGCCCCTGTCCTGTAGCCAGTTCTCACAGGCGCTGGCTAGCAATTCCCCCTCAGCATTATCTTTTCATCACAGCCACAAACCAGATTAGCTAAACTAATCATTTAGCCGGTTACCGAACAGTACGAGGCCTCCCCGCCCCCCGCCCCAGGCTCCCAGAGGAGGGGAAACAGGTAGTTTGGACCCAAACTCCACCCCCTGCTTCCCTAGGGGTCCACGCAAGGTCCCTGCCCCCAGGGCTGAGCCAGATGCTCGCCCAAGGCGGCCCAAGGGTTTCACCCCCTGAAAGCACTTTCCCATCTACACAGAAGACACTAGCAGGAGGGTCTCTCCAGGGGAGAGCGGGAGCCGGGGTACAGCTCGGTAGGCTGCTTGCCTAGCAGGCATGAGGGCCTGGGTTCAGTCAAAAAAATAAAATAAAGCCCAGGGAGGGCAAGCAGGGCCAAGCCCCCATCTTCGTGTGGCCCAGGGCAAGGCAGAGCCACCCTCACCTTCCGGCGGCTCCCCAAGGGGGCGGGGCCCCAAGTCCTGCCCCAAGACCACACCTCCGATGTTTGGAAACCAGTGTAGCCAGCTGGCTGGAAATCCAGACTCCCAGGACGCTGGGGACCAGGCAGAGGGCGCTACCTAGCTCTGCCCGAGGGCGCCAGGCAGGGACACGCCGTCCTCCCGTCCCACTTTCCCCCGGGAGCGCGCTCGGGAAAGGCGGTGGGTGGGGACGGGGCTGTAACAGAAACCAAATAGAAAGCGAGCCCCGTGCGCCGGGATCTTCAGCCTCAACTGGGGCGGGGGGGGGGGGGGTCGTGTGGGGGAGGGGCAGACCCCCCAAACAGGAGGACCGGCACCCTCTGCCCCGCCCCGCCCCGCCCCCACTGCTACTCAGCCCAGGGCCCGGCCGGGTCGCGGGGGTGCGGTGGTCCCGGGGGCAGGAAGAGAAGGAAGAAGCCGCTGCTTCCCCTCGGCGCCCCCACCCCGGCCCCGGGGGCGGCAAACAGGACGGAGGTGGGGGCGGGGCGGCGGGCGGGGCTCCGCTCCCGGGAACGCCGCTCCCTGGGAAGCCGGGCCGGGACCCGGGAAAGCCCCCGAGAGCCCCGCGGACACTTTCTCGTGCAAAGTTTGTTCGGGATGATTTTCCAACCGGGAAGGTCGGGCAGAGAGGGGGCCGCCGTTCCCAGCTCCACTCGGGGGCCCAGGAGAGGGGACCCCGCATCCCCGTGCGTGCACAGGCGGTTCTCCAGGGCCGGGACCCCGCCCTCAGCAGCCTGCCCCCGAGACGCCGCGGCCAAGCCCTCACCTGCTCACCTGGCCGCAGGTGGGGCGCTCGCCAGGGACGCGCTCAGCCCTGCGGAGCAGACAATAGGGCCGCACCCAGACCTGGGGGAGCCGGGAAGGCGGGCACCCAGAAGGACGCGGGTGCAGTGCCCCCCTCCGCCCTGAGAACGCGGGCCGCGAAGCCCCACCCCCCAGGCGGGGTGCACGGTGGGACGCGGGCGCCGCCGGGGAGTCAGGGACGCGGGGAGCGGGCTCCTCAGAGGCCCCGGCCTGATGGGGGTCGCGGGACCGGGAGGCACCTGCGGGCCCCTCCCGCCACCCACCCGATCGGTGGCAGCTCGAGACCCCGCAGCACCTCCGCCGGAAGCGCCCCTCCCTCGGCGCCGCGCCCAGGACCCCAGCGCGTCCCCTGCTGGTCGGGCACCCGGGCGCCCCCGGCCCCCTCACCTGCCTCGAGCCCGGCTCCGGGGCCGACCGCTGCCCCTCCTCTGCCCCCCGAGGTCCCTATCCCCCCACCGTGCGCACCTGGTGCGGGGCTGGGCAGGGTCGGGTCAGGTCTAGCCGGGTGTGGACCGGCGCGGGTAGAGAACTGGGTTCGGCGCGCGGGCGATGACTGCTCCGGACTCTGGCCGAGGCAGCGACTCAGTAACTGAACAAAAGGCGAGGGGAACCTGACAGTTTAGCCACGCCCCCGGCCCTCGAAGCCACGCCCCTGTTGGGGGGGACTCCCACTCGCTAACGCGAGTTCATTGGTTGCATCGTCCAATTTTCCCACCTTTGGGTGGAGCCTCGTGCCCGCTCCGCTTCCACGGCCGCCTCTGTTTATGCGCTCGCCATTGGCCCCAGGGACTGTCAGTCAATACTAGGGGTGGACCCCTAACGCGAGGGCCCATCCTCACTCTGCTTCTATTGGCAGATGGAAAGTTGCTTCCCTTTGATTGGACGAGGGTCTGTCAGTAAGACTGCAGAAAAGACCAATGGAAGCTCCGGGGTGTGTCTTGCCCCACCCTAGCTAGGAACAGGTAAGACTCACTCTTCCCTTCCCCCTACCTGTCCAACAGGTGAGTCAGGGTGCGCCGTGGGAAAGGACTGACGCCTTCGCTGGTCAGCCAGCTCAGCGTCAGGCATGATGCTTCTTGGGCTTATTCATCCAGGCCCCTAAGTGGCATCGACACATTTGGAAAGCATTTCACAGGCTTTGCACTGAGCTGGACTTTTTTTACCCCAGAGATGAGCGCCCCTGTCCTGCAGAATTAGCAGGGCGCTAGTTTGGGTCCTGGCACTCAATAGCTGTATGGTCTTAGGCAAGTTAGTTCGCCTGTCACCCCGCTCTCCTCACAAGCGGATCGGGCCCATTAGCTTTCTCTTTCTCAGCGTGGGGGGATCAGACGAAGCCAGCTTCCAAAATGTTAGGGTTTAAACAATCATACGGGTTTTTAGGTTTGCGTGACAGTTCTGAAATACTGTTAGGGCCACAAAACTATCTCAGTTTGAAAATGAAGACGCTGGAGTTAAGAAAGGTCACAAAACTAGACCAGAATCTGGGTGCCGTGGGGCGTAGCTGTCATCCAGGGCGCTCAGGAGGCTGAGACAGGTGGATCACTGGAGCCTAGAAATTCGATGCCAGCCTGGGCTGCTCAGTGAGACCCTGTCTTGATAAATAAATTCTTCTAATTCCAAGTCCTCCCAAACCAGTGTTCCTCCTCCTGGAGGAAGAGCTCAGGCATAAAATGTCAAAGCCACAGGGAAGGGGCAGGGGACAGCGACGCTCTAGGCAGAGACAGAAGAGCAGCTGTTTGGCCCAAGAATAAAGTGTTGGTGTAAGGAGGCTTTGGTGGGTCTGGAAGAAAAGTCAGGCAGCAGCTCTAAAGAAAAGACAGCAGAAAGAAAATAAGACCCCAGGCTCCTCAGCGGAAGGGCCTGGGTCAGACACCAGAAAGAACTTTCCAGTCGGCAGGGCAGTCTGTCCTTTCTGCACTGGGTGACATGGGTGAGGCGGGCAGTAGCTGGTGCCAGGGCTCTGCCGGAATCTGTTCATGCAACATTTGAGAATCCACACAGAAATGGGTTCCGGCCTTCAGTGAGCTCATGGCATGCGTGGACACAGGCTGCGTGTGGGTGTGGGGCATGGTTGTTTAGAGAAGGTCCTTTCAAAAGCTTTACAGCACAAAGCAAGCTCTCAGACCAGGCCAGGGTGGTACCCTAGCCACCTCCCTGACCACTGTTCCCAGCAGAAAAAGGAGCAACAGCAGGCACCACCCAAGCTGTTCTGAAGTATGCTTCCCAAAGGTCTTCCCAGTGGGCCCCTTGCTCTGCTTTACTTCCCTGACCACCACCACCCACTTCCTCAGGCTTCCCTGGGTATCTGTTTTGTTTTTTTTTTGTACCGGGGATCGAACTCAGGTCCTTGTGCTTGCGCAGCAGGCAGCTAAACCACTGAGCTAAATCCCCAGCCCCCTGGGTATCTTTTTTGTCCTGTTTTTTTGAGACAAGTTCTCCCTAAGTAGTCCAGGTTGGCTTCGAACTTGAAGCCATTCTCCTGCCTCAGCCTCCCAAGTGCTGGGATTACAGGGCGCCACCACACCAGGCCCCTGGGCGTCTTTATCCCTCCTTCGCCTGCCCACCCCCTGCTTGCCTGCTACCTATGGGCAGCCCACAGCTGGAGGTGGAAGGAGTTCATCATTCTCCTAGGCCACCACTGCCAGGTTTCACTTCCTCCCAGCCCACACCCCTCCTGCCTTCCCTCCCCAGCAACACGGACACCCGGGTCCCAGCCCCATGGTTCCATCCCCTCCCCCCGTCCTGATTTCAGCAGCTGAGACGGGTAGGGGCAGAAATGAAGCTCCGGAAGAAACCCTGAGTGTGTGTCCCTCCAATGTCCCCAAACATGTCCTAGTGTGGAACGTGTCACAGCAGGCCAACCCCAAAGCTGAACTCCCGGGCTGGGCCTGGGGCCCAGGCTGCACAGGCCAGACAGGGCGAGTCTCTGCCCCAGATTAGTGTCCTTAGAGCCGAGGGGCAGCTGTGCCTGAGGAGCACGTGCAAGGAGGGAGTAGCTCTCTCCTCGAATCTCCTCTGGTGATTCAGAGGCCCCTCACAGGGCCAGAGACCTTCTCGGCTGGGACTTGGAGGAAAGGCCACAAGGCCACCTCGCCCAATCCCCTGGCTCCAAGCCTTTAAAGGCAAGGATGCCTCTGATTGCTAGAGCTCCAGAAAAGGAAACTGTCCACCTCCCATCCAAGAGGGCCCCTGCCCCCCTGTGCTGGCAGCGGTGAGTTCCTCCTGCTGTCCAGCTCTGCTCCCAGCCCTGCACTTGGACCTCAGTTTTCCTGCTCGGGGGCGAAATCCTTGCCCCTCCTGCTTCAGACACAGCCACTTCTAGAAGGGGACGGCCAGCCACACCGCAGGCTAGGGACACAGAGGGGCCTGTCCTCTGACTCTGCAGCAGCGACAAGGAGAACTGGCAGCTGAAAGTCCTCGATCAGGGGGTCAATACAGGCCCAACAAATACTAGAGAGGCTACCAGATGTGGGTGGCGCACACCGGAATCCCAGCACTCTGGGAGGCTGAGGCAGGAGGAACACAAGTTCCAGCCCAGCCTGGGCAACTTAGCCAGACCGTCTCAAAATAAAACACAAAAAGGGCCAAGGATGTAGCTCAATGCAAAGGCCCTGTGTTCAATCCCCAGCAGCACAAACTAAATGCTAGGGAGGCACCTTAGGCCTGGGATGGAGGCCTCGATCCTTGAAAAGGCCTCTGCTCCAGCCCTCCTGGGCGTCAAGGGAAGAAACCCGAATAACTCTTGTCCTTCTAGACCTCAGGGGGACCCGGGGCCAGGAGCCCTGGGATCCCTCACCCAGCCTAGACCCTGCTTCTAGGCCTGGGGATCCTTCCGACCCTGGAAGCTCACCAGTGGCCCGAGCAGGCTTAGGCCAAGGGTGTGCCATGGGCAGCTTGGGCGGTGGTGGCCGAGGGACGCCTCCCAGAGGGAGACTGGGCTGTGGACGGAGCCTGGGGCGAGAATGAATGGGCAACACCTGGGGCCCGGCCTGCAGCAGCCCTGACGTCAGCAGGCAGTTTAACAGCTGGCTGGCTCACTTCGGACGCGCAGATCCTGATACCTGGCCTCCCAGCATCCCCCGTCCCTGCCCCGTGTCCATCCCTCCTGGCCCAGGAGAACAGCGGCTGGAAAGAGCCTTCGGCGGTGACGGTGACCGGAGGGACACGGGGCGGGGCAACCTTGTTTGCTGCCCTTTGTCCAGACGGAGTCCGAGGCGGAGGCGGAGGCGGTGCCGGCCAGGGAGGGCTCCTAATTACAGAGGGGGCAGCCACACTGGGACACCAGGACACTCCTTGGAGGGCCGGTGGTGTGTGGGCGGGGCTGGAATGCCAGAAGGGAAACAGGCGACCAGAAAACAAGAGATAGGAGGCCAGAAATAGTGCAGGCAGATGCCAGAGGGGCTGGGGAGGCTACAGAGCTCCGTGGTCCCCACTGCCCCAACCCCTGCAGCGCCTGGGGTGCAGACCCAGGATTTCTGGAGCCCCAGGACGGGTTTGGGCCATCAAGAGTATGATTTTTTTTTCCTTTCCTTTTCTTTGTTGTTTTTTTTTTCCCCTGGTGCCAGGGATCGAATTCGGGACCTTGCGCTTGCGAGGGAGGCAGTGGAACCACTGAGCTAAATCCCCGGCCCTGTTTTGTTTTGTTTTTTGAGACAGGGTCTTGCCTTACAGTTCAGGTTGGCCTCAAACTCACTCTGTAGCCCAGGCTGGCCGGAACTCATGGCTATCCTCCTGCCTCAGCCTTCGAGCGCTGGGAAGACAGGCGTGCGCCCCCGCACGGGCTAGGAGTGTTGCTTTCTGGGCTGGGTCTCCCCGGCTCCCTGAGCGGCTCAGCCTCCCCTCCCCTCCCCTCCCCTCCCCTCCCCGAGTGGTTTTGCCGGGCGGGTGAGCGCGAGCTCCCCACCTGAGTCAGCCTGGCTCCTTCCTGCTCCACAGCGAGGGCCCCACCTGCGTTGGCAGCCCCGCCCCCCGCCCTCCGCGGGCCGCAGCTGCCTGCCGGGACACGACGCGCTTCCCACGGGGCCCGGCTCCCGCGCAGGCTCGCACGCGCACGCGCATACACTGCAGCAGTTTCTGTCCCCCTTGCACATAGCAGGAAACTGAGGCTGGAGCCGGGACAGGGACTTAGCTTTAAGGCCAGGAGAGAACGCAAATTCCTGGCAGGGCTGGGACTTGAACCCCCGGGGTGGGTGCAGGCGGCGGGTGGCCAGGGCCCGGCACCCTCCTCGGGGATCCGAATAAGTAGCGTAGACCTTGCGTCCTCCAGGTCACGGGGCGCCCCCCCCCCCCCGCACGAAGAACGCAGCGGGGAGCCGCCCCTCCCCCACCTGCAGGACCGGACGGGGCCGCCCAGCCCAGGCCTCGGGGGACCTGGGAGTTGCGATTCTTGAATATTTCATCAGCGCCTCAGCCTCCTGGAAGCCTCGGCCAACTTACAGCTCATGGATAATTTACGGGTGGCGGAGGGGGCAGGGCAGGGGCGGGAGGCCAGGACCAGGCTGTGAGTGTGAGGGGCTTTGGAGAGGAGCCCGGTGGGCGAAGTGGGGGACCCAGCTCCAAGGCCAGGGACTTTCCATTTTTGAGGATAGTGATGTATTAAAAATGAACAAACAAAAGAAAGGCTGTCGAACTGTGCTAAAGGTTAAAGTCACAGGACAAGCATTTTCTGACTTCATCCCTGCAGGTCCCTGTGATGGGGTACAGCCTCATTCAGAGATAACAAAACAGTTCAAGGGATAGCCAGGCGTGGTGGGACACTCCTGTGACCCCAGCAATTGGGAGGCTGAGGCAGGAGGATCCCACGTTCCAGTCAGCCTGGGCGACTTAGCAAGCCTGGAGGTGTAGCTTAGGGCCACAGTAACAGGGAGAAAGGCCACCTGACTCCTCACCCGGGCAGCCTGAACCCCGGCCCTCCCAGCCCTTCCTCCAGGAGGCCCAGGGGACTGAGCCTCTGACCTCTCCCTCCACCTCCTCCGGGGCACAGAGCCTCACGCTTTTCTGATCAGAGAGCTGGGACAGGTGGCCCACAGTGGACACTGTCCCGTTGTCCCGGACTCGGAGACAGTGAGTTCTTTCAGGTGTCAAAGGTCAGTGTGCCTGTGGGGGAGGGGTAGCTCAGCAAGCACCCCGCCCCCTTACCTCAGTTTCCCCGTCACAGGCAGGTGAGGTACTGCAGCCTCAGGGTTGTCCAGGGGCAGTGATGCTATCCAGGCCTCTGCGCCTGTTAGGGCCCAGAGTGGTGATTAGGGGGTGATGTGTCCCACCTAGGCCTGGGGTCTGGGCTGGGACCCCAGGACACTCCTGTCTGACCCCCGTCATCTGGGAGTTTCATGGGGCCAGGGCCGGGCAGGGTCACAGCACCCGGAGGCCCAACCCAGGCCTTTGGAGTCAGTGTCCTATCTGGGATCACCAGAGATGTCCAGGAAAGCAGCCACAGGAGGCTGGAAGGAACCCCAAAGTAGGGGACCAGGGGGGCGGTACGGACCTTGGGCAACACATTCTTTTTTTTTGGTACCGGAGATCGAACTCGGGTCCTTGTGCTTGCACAGCAGGTAGCAAAACCACTGAGCTAAATCCCCGGCCCCAACACATTCTTTTTTTGTGAAACAGTCTCACTGTGTAGCCCAGGGTGGCCTCAAACTTACAACGATCCTCCTGCCTCAGCCTCCAGGGCTCTGGGAGGACAAGCATGGGCCACCACATCTAGCAGTTGCTATCTTAAGTGGCCCCAACATCTGGGTCCTCACGGCCCCAACATCGGGCCTAAATCCCATGGAGGTGCTGGTCAAGGGCTTTGACACCCTACAGGCCTGGCTTCCTCTCCCAGCTCCAGTGACAGACAAGACACCAACCCCAGGGGCTGGGCACCTTCTTCCTCCCCTGCTTCTCTAGGCAGCTTTAGGGTGGCCCAGCCCCGCACCCGCCCAGGAACCCTGGACAAGTCAGGAGCAGGAGGGGAGCTGAACAAAATAAAAGATCCCAGCGCTTCGCTCCCCATCACGAGTGTGATCACTGTGGCTGCAAAAGTGTACTAAAAAATTCTTTTTAAAAAAGAGAAATGTTTCTGAAATCACACACAAGCTGGGGTGGGAATAACCTCGGGGTGCCGAGGACACAGCGCGCAGCCTGCAGCAGCCGCGCTGCCCGTGCGGACGGGCGCTGGGGAGGCCCAGGCTGACGCTGGCAGGAGAGGAGGAGAGGCCGGCGACGCCCAGGGAAGGGGAGCTGAGAGACGGGCGCTGCGCGGGTGCATCAGCACGCACACGCACAGGCGTGGACAGCTTACGCGCACTCACGTGCGTGCACGGGCGTCCGCCCGCTCGACCAGCAGCCCCTCGCCCCGCCCTAGCTGCTGATGTAGGACATGTTACGATGTATGTAACTCAGTTCACTGCCGGTCCCGCCAGAACAGGAGCTCCGAGGCACGGGCCGGTCTGCTCTGCTCCCGGTTGTGCCATGACGCCCAGTTGGTGTTCAACACGAGCGTGGCGTGAACTCTGAGCTCGCACACGCAGCGCTCGGTCAGTCCCGAGGCCGGAGCGGCCGTCCGCGGACCCACACACCGGCCACGCGCGGGATTCCAGAGCTCGCGCTCGCGGCCGGGCTGGCCAGGGCATCGCCGCCAGCCTGGGGAGGATGGGATGGGCAGGGCCACGGCTCCGCCCCACCTGCCCGGAGGACGGAGGACGAGATCGCTGGCCCTCGGCAGCCGGACTTTGCCTCTGGCCCTCGGGTGCACCGTGGTGGTCCAGGGAGGTGGGGCCAGGGAGGCGCAGTGGGCCCTGCGCATGAGGGGGGCTAGGCAGCCAAGGGCCCTCGGCGCCCCCTGGCATCCACCACGCCCAGCAGGAGCGGTGCCAGCCCGGAACAGGGCGCCCATCCCGTCCGGACCCTCGCCCGCGCCCCCTGGTGGCCGATGCGGATCGCACCGGCTCCCAGCCAGAGGTGTCGCCCGTGTCCTCCCCACTCCTGCCTCACGCCTGCCCCACGCCCGTGAACGCTGCAAGCAGACAACCATTCACCAACCGCGAACATTTATTGAGCACCGACGGTCTATGCGGGAAATCCTGGACGCCTGCTCCAGTGCTCCTCGGCCCCGCTGTCCCTCCGACACTCAGGCCGGGCCTCCAGCTGTGGCCTGGGCTCCCACAGGGGGTACCCAGGAAGCAGAGGACCCCGTCAGCCCCTGCACACCCGGACACAGATGAGCCAGCACCGCGCTTGGTAGGGACAGGCCAGCGGCGTCCATGGTCAGGTTTTCATAAATAGTGCTTGCTGCTGCCCTGCTTCCTGAGCTGTCCAGGGGTGTGGTGACCCCTCGGGTGATCCCTTCTCACGCCAGCTCAGGCTCTGGCTCTGAAAGGCAGAGGAGGGCACAGGGATGAGCCCTGACTGCCCACCCTGGCCTGGGGCCTGGCCCTGCTGGAGGAGGAGGGGACAGGTCTCAGCCCTGGGACCCAGGACACCCCCAGCAGAGGGCCCCCTCACCAGCCTCGGCATCGTCCCCCTTGGCATCCGGCTCCTGCCACCAGTCTGCGTAGAGTCCCTCCTCGTAGTCGCCGTCACCCTCAAACTCCGCATCGGACAGGGGCCGCTGGGGCTCGGGGGGTGGCTCCGTCCCTTCCAGTTCCATCTGGAGGGGCTCAGGGTGAGGGGTGAAACAGGGTCACTGGGGGCGCAGGCCCAGCCAGCTCCTTCCTGGCCAGGGGACTCTTATTCCATCTCAGTCCCCCAAGCCCCCTGAGGTCAAGCGGCAGAATGGCATGGGTGTCTGGCCCTGGGACGATGAGCACTGCAGCCCTCATCCAGCCTGCCCAGGGCACAGCCACCCTGGCACTGCCCTGCCTGGACAGCTCCAGCCGAGCCCGAAGAGCCGGGCCTGAGCCCGGGGACCTTCGCTGATGCCCCCTGCTGCCAGGACCCTGGGCCGCCTGGACCTCTCCAGCAACAGTCTCCTTCCCCACAAGACCTGGGACAGGGACCGCACCTTTGGTGGCTGGTAGATGCCAGCAGGCAGCAAGTGACAGGTGACAGCCACCAACTGGCTCCTACTGTCAGAGCTTACTTCAGGCTGGCTCCCCCAGGGCTTGACAGTATTTTTCAGCACTAGGGATGGACGCACAGCCTCCACACTGAGCTACATCCCCAGTCCTGTTTTTTCTGACGGTGTCTCCCTGAGTTGTGAAGTTGTTCAGGCTGGGTTTGAACCTGGATCCTCCTGGCCCAGCCTTCCGAGTGCTGGGATCACAGGTGTGCACCACCACGCCCTGCCCACTTTTCCCCCTTGATCTCACTTAACTCTCACCACCACAAAGTGGAGATGTCACTTCGGACTCGCTTGAGACTAGCCAGGAGTGGCCAGGTTTAAGCCACCCTGTCATTCCCACGCGGTGTGAGGCCAGATGGAGCCAGGTGCCCCAGGAGGAAGGGGCCGGGGTTGGCCCTGAGTTCAGGGCCTTGGACCTGCCTACACAGAAGGCAGTCCAAGCTGGGCCTGGGGCGGTATAAGAGGGTCCTGGGGATGCCAGGGCCAGCAGAGAAGGGCAGTTCTGGGACCCCGAGGCCCGGTGAGGCTGGGACACTGACCTCGTCATCAGCCTGCAGGTGTGCATGAGTGTAGTCCAGCAGCTGCCGCAGCTCAGTCGTCTGATTGTAGTAGAGCGAGGCCTCCTAGGGGAAGGAGGCCGGGGTCAGCAGGTCCTACTGCCACAGGGACAGAGGAGGGATCTGCGCCCAAGCCTGCTGTCCTTCTGGGGGAGCAGCGGCAGCTCGTGCTGATCAGGCAGTCACGGCCACCCGGAGCACTGGGCTGGGGGCCTCTGGGGCTCGGGGAGAGAGCACCAGGACCCATCAGCGATCTCTGTCACCCACAGGAAAGCCACCCGGTCTCCTGCCCCTGCCCCCTGTCTGCCAGTGCCAGGTTCAGAAGGGTCAGTGACGTCCCTTGGCCACACAGCAGCCAGACCCTGCCCTGCCCTGCCTGGAAGCTGAACTTGGTGCCCACCTCCCGAGGCAGGAAGTCCTCGTCCCCCAGGCCCCAGCGTGCACGGTGGAAGCGGTAGTACACCAGGTTCTGCTGCATGACGCTGTCCCCAGGGTCGAAGAGCATGTAGCTGGCAGCGCTGCGGGCGGCCTGGTGCATGTCGTTCACTGTGGGCGGTGGGACAGTGAGGAGTCACCCTGCCAGGCCCTTGGGGACAGTGGCTCCCTCCCATGCAAACAAGCAAACGTGGTGCATCCCGGGTGCCAGGTGCCCGGAGGCCCCCCTCACTGCTGCCCCCATTTTACAAAAGAGAAGTTTGCAGCCCAGGGCTCCGGAGGCTGAGCTGGCCAGCACAGCTGGGAGGATGGCCATGCTGAGGGACCCCCAGCCCCAGCCCCAGCCTCCGAACCCTGGCGTCAGAGCCCTGTTGTCCCTCCTGCCCTGCGTTTCATAGCCACGGCACTCACAGCTCTTGCCCTCCATCAGCCTCGGTTTCCCCATCTGCAAAGTGCAGTGGGTCCTGGGGAGGTCCGCATGAGCGAGTCCGGGCTCTGTGAGCCGACAGTGCTTAGTTGTTGGCAAGAGGCCCCAGTTCTGTCCACGAGTTCCCACGCAGCCTTCCCCAGACCCTGGCTCCATCCCCTGACCCCAGGCTCCGGGGAGGCCCTGTGCTGCCCCCTGGCTCACACTTGTAGTAGGCGAACTGCATATAATGGTACATGGTGGCCACGAACTTGTCCACGAAATAGCCGCCCACGTTGGGGGTCAGAGAGGGCTCACAGTCCGCCTTGCACTGCAGCGACTCTGCAAAGAGATCTGGGGGACAGGGCGGGGGCTTCGGTGGGCCCCAGCTCTGGCTGCTGCCCTCCCTCCTGGCCCAGGATGTGCCGCTGGTCACCAGGAGCAGTGTGGGTGGCAAGCTTTGTGCACAGCGACTCCGGCTCATGGTGGGATTTCTCACCTGGGGCATCTGCTTGGCACCTTCCTAGCCCCCCTCTGGGACGCCCGGCACCTCAACACCCCTGAACCCTGGGTCTTGTCCGCAGGAGCTCTTCGCAGCTGCTCCACACCTGTGCCCCCGTGTGTCGGCCCTCGGTAGGCGGGTACCTGCTATGGCCGGGTAGAAGTCCTTGAATTCCACCTGCTCCTGGGCCCCCTCGCATCCTGCCAGACACCGGGCAAAGACGGCCAGGTACTCGGCCAGGGCGCGCTCCATGCCCTCGGCACTGCTTCGGAAATCACCGCTGTTGTAGAGCTTCACAGCCCGGAGGAACACGGCCTGGGGGGGGACATGGGGGTCAGGGAGACCCCAATCCCTCTGCTCCTCTACATCCTACGGGCACGGGCGCGGGGTCCTAAGCATCCTCCTCCTGCCCTGCACCTCGTATGGCTGGGCCTCCAGGTCTGTGAGGGACTCATCAGGGATGTCCACCATGCTCCGGTAGTAGGCCAGATACTTGGCGGTCAACTCGTGCTTCGGGTTCTTCTGCAGGAAAGTGTAGGCCGCAGCCACCGCCTTCTCCACCCGATCGTCCTGGGGGCAGACAGCGAGGAGCGCGAGGTCGGTGGGGCGCAGTGTGCATCCTGGGCGCCCGTCCCTCGCGCTCTCCTGGCGGCGCCCACCTTGAAGAGTGCATAGTGCAGGTACAGGTAGGGCCGGCGGCTCTGGAAATCGCGCAGCAGCTGGCGCGGCGGGTAGGGCACGCGGAAGGCGGGCAGCTCACTCTGGCAGCGGCGCAGGCAGGCGGCGCGCTGCAGGACGGTGCTGAAGAGCCGCAGCTCTTGTGCCCAGGCCTCGCTGCCGTCGGGGTTCCCGGGGCCACCGGGGTCTCCGGGGTCCCCGCAGCGCGCGTGGCAGAAGGCCTCGCTGTCTCGCAGCAGGCGGTGCAGCCGCAGCGCAGCCTCCAGCCCGTGCGCGCTCTCCCGCCACGCGCCGCGCTCGTACAGCTCAAGCGCGCGGCCGTAGGTGGAGGCGAGCGGCGCCAGCGCGGCGGGCGGGAACCCGCGGAAGCTATACTGCTCGTACTGCGCACGCGCGGCCGGCGGGGGGAGCAGCAGAGGGAGCAGGAGGCCGAGCAGCGCGCGCGCCACGGCCGCCATGGCCGCGCACGAGCCCGCGCCCCGATCCGCGCCCTTGGTCCAGTACCTCGCGCTCCACCCGAGGCCCGCGCCCTGCGCCCCGCACCCGCGCCCCGATCCCTTGCGCCCAGGGACGACAGGGCCCACGGAGAGGGTGGACAGGGTCGTCAACCCTGCCCCGCGGAGGCTCCTACAGCCCCGACGCCCAATCGCGGGCGCTCCCTGCGGAGGAGAGCGCGTGGGGTTCGCTGCACGCCCGCGTGAGAGCCCGCCAAGCCCCTCCCCACGCTGCGCCCCGGACAGGACCAGGGAGGCGGACCCGGGACGTCGGCTGCCGGGCTGTCCGCCCCGCCTGCCCCGGTCCCCCACGCGCCCCGCACCCCACGTCCCCCAGTACCCACGACCCCCGCAGCCACTCCCAGGGACCGAGTGGGCACTGCGGGGAGGGGCGTGGAGACGCGGCCTGGCCTCACCCTCGGGGGCCTGGGCTCGGGGTCAGCGGAAGGAGCCGAAGCCCCCGCCCGGTCCTAGGACCCGGGGGCTCCGGAAAAGGACGCCGAGCTAACTTCGTCGGAGTCCGCCCGGCCGGCGTCTCATCTTTCCCTCCCCGCCTCCCTGCCCAGCCTCCGCCCCGGGGACCCGGACCTGGGGGAGCCGCGGGCGGGGTTCCTGCGACTCGGCCCTCCCTCCCGGCCGGCCACCTCGGGTGTCCCCAGCCCCCCTTCCACGTGGACGGGCCAGGGTGGAGGTGGGGGACAGGAAGAGGGGGAGCCAGCGCTGGGAAGAGGAGGGGAGGCCTCCGCCTCGCCTCTCCAAGCCCACGTCCGCGCCAGCACCATGCAACCCGCGGGCCGCCCGGGCCGGCTGCCCCTGCTGCAGGCCCTGCTGGCGCTGCAGGCCGTGGGGAGGGCGCTGGGCCGCGCCAGCCCGGCCGGGGGCCCCCTGGAAGACGTGGTGATTGAGAGGTACCACATCCCCAGGGCCTGTCCCCGCGAGGTGCAGATGGGGGACTTCGTGCGCTACCACTACAACGGCACTTTCGAGGACGGCAGGAAGTTTGACTCCAGGTAAAAGTGGCTCCCGGGGCCTCTCTTACCACCTCCCTCCGTTCTGTGGCACTGGAAATTGAACCCAGGGCCTGGGCGTTGAGCTCCATCCCTGCCCTCTAATGTTGCTAGGTCACTAAATTGCTCAGTCTGCACCCAAACTGCCGTCCTTCTGCCTGAGCCTCCCAGAGTGCTGGGATTACCAGCATGCACGACCACACCCGGCTTGTTCTTCCTTTAAAACTGCATCCCTGTATTCACCCCAGGACGCCCTGACCACAAACAGCATGAGGGAGGGCCCCCCAGACTGGTGGTCCCCCGGAGACCACCACCCCCAACTCCAAAGGCAGCACCTGACAGTAGAACCGTGCCACCGCTGCTGCCGCCTCATTCAGAGACTGCGGGGCACTGTGCCTGTGGTCGCTCGCGGCTGTTTCTGAAGGGGTGGCCATGGTGGACGGACGGCAGGAGGAGCCGGGCAGGCAGAGCTCCGTCATGTCCCCAGGCAGATGGGCACCAGGGCACCCAAACTCCTCATGCCTCCCTGCAGGCTGCCTCCTCCATTTTGGCTCTACCAGGCTGACACTGCCACCCACCCTGCTGCCTGGGGCCTCCGGTCTGCCCACTCCGGCTGGCGGGGACCAGGCAGGGCTGTGCCAGCCTCTGGGTAACCCTGCCAACCCCCAAACCATGGGACGTCACCGCCCAAGACCCTGCCCACATGGCCCAGCCTCAGCCCTGAGTGCAAAGCCTGGCAGTGCAGAGGGCAAGAATAGGAGCTGAGTGCAAGGTCCTGGGTTCAAATTGGGCCACGCCGTCGACAAGGGCTGCCGGCGCTAAGCTTCAGGGGCAGCTTGTTTAGGCTGGTCTGAGATGTCCAGGCGTGCAGAACAGGGTGGCCTTGGCCAAGGACAGAGCAGACCACACAGCACTGACAAACTAGCTGGGAACACAGCCAGGAGCCCTCTGGCCAGGGCGGGAGGTCCGGGCCAGCTTCCCAGGTGGGGACCCTGGGAGCCCGGCTGGGGCTCAGCTCTTAAGAGCTGAGCTTGGAAAACTTTATGTATTTATTTTCTTTAGAATCCAGGATCTCACTGAATTGCTAAGTTGCCTGGGCTGGGCTTGAATTTGTGATCCTCCTGCCTCAGGCTCCCAGAGTGCTGGGATTATAGGCACGCACTATCACCTAGCTGATAGTTCATCCCCTCCCCATTCTTGGGGTTTTTTGTTTCGTTTTGCTCTGGAGTCAGGGTCTCACAGTGTGAGCCAGGCTGCCCTTGAACTTGCCATCCGCCTGCCTCAGCCTCCTGAGTGCTGGAAATGATCCATCCTCACACCTGGCCCATGGTCCCCTGTGATCCAAATAAAAGTCTCTACTTCCGAAAACTTAAAAGTATGCAACTGAAAACAGGTAGGGTTGGGGATTTAGCTCAGTGGCACCATACCTGCCTTGCAAGCATAAGGTCCCAAGTTTGATCCTCAGTACCAAAAAAAAAAAAAAAAGGACTGGGGATGCAGCTCAGTGTAAAGGCCCTGGGATCAATCCCAAGTACTGCAACTAAGTAAACAGATAAGTAAAATTAAAAAAAATATAATGAGTGTAAAGTGCCAAGCATTGAGGCTGGCATATAGTGAGAGCTCATAGACGCTCCACGGCCCTTGTGCCTGGTTTGCCTTCCTTTTGGTGACCGGAAGCAGTGCCCATTTGCCACCCCCACCCCAAGCAAAGCCCGGCCCCCTGAGGTGTCGGGAGGGGGAGCAGGGCACACCCCCCTCTGCGCCTCCTGGAGGGACAGAGAGGTGGGCGGAAGGGTGCGGACCTGAGCCCTCCGCCTCCCCCACCCCGTCCCTCCATCCCCAGCTACGACCGCAGCAGCCTGGTGGCCATCGTGGTGGGCGTGGGGCGGCTGATCACGGGCATGGACCGCGGGCTCATGGGCATGTGCGTGAATGAGCGGCGGCGCCTGGTGGTGCCCCCGCACCTGGGCTACGGCAGCATCGGCGTGGGTGAGCACACGGGCAGCCCGGGTGGGAGCGCGGGCAAGCAGGAGCGCGCGTGGGGGGGGTGCCCAGACCTCCGGCCCATCCACAGCGGGGCTCATCCCCCCCGACGCCACCCTGTACTTCGACGTGGTGCTGGTGGACGTGTGGAACAAAGCGGACACGGTCCAGGTGAGCGTTCTGCTGCGGCCGCCGCTCTGCCCGCGCATGGTGCAGGCCGGTGACTTCGTGCGCTACCACTACAATGGCTCCCTGCTGAATGGCGTCCCCTTCGACAGCAGGTACGGCGGGGCTGGACCGGCGCTGTGGGCTAGCGGAGGAGGGGGTCCCCAACAAACAGCACCGGCCCTCTGTCTGCAGCTACAGCCGGGGCGGCACCTATGACACCTACGTGGACTCTGGCTGGCTGATCAAGGGCATGGAGCAGGGACTGCAGGGCATGTGTCCCGGAGAGAGGAGGAGGGTCACCATCCCTCCGTTCCTGGCCTATGGCGAGAAAGGCTACGGTAAGGGCAGATAGCGGCTGGGGTGACTTCAGAAGAGGGGAACAGTTGCTCGGGTTGTGTAGTGCACAAGGGCTTCCGGCCAAGGAGGCAGGTAGAGGTGAAATCCAGTCCTTGGTGATTGCCTCGCAAACAAGAGCGGCTTTATTCTGACTCACAGAGGCTCTGGCTGGTGGTGACCCTGGGTACCTGGCTCTGGCCGCTAGAAGGCGCAAGAACTAGGACTGGAGAGCAAATGTCTTTTCACTGGAAGCCCACTTGGGCCTTCCCGAGCCTCCATTTGCTCCCTGCTTGTTTGGCTCAGGTCCCATGCCCTCCACAGGGACCGTGATCCCCCCACAGGCCTCCCTGGTCTTCCACATCCTGCTGGTAGATGTCCACAACCCCAAGGACACGGTCCAGGTGGACACGCTGGAGCTCCCGGCCGGCTGTGTACGGAAGGCAGTGCCTGGGGACTTCATGCGGTACCACTACAACGGCTCGCTGATGGACGGCTCGCCCTTCGACTCCAGGTCTGGAGGGTCCCAGGGTGGCAGGGCCAGGGCAGCAAGGCCAGGCCCCAGATGGGGCAGGGCCCCGCCGACCCCTCACGGCCTCCGAGTTGTTCTGTCACAGCTACTCACGGAACCACACATACGACACCTACATCGGGCAGGGCTACATCATCCCGGGCATGGACCAAGGCCTGCAGGGCGCATGCATGGGCGAGCTACGCAGGATCACCGTGCCCCCCCACCTGGCCTACGGGGAGAACGGCACCGGTAAGGGACGCTGCCCATTTCCCTGCTACCCCAGGGCGGTCCCCACCCACCACCCTGCCTATGGGGACCTCCTCACACAGCCGCAGGAGCAAAGAAGCCTGGGTTTCTTTAAAATTGAGACAGGATCTCCATATGTAGCCCAGGCTGGCCACAAGATCCTCCTGCCTCAGCCTCCCTAGTTCTGGGATTACAGGCTTACAGACTTGGATTTGAGACCCCTCCTGGTCAGCAGCTTCCGTCCTTGGGCCACTGGAGGCACCCTGCCCTTACTTGGGTCTCCAGGGTGAGAGTAGACGAAGCTGACCCCTCCCCCTCCTGGCCTCAGGAAACAAGATCCCGGGCTCCGCCGTGCTCATCTTCCATGTGCTCATCGTTGACTTCCACAACCCCTCCGACCCCGTGGGCATCGAGACCCTGTTGAGACCCTCGGAGCCCTGCAACAAGACCTCCAAGCTCGGGGACTTCATTCGCTACCACTACAACTGCTCGCTGATGGATGGCACCAGGCTGTTCTCCTCGTGGGTCGGGGTCCCCCATCAGCACCCCACTGCAGCCTCCCACTGTGCCCATTGTCCCTTCCCAGTGGGCAGCACGAGCGCCCTTCCTCTGCAGGGAGGGGACAGCAGCCCCGCAGGCCGTGCGGGGCCAGTGCCAGGCGCTGGGGTGCCCGGGACGGCTCTGGAATTGCGGGTGTGTCCCGGCCCACACTGACCCGGGCTCTGCCCTCCCCAGCCACGACTTCGCGGCCCCCCAGGAGGCCACGCTGGGGGCCAACAAGGTGATCGAGGGCCTGGACAGGGGCCTGCAGGGCATGTGTGTGGGGGAGCGGCGGCGGCTGGTGGTGCCCCCGCACCTGGCGCACGGCGAGAGCGGAGGTGAGACGGAGGCCGGGCGCCACAGGGTTTGGTCCTTTTCGCCGAGTGGCAGTGGGAAGGGGGAGGCAGGAAACCCTTGGGCCCGGCTCTTCGGGCATCCCACAACCCAGGAGGGAACCGGTGGCAGCGGGGCTGTGTGGGCTGATGGGCCCCCTCCCGCCTAGCCCGCGGGGTGCCTGGCAGTGCCGTGCTGCTCTTCGAGGTGGAGCTGGTGTCCCGGGAGGACGGGCTCCCCGACGGCTACCTCTTTGTGTGGCACAAGGACCCTCCTAGCAGCCTGTTTGAAGACATGGACCTCAACAAGGACGGAGAGGTCCCCCCGGAGGAGGTAGGTCAGGAACTCAGCCACCTCCAGGCTAGGAAGCCAGCGCGCCCATGCTCCCTGTCGCCCCCCGCAGTGCTCCTGCCGGGAGACCTGCTCCCTGCGGCCGGCCAGGGCCACGCCCTCTGTCCAAGCCAGGCCTCGGGCCACGGCCCCTCCTGGGCAGGCCCTCCCAGGCCACGCCCCTCCCAAAGGAGCCCCCATGACCGCGGTGTCCACCCAGTCCTTTATACCCCTCCCACCTCAGGCCACACCCCCGCCCGGTGCTCCGGTGCTCCCCATACCTCACCTGCAGGCCATGCCCCTCGGCCTCGCCCTCCGCGCGCCCCTCCCCTCCCGTGTCTCAGTTGGGAAGCCGCCTCCAACCACCTGCGCCTCCGCCTCCGAGGACCCTGCCTGCTCCAGGCGGCGCCCCCCGGCCTAACTCCCGCCTCTCCGCAGTTCTCCTCCTTCATCAAGGCTCAGGTGCAGGAGGGCAAGGGCCGCCTGCTGCCCGGGCAGGACCCCGAGAAGACCATCGGGGACATGTTCCGGAACCAGGACCGCGATCAGGACGGCAGGATCACGGCCGCAGAACTGAAGCTGAAGTCGGACGAGGACCAGGAGCGCCTCCACGAGGAGCTCTGAGCCGCGTCACGGAGGGACAGCGGCAGCGGGACTGACCTGCCGCAGCGCCCCCTGCCGGGCGGCTCAGGACGCAGGAGAGGTGGTGCCAAAGCGGGGCCCCGCCCTGACGGGGGTCGCCAGCGCGCAGTTGCGCTGTGGGGCAGGCCCTGGACCCTGTCACCGGGCTCTTGGCAGGGTGCGGCCACGCCCCGCCCCGTGGCGGCGCCAGGGCCCGGCTCCTGGGAAAGGGCTGCTGGGCTCCACCGGCCCCTGCTCCCCTCCCTCTGGACCCCAGATTAGGCTGGGGTCCCCACCCCTGGTCTTCCCCGCTCACCGAGTCTCCCATCTCCAGGAACCCAGAAAGGTGCTGAGGGCAGAAAAAGCCTTCGCAGAGGCCTAGGCCACGGAGAGAAACCTCCCCGTGGAGCTCTGCACACTCAAGGGCAAACCGTGCCCGCTCCCTTCCCGGTGTCAAATAAAAGGTTAAACCACAGGTCTTAGGAGGTGGTCTTTGGCGAGCAAGGGCAGGGAGTCCTGGGAATTGAACCCAGGGCCTCTGATTTGCGATGCATCCCCAGTCCTTTTTAATCTTTTATTTTGAGACAGGGTCTTACTAGGCTGTCCAAACTGGGCTCAAATTTAAGATTCTCCTGCCTCAGCCTCCCAGAGTGCTGGGATTACAGGCATGGGCCACAAGCCCAGCTTGGGGAGAGGACTTTTGACCCAAAGATTGGGACAGAAAGAGGAGACAAACTAGGCAATGCCATGGCCTCCTTCACCCCAGACAGCGCCCTGGGTGGACCAGGAGCCCAGGCTGCTGAGGGCAGTGTCCAAGGAATGGGCCTGCAGGCGTGGCGCAGACAGAGGGCCCTTGTCCCCTCACTATCCCAGCTGAGTGGGAAAGACACCGCCACCTCCCACATGACGAGGCTCAAGGACTAAAGGAGCCACACAGGGGTCACACTGCCCTGTGCTGTGACCTCCCAGCTGTCACCAGCTCCTCTCCCTTGGCTGGAGGACAGGGACTGGGACCAGGACAGTGTCCTGGGGATCAGGCCACTTGCCTGGAGTCACCACCACCAGGGACAGGACTGGGTCTCCTGAGGACTGCCTGGGCTGGTACCAAGCACTGCCTATGAGCCCAGCCCTAGCTCAGGGCTGTGGTCTGGTCTGGGTGTCCCAGCCTGAGGGTGGTGGGGCAAAGGCTTGGTTCCTGGCCTGTGGCACTACTGAGGTGCCCTTGAATCCAAGGGCCTGGTCCCCCCACCACCACCAGCTGCCATGAGGGGAATGGGCCTCCTCACCTAAGGACAGAACCGTCAAAGCCAAGAGCCAAAATAAACCTTTTCTCCTTTTAAGTTGATTATTTCAAGTCCTCTGTTACAGTGATAGAATGTACACTTGATCTTACCCAAAAGGCCGAGAAGTGATACAGTGATAGAATGTAAACACACCTAGGATCTTCTTGTTTCTTTGAGATGAGGTCTTGCTATGTAGCTCAACCTGGTCTCAAAATCACAACCCTCCTGGCTCAGCGTCCCAGAGTGCAGGGATTAGAGGTGTGCAGAACCACACCCAGCTATACCCAGGCTCTTGAAAGCCATGACTGCCGCAAGGGAAGTGACCATGGCCCCTGCCCCTGAGCACCAGGGTTTGGAGGCCCAGCAGTGGGCACACACCCAGACTCACATGGTGACCTTGCCCCGAGGCCTAGCAGAACTGCCTGGACTGAAGCGGTGTCAACTTGCAAACTTACCCCACCTACAACATCGATGGTCTAGGAGTGTATTTCATTGGTGTGATCATTTGGCTTCCATCTTTGTCTCTTCCCTAAGATTAGACAATGCCATGCAACACATAGAGGCCTTGACTATGTTCCATGGGTCTTAACACCTCAACTGGTCGTTCTCTCCTAAATGAAGAAGTAATCGATCCCTAGTACTGAAAAAAAAAAAACTCTAAATAATTATTTGGGCTGGGGATTTAGCTCAGTGGTTCCAGTGCCTGCCTCACAAGCGCAAGGCCCCGAGTTCGATCCCTGGTACCAAAAATAAAAATAAAAAAATAAATGAAGAACTAAAATTAATGACCCAAGTCATCCTCCAAAATCGGATGGTATTAGACATTCTAACAGCAGCACAAGAGGTCACTTGCACAATCATAAAACCTGAATATCGCGTGTACATTCCTGATCCTTCTAATATCTCAATGGCTGTTCAAGATAGTAAATGACAGGGCCAGGGATTTAGCTCAGTGGTTCTGTCGCCTGCCACAAAAGCACAAGGACCCGAGTTCAAACCCCGGTACCAAAAACAAATAAAAATGACAGGTGAGGGCCATGTCAGATCCTGAAATTCCCTGGACCTTCTCCTTTCCCTGTTCATGAGACTATCACTGGCTCCTCCTCCTGGTGGAAACATTTGTTGGTTGTATTCATAATAGTCTTGTTCATCTTACTGTTTACCCCATGCATACTTAACTATTTCTTTAACCCTGTCTTCTCCAGACTCAAAGCTATACGCCTACCCAAGACGAGAACAGCCGGTGTTTATCCAGGGCCCCTAGATAGACCCTCTGAAGAGAATCTCTGACTGCCAATCACAGCTACAACCCCCTTCAGCCAGAAGTGGCCAGAGTGGTCATCGGCCCCTGTCCCTCATGGCAGTTAGGGGTACTTCTTCAAGGGGGAGTATTATAGACAGCTGAGTTAGGTGGAGATACCATAGGCAGTCAGACAGGGCTAGGCTCTCGAGGGAGTCAGTACAGAGGATGAGAACACAGTACAGCTGTGGCTGGAGGCGCATCTGAAGATTAAAATCACAATGGCCAGATTTACATATTTTCCTACGGTATAAAAAATAGCTTGAAGGGCCAGGGATTTAACTCAGTGGTTCTGCCCCCTGCCTCCTAAGCACAAGGTCCCAAGTTCTATTCCGAGTACCAAAAAAAACCCCTGAAGTCTAAAAAAAGGCTTGAGGGCTGGGGGTTTAGCTCAGTGGTACTGTACCTGCCTAGCAACTGCAAGGTCCTGAGTTCCATTCCCCGTATCCCCCCAAAAAAGTTTGACAGAGGTTCTCCACATAAACCATTATCTCCTTAGGGAGGGCCCCACCCTCCCTGACACAAGACTAAGCCTGAGTCTGAGTTGCCCACCGAGGTTGGTGATGTCGTCCACGTGCCCTTCTGCTACTGGATTAGTGCTAGCCAAGTGGCCATCCTTGTAATCCTATTGATTAGTTTTGGCCCACATTGTACCCACCTTGTGATTTTGCTCTATAAAACTTTCTCAGAGAAGTGGGCTCCTTGGCAACCCACTTTTGGGTCCCCTCCTGTCTCTCAGGAACTCTCTCTCAATAAATTTTTCTACTTAAAAAAAAAAAAGAACAGCTCTGTCTTTTCATTTTTTAATTTGCACCCGCTTTACCCATTCTATTTGTCTAAAATACAGCTTTCCAAGTTTAAAAAAATTCTAAGAGCCACGGACAGGGTGACCACAGGATGTCAACGCACGGGGGTCCGGGTCATGAGGACAGAGGCGTGGGGAGGAGGTAGTGGGTCCCTGTGTCTGGGGACGGCTGTGCATGCCCTCAGGAGCCCTGTGCGCTCCCGCAGGCCCCCGAACACAGGATGTGCTGCAGCAGCCCGTTGACCACACCCAGCGTCTCATCCCTCTCCAGCACAATGTCGAAGGAGTCCAGGTAGCACTCCCGCTGCTCCTCCACCTGTGGGCAAGGCGCTCGGTGCCCAAGGTGCCTCCCAGGGCACTGCATCCCAAGCAGGCAGGGCCAGGAGGATGGCCGGCTGCCTGACTCAGCTGCCTAGTGCAAGGAGCCCAAGGCCACAGGGTCCTGCCCCAGGGGACACGGGAGGGCGAGGGGCACGGGCTGCCCCAACAGACCCTTGTCTGGACCAAAAGGAGGGCAGCAGGGCTCACAGATGCCCCGGGCATCATCTTGGCCCTGCCCAGGACCTGCCGGGCTGCTGGGACCCCACACCTGTGCCAGTGGGGCCACCCCCACACCCCAGCAAAGCACACGGCCACCTGCTGGGGCAAACCCGGTGGTGCCAGCGCCGGTGCCCCTAACACGCTCCACTCGCAGGAAGCCGGGAGGGCCTGGCTCACCCACCTTGTCGTTGAGGAAGCCAATCTTGAGGACATTCTGCACCCCGGGAACCCCGTCCGCCATGCTGAGGTCCCCCAGGGAGTCCCCGAGGAGAAGGACGTTGGTTCTCCCCTGGAGCTGCTGGAAGTAACTGGCGGCAGCAGAGCTGTTCTTGTTGAAGATGTGAATGAGAGGGGCCTTGAACCCCTGCAGGAGCCCCTGGGGACCAAGACGGGACAGCGCAGGGCTTGGGACTGTGCTTGGGGCTGTGCGGCACCAGCTGCCCTGTCTGCCTCGAGGAAGGAACCTAAGAGAGGCACAGATCTCACCAGAACCTTGGGGAGGCCAGGCTGGGGCCCAGCAGCACCCAGCAGCCAGATTTGGGCTGTTTTTCTAAATAAAATCAGTATTACTCCACAGGCCTGGGATGGAACCCAGGGCACCCCACGTGCTAGACAAGAGCTCTGCTGCTGCGTGACATCCCAGCCCTTTTTATTTTTATTTTGAGACACGGTCTTGTTTAATTGCTCAGGCTGGCCTTGAACTTGCAATTCTCCTGCCTCAGCCTCCTGAGTGTCTGGGGTCATAGGCGTGCACTGCCATGCCCGGTCAGTCCCATCCACTGGTTTATACACAGCAGCAACGGCCTGGTCTTGGGGCCCCGGGAGGGGCCAGGCTGCCCCGCACACCAGGTCCCTCTGAAGAGACTGTCACTGCCACCCAGGGCAGAGCCACCAGCGCCTCATGGGTCCCCACCCTGCCTGCCCAAGGCCGAGGCTCACGTCATCTCCGAAGTCCATGTAGTTGGACACAATGTGGGTGTTGGGGTGCAGCGCGCCCCTCTGCCGGATCACCTCCTCCAGGATGTCGCCGATGCCCGCAGAGAAGATGAACAGCGGGATGCCATGGCAGTGCAGGGTGTCAAAGAAGGCCCCGTAGCCCTCCCTGCAGGACAAGGGCTCTGAACGTCACTGCTGTTGCTACTGGGCTCGCTGGCTCTGTTTTGAGACAGGGTCTCACTGTGTAGCGCAGACCAGCCTTGAACTCACAGCAATCCTCCTGCCTCAGCCTCTTGAGTGCTAGGATCACAGCGTGCAACACCACGTCCGGCCAGCAGGCCATTCTTGCCACTGCTGCTGTCACTCACAGGTGATTCCACCCTACGTGCAGGTGCAGTTCACCCATGCAGCTCCCCCCAAAGACACTGGCACCTCCAACGTCACTGTTATCAACACGTCCCACACACATCCTGCCTCGGTGGCCAAAACACAAACAGCTCTTGGGCTTTGCCTGGGAGAGGGCAGCTGAGGCTGGCAAACACTTCCGCCACCACTCCTGCCACTGGGCAGCATCCCTGGGACTCCTTCCCTGCACCACCCCACACCCTGGCCGGCACTCCCCAAGTCTGCACCCCCGCCTGCTCTGCAGCTGTTCAGGGCAATCCTCTCTTCTCAAGGGACGGACAGCCCTTGAGTGTAGGTGCCCAGGCCCACGCTGCCTCTGTGAGCCAAGTTCCTCCTCCAAGAAAGAAGGCCCCCAGCCAGGCGTGGTGGTACATGCCTACAAGGCCAGCACTGGGGAGGCTGAGGCAGGATTGCAGGGGCTTTAAGGTTATCTTGAGCTACATAGTGAGACCCTGTCTCAAAACAGTATCCAGCAGAGAGCCCTGCTCAGGAAAAGCAGTCTTGCCAGGCGTAGTGGGCACCCCTGTAATCCAAGTACTCAGGAGGATGAGGCAGGAGGATCACAAGTTTGAGGCTAGCTTGGGCAACTTTCCAACTTAGCCCAACTCTGACTCAAAAATAAAAAGTAAGAAAATGGCTGTGGACGTAGCTCAGTAGCAGAGTGATTCTGAGTTCCATTCCGAGCACCACACACACACACACACACACACTCACGCGTGCACGCCCCAACTCCCACCCAGGGGGACTCCAAAAGTCTCTACTGCTGTGAAAAGTGAGCGAACTCTGGGCAGCTCCTCGCCCTGGCCAGACTGCGTCCTGGGCCTCAGCATAGTTCCTCCCAGCCTCCTCTGCGTGAGCTCAGCAGTTTTTGCCACTGTGTGGGATGGAGCATGGGGCTCTGCCACTCAGGGCCAGGGCCCTGCCTCGAGCCCCAGGCAGTTCCCTGGGAGCTCACCTGAGCATTGCGCCCGACTCCCGGACCACCTCGGCGATCTGCAGCCGCTGGATCCTCTGTCCACACAGCAGATCGTGGGCCCTGCTCCACCTGCATGCAGACCCAACACTGGGTGCCCAGGCCCTGTCCTCACCAGCAGGGCCATTCTCCCAGCTGGGGTCCTTACGAAGGACAAAGCCTTCGCTTTCTTCCCGTCTCCCCTGGGAAGATGCAGCCTGGAGGAGCCCCTGCAGGCTGGGCTGGTGCCCTCCTCCAGCACAGCTGGCCACCCATCTCCGTACCCCTTCCCCAGGAGGGCAGCATGTGGCCAGCTCGACAGCAGCACAGCGCAGCTGCGCAGGGTTTCCCACGCAGCCTGGGGCTCCTGAGGTATCGCTGGTGGTGCCCTCTGGCACACCTGTGGCAGGGCCCGGCGCCTCCTCCCTCCCTCACCCCCCAACCCCGCCCTGCCCCGCCCCAACCCGCCCGCCCGGCCCGGCCTGAAGGTGGCTCACCACTCCACCATGTGCGGCAGCTTCTCCTCCATGGGGCACTGTGGGTCCGTCTCGATGGGGTAATAGTGGTCAAAGAGAGCAGTGAGCTGTGACAGCCACACAAGAGAAAAGCCATGAGCCTGAGGTACCACTGGCTGGGTGTGGGGGCGCAGCGCAAGCCTGTTCTCCCAGCAACTCAGAAGGCTGAGGCAGGAGGATCACAGGGTGGAGGCCAGCCTGGGCAGCACAGTGAGATCTCACATAAAACACAGTCTGTGGCTGTAGCTCAGTGGCACAGGCCTTGCTTAGCATGCTCAAGGCCCTAGGTTCAATCCCCAGCAAGGCAAAATAAAAATAAAAAGGGCTGGCCACGTAGCTCAGTGGTACAGCGTCCTTGGGTTCAATCCTCAGTTCCATGAAAACAGAACAAATCCTAAGCCCAGAAAACTGCAGGCAAGAGCACTGGCTCCCTAGCTGTCGTGTGGGGACACGCTATTTACAAGTCCCAAGTCTCTCCTTTCTTCTTTCCGGTCTGGTAAAATCGGGATCTACATGGATCTGAATATGGCGCCAATTTTAAACAGGATCAACTTCCTTAGGTCTGCATCTGGCGATCTTTGGATCTAAACCAGGAAGCCTCTGGGTAACAGGCGGTAGCCCGGGGAGCAAAGGGGAGACCCACCTCTCTGCGACACTCCTCGCTGACGACCTTGCTGTTATCCAGAATATCTGGGAAAACAAAACTGCTTTTACTTGCCCCTTGGGCGCCCTCCCCCGTGATGCCCGCGCAGGGGAGCGCGCGACTCACTGTAGGAGGAGGGACAGCGCCTCCCGCCATGGGCGAATCTGCTCAGGGTCAGGTCGAAGTCGGACACCACCTGCGGCAGGGAGACCGCTGTGCTCACGGGGCGCCCTCGGGAGAGCGGGGAGCAGAGGGGTGCAGGGGAGGAAGGGGTCCTGAGATCCCCGTGTCCTGGGGGCGGCGACCCACGAGACCCCGACGTCGCTGTGTTGGGGTACAGGCCGCTCCCAGGGCGCAGCGCCCCGCCAGACCTCCCCACCCCCTACCTGCAGGCGGCCGCCCCCGGCCCTGCGCAGCTCGTGCACCCGCTCGCGCACGCGCCCCGGCCGCCGCATCCGCACCGTGGGCGCGCACAGGGCCGGCACCTGTCGGGAGTGAAGCGCAGATGAGCCGGGCCGCGGGACCCCGCGCCCCGTCCCCAGCCCCGCATCCGCGCCTCACCGCCTCCGCCATGGCGTGCGCTCGCGGCTCAGCAGGGCCACGCCCCGCGGCCGCACTGCGCAGGCTCAGTCTCGGGGCCGGAGGCGGGCTGCGGGGACCCCGGATTCTGATGGTGGAGGGGGTCCCAAGGTGCCGGCTCACGTGTGGGGGGGCCCCACTGCCCTGGGGCCTCCTGCTGCCTCCACTCCCACCCCCGGACTGGGGATTGGACCCAAGGGCGCCCCACCCCTGAGCAGCATTCCCAAGCCTTTTTGTATTTTTTTTATTTTTTGGCTTTTTTTTTTGGCACCGGGATCGAACTCGGGACCTTGAGCTTGCGAGGCAGGCGGCAGCACCACTGAGCTAAATCCCTAGCCCTTGTTTTTTTTCAGACAGGGTCTTGCTAAATTGCCCAGACTGGCCCGGAACTTGTGATTCTCCTGCCTCAGCCTCCTGAGTAGGTGGGATGACAGGCGTTCTCTTCTGCCAAGCTTTCTGGAGTAAAAACTCTGGCAAGTGGCCATTCCAAGGCTGGCGATGTGGCTGCAGGCCACACGCCTGACTGGAAGTGCTGGGCCCAGTGTTGATCCGCAATGCAGCGAGAAAGGAGGTGGCACAGGCCTGTAACCTCAGCACTCCAAGAGGCCAAGGCAGGAGTATCTGGAGCTCAAGCCCAGGGTGGGTTTAGGTGACTTGGTGAGACCCTGTCTCTAAAAAAAAAAAAAGTAAAAAGGGCTGGGGATGTAGCTCAGTGCAAAGGCCCTGGGTTCAATCCGTTATTGCAAAAGCAACCAAACCAAACCTCTCCCCTAACAGTGGTCATTTCTGAATTTAGTTTTGCATGGGGTGGGATGGGGCTCTGTTAAGCATCCAGCAAGGTCACAGGGCCTTCTGGGTCTTCTTCAGGGACAAGGTGGGTGACTGACATCCAGGGGGCTGGGAGCCCCGGGCAGCTGAGCAGCAGCAGACTGAATCAGTGTCCCTCTCCCGTCTTTCCATCTGAGACAGGGTCTCCCTGCACATTTCAGGCTGGCTTTGAACTCACTATGTAGTCCAGGCTGGCCTTGAACTCGCGGGGAGCCTCCTACCTCAACCTCCCAAGTGCTAGAATCACAGGCATGGGCCACCAAGCCGGCCCTTGTGCTTCTGCCTGGGCAGACTGCAGTGTGTAGGGAGCCTGGGGAGCTCAGGGTGGCTGCTGCAGGGCTGGGAACCTGGACAACCCGGAGGGGGCAACAGGAGCGGAATGGATCAGAACTGCCCTGTGCTGCTGGTGGTCACGGCCCCAAGCTGGGACCAGGACAGGAAGGGTGTGGGCCCAGGGGCGGGACAGGCAGGGTTCCGGAACCCCAGCGGCCAATGGTGAGCACACAGTCCTGCTGTGACCTCACTGAGCCCAGGGTTCTAGGCCTGACATGAAAGATGCAGTAGGGAAGGGGACCGACAGCCGCCTGCAGGGGCCCCCGACCCTCACCACGTGCAGGAGCGCAGCCTCTGCCCGCTGCTCCCCAGGAGACATGGACATGGAGGGCGCCACGACCTCCTCCTGCTTCCCCCAGCCTCACATGGAGAGGAAAATGAGTGCCATGACCTGCGAGATCTTCAATGAGCTCCGGCTGGAGGGCAAGCTCTGCGACGTGGTCATCAAGGTCAATGGCTTCGAGTTCAGTGCCCACAAGAACATCCTCTGCAGCTGCAGCTCCTACTTCAGGTGCGCCCCGCCGTGCTGGTCCAGGAGGTGCAGGGCCAGGCCCCCTGCTTGCCGCTCGTTGTCTGGGTTTCTTTGATTCCCACCCAGATCAGCTTTTGTGGACCACAAGTCCTACTCAGACCCCACGATGAGCCGGACTGAGCCAAGCACCTCTCAGAACCTAAGCACTAGGGGGAGGATCAGCTGTGGGTCACGAGGGGCTGGGGCAGGAGATGCCCCCGGTCCAGGTCAGGGAGCAGGAAGCACAAAGGGGAACTGGCTGGGGGCATGGCAGTAGGGGAGGGGGACAGTGGAGGAGAGGGGCTGGTGGTCAGGAGCACAGAGGGCTGTTTCTCCTTTGGCCGGTTACTGGGAACTGAACCCAGCCCATTTTTAGTATTATTTCTGATATAACGTCTTGGGAATGTGGCCAGGCTGGACTCAATCTTTCGAGCCTCCTGTCTCAGCCTCCTAGAATGCTGAGATTCTGGGTGTTCGCCACCCCACCAGGCAACAGCCAGCTTCCTCAGACCAATTTCCTCCCAGTGCAGTCACCATGCCCTTGTTGGAAATGTCTGCCAGGGTCACCTCAAGGAGAGGAGGAAGGTCGGGGGCTGTGACAGCAGGAAATGCTCCGAGCTGCCAGCTTCCTGTCTTTTCTAGAGCTCTGTTCACAAGTGGCTGGAACAACACAGAGAAGAAGGTGTACAACATTCCCGGCGTCTCCCCCGACATGATGAAGCTGATCATCGAGTACGCCTACACACGCACCGTGCCCATCACCCCGGACAACGTGGAGAAGTTGCTGGCGGCTGCCGACCAGTTCAACATCATGGGCATCGTGCGGGGCTGCTGCGAATTCCTTAAGTCCAAGCTGTGCCTGGACAACTGCATCGGCATCTGCAAGCTCACAGACTACTACTACTGCCCCGAGCTGCGGCAGAAGGCCTACATGTTCATCCTGCACAACTTTGAGGAGATGATGAAGGTCTCCGCCGAGTTCCTGGAGCTGTCGGTCACCGAGCTCAGGGACATCATAGAAAAGGACGAGCTCAACGTCAAGCAGGAGGACGCCGTGTTTGAGGCCATTTTAAAGTGGATTTCCCATGACCCCCAAAACAGGAAGCAGTACATCTCAGTTTTACTTCCTAAGGTCAAGTTCAGTTATTCTTTGTGAATCCTCAATTGCTCTTTTAGTCTGGAGCCATGGTCTTGCTAAGTCGTCACTAAGTTACCCAGGCTGGGCTCAAAATTTTGATCCTCCTGCCTCAGCCTCCCAGAACGTTGGGATTGCAGTAATTGCTCTCTTGATTTGTTTATCCCAGAGGGACTCTAAGAGACACACTCCGGTGTAGGACAGTCCCAGGGCTGTATTTAAATGCACTGGGTAGAAGCCACTTCTCCTATTCGCTGGAATTTTGCAGTTTCCTTTCCCTTGGTGTTGTGAGTTCCTTGTATTCCAGTTACATTCTTTAGCCAAAGTCCTCCCTAGTCTCAGGCGAGGAGAGGTTTTCTCACCCTTTCCCCATTCGATGAGTCTGTGCCCACCGGACCAGCTGGCCCAGTCCCCCAGTCATGAGTATCCATACAGTTGTAGCTGTGGGCTGCCAGTTGGTGTTATTCTATACAGATACACACTCAGTTTCTAATAGACCTAGACCAACACAGAATGGAGTGGCCATGGAACAGGTGGCTCTGTGACCCACCAGTGCCTTTGTCTAGCTCATTTTCAGTATCTGGGTGTACACCACCTCCCCAAAACTACCTATCTTTTTTTTTAGTATTGGGGTTGAACCCAGGGCCTTCTCACTGACCTACATCCCCAGCCCTTTGTATTTATGTTTGTTTGCGTATTGATTTGATTTTGTGAGACAGTTTTGTTATGTAGTCCAGGCTGGCCTTGAACTCACTATGCAGCTCGGGCTGGCCTCGAACTCATGGCGATCCTCCTGCCTCAGCCTCCCATAGTGCTGCTTGCTGGGGTGACAGGGGTGCACTACCAGGCCTGGGCTAAACCAAATATTCCAATGATGCGTTATGCATTTACAAAGCAAGCCGAGTCCACAGCGACCCCAAGCCAGCCTTCGGGAGGGGTGCGGAGCCCATCCCGGTGTCCCGCAGCCCCACCTCACCCGGATGCCTGTCTGTGCCCTGCAGGTGCGCTTGGCGCTCATGCACGCCGAGTACTTCATGAACAACGTGAAGATGAACGACTACGTCAAGGACAGTGAGGACTGCAAGCCGGTGATCATCAACGCGCTCAAGGCCATGTACGACCTCAACATGAACGGGCCGTCCAACTCGGACTTCAACAACCCACTGACGCGGCCGCGCCTGCCCTACGCCATCCTCTTCGCCATTGGCGGCTGGAGCGGCGGCAGCCCGACCAACGCCATCGAGGCGTACGACACGCGCGCCGACCGCTGGGTGAACGTGACCTGCGAGGAGGAGAGCCTGCGAGCCTACCACGGCGCCGCCTACCTCAAGGGCTACGTCTACATCATCGGCGGCTTCGACAGCGTGGACTACTTCAACAGCGTCAAGCGCTTCGACCCGGTGTGCAAGACCTGGCACCAGGTGGCGCCCATGCACTCGCGGCGCTGCTACGTGAGCGTCACGGTGCTCAGCAACTTCATCTACGCCATGGGCGGCTTCGACGGCTACGTGCGCCTCAACACGGCCGAGCGCTACGAGCCCGAGACCAACCAATGGACGCTCATCGCCCCCATGCACGAGCAGCGCAGCGACGCGAGCGCCACCACGCTCTACAGCAAGGTGCGGGGTGCGGGCAGGAGGGGCCCGCGCAGCGCAGCGCCGACCCGGGCCAGCCGCTACGCCAAGGCCCACGCGCATGCGTACACCCCGCAGAGCCTCCCGCGCCTGAGTCCGTTTGCTGGGGGCGAAGCGGGCCTCCCGCACGTGGAGGCGGTGCACGCACACAGCGCCTCCGGATTCCCTTTCTCACCCCCTCTCCCCTCTCTCCATCTCTGTTCACCTCCTCTTTGGCAAAGATCTGCCTCCGTACTTCCTTTTAGCTTCTATCTTGCTCTTTATTTATATTTCGGGTTTCTGACGTAAGAGGAACCACTTGGTACTCGAGGTGTACGGTTTGTTCCACTGAACACTGTGGTCTCAGGGTGCACCCATTTTCCTAGAAGGCCTCAAGTTCGCCCTTCTTTATGGCAGGGTGCGTCCCTGTGGAAATAACTTTCTTCATCCGTTCATCCGTTGATGGACATGGAGGCCGCTCCCAAGGATTGGTTTTAAACTGCGCTGCTATAAGCACAAGTGTGTGCGCGTCACCGCAGCACAGCCTTTAACCACCGCGAGAGACGCCTAGGGAGGGAACAGCGGGGGGATGGAACCCCCAGTTCACGTTTTCTGGGGCCTGTCCGCACATTGCACTGGTCTGCACTCCCCAGCGGTGGGGAAGGGCTCCCTTTTCTCCCCAGAGCCTCGCCGGCATGTGTTAATGGTCTGGTTTCCTGATGTTGGCCATGCTCTCTGGAGTGAGATGGCATCTGTTTTTTTTGTTGGTGGTGGTTTTTTTTGGTACCGGGGATCAAACTCGGGTTCTTGCCCTTGCGAAGCAGGCGGCGGAACCACTGAGCTAAATCCCCAGCCCACATTTCTTTTTTTTTTTTTTTTTGGTACTGCGGATTGAACTGAGGACCTTTCGCTCGCCGGGCAGGCAGCAGAACCACTGAGCTAAATCCCTGGCCCGGCATCTGTTTTAATTTGCATTTCTCCAATGGCCTGAGACGTTAAGGCTCCTCTGCACTTCACAGTGCAACACCATTTTCCAGGCCTGGTGCTGGTCAGGCAAGCGCTCTGCCACTGAGCGAGCCCCCTCAGACCTTTGTATTTCGGGGGACAGGGTCCCGCTGAATTGGGCAGGCTGGATTTGGACCTGCCGTCCTCCTGCCTCTGCCTGCCTAGCAGCTGGAATTATAGGTATGCACACACATCCGGCTTCCTGTGTGCTCCAAGTTCTCTCCAGATTACGTGCAATGTCTACTAGTATTTAAGGCCCGAGTCAGTAGTCAACTGGATTACTTAGGAAGTAAGTCTGCACATCTCGGTTCAGACGGTCTCCGTCTGCCTTCCGTCCGGGGTCAGCTGACCCTAAGCTGTGCAAGAGGGCCGTTCCGAGAACGGGCTGGCTGCCCCTGCGCACCTCCTCAGGTGACGGTGTGACTTAATTCTGTGTGACCACTCTTGCTTATTACAAAACGATGCAGCACCTAAGGAAGTAAATCCGGCCCGACTGGCGCTGAAGCTGCCGCACACGCGCCCTCTGCTCTGCATGCAGGTGTACATCTGCGGCGGCTTCAACGGGAACGAGTGCCTCTTCACAGCGGAGGTGTACAACAGCGAGAGCAACCAGTGGACGGTGATCGCGCCCATGCGGAGCCGGCGCAGCGGGGTCGGCGTCATTGCCTACGGGGAGCACGTGTATGCGGTGAGTGGGGCCGGGCCGCCTTCCCGGGTGGGCAGGGCCGCGCTCACCCGCTCTCCCCCGCCCGGCAGGTGGGCGGCTTTGACGGCATCAACCGGCTGCGCAGCGCGGAGGCCTACAGCCCGGTGGCCAACACGTGGCGCACGATCCCCACCATGTTCAACCCACGCAGCAACTTCGGCATCGAGGTGGTGGACGACTTGCTGTTCGTCGTGGGCGGCTTCAACGGCTTCACCACCACCTTCAACGTGGAGTGCTACGATGAGAAGACGGAGGAGTGGTACGACGCGCACGACATGGGCATCTACCGCAGCGCGCTGAGCTGCTGCGTGGTGCCGGGGCTGGCCAACGTGGGCGAGTACACGGCGTGCCGCGAACACTTGCCGGGTCTGGCCCAGCGGGATGAAGTCAAGCACTCGGCCTCGACCAGCACGCTGCCCGTGTGAGCCTCTGTAGCTAATAAAGCACCTAAGCAGTAAGGGTTAAGTCTTTTTTTAAAAAAAATAAACGCAGTGTTAAAACCTGGAGGAGTGCTGGAAAAATGCTCAGCCCGTGGCCCGGGGGCGCTGCGGAATTAGTCACTGCACACAGTGGCTCTAGACAGCGGATTTATTGAAAACCGACATGGAGACAATGAGTAGCTGTCACAGCAAGGCAGCTTCCGGAACACAAGCAGGCCACCGTAGTGTCGCCACTCCCCCTGGCCCCTAGCAGGTCCCTTGGACGGGAAGATCATGGAGGGCAGCTAGGTGTGTCAGGAGGAATAAGGCCGGCACCTAGCAGGAGGGCACCAGCAGGGGCTCCAGGGGCAGTGGGAAAGGCGTCGGGCCTGCAGGGCTCTGCTCAGCTGCTGCAGGAGACCGCTACCTAGAGCTGTTTTGTTCCCAAGGGCCAGAACACAGGCGACACAAGGAGAGTGAAGGGCAGCGGCACAGTGGACTTTTCTCAAGAAAGCGACCAGCTGGAGTGAGGAGCTGGCGGGGAGACAGAATCGGCTGCCAGATCCCTGCAGCTGTGCAGCCTGTGCTCCTGGTGCAGACGGGGTAGACTGAGCTCGAGCAGGCGTTCAGAGGTGGGGACCACGGCACGGGCCGGGACAGCCTCTGTACTTCAGCTTGGCTGGAGGTCGCGAGTGAGCACAGGTCCTGTCCTAACTGCTCACACTAAGTAACTAGGCACAAGGCAGCTGCATGCTCTGCTGCCCCAGCAACACTGCCCTCCTAGCTGAGAACTCGCATGCTACACTGAAAAGGCCGATGCCACTCAGGGCTTTTGGTCCCGGAAATCTATACAAACCGGGTGACCAAGGTAGATGCCATCAGGTTTAGCGCCTAGCAGAGTGATTTCTGAGCTGGCCCTGCAGAGCGAGGCTGTTATCGAGATGTATAAGACGAGTCATGCATACAGCGGCAGGGAAGGGGTGTCGCTTAGACACCGGCTCAGGACTGACATTCTCCATTCGGACTGCTGAGTTGAACTGGGGCAGGGAGGGAGGGAGGGTTAAGAGGCCATTCCTAAGACAGAAGCGGCCACACCCTCAGGGATGCTGTCACTGCTTTTTGGTACAGTCAATTCCTCATTCTCTCTACCAAAGGAAAACAAAACCAATAAAAGAAAGGTTTGCTTGTGTAGACATTAAGCTGTGGTTTTGATTTCTTTCTGAGAACAGGGTCCCCTATGTAGCCCAGGCTGGCCTCAAATTCAGGGAGTACCTCCTGCCTCAGCCTCCTGGGTGCTCAGATTGCAGATGTGTGCCACCACGCTGAGCAAGGTGTTTTTAACTGCTTAAGTTACCCAACACAATCGTTTTCATCAGAAAGGACCTTCCCCCCCTAAGAACCACTTTAGGCCCGGTTATCATAATTAGAGCCATTCCAAGCCCTCCACGCTATTATTTCCAGTTTAGGATTTCAGAATGTCAGCCTTGAGCAGATTTAAGCCGATCTGGTTTCTTCCCTTGTTAACAAGTTAGTTGGGATATTTCAGAATTACAAACTCCTGATGTGTAGTCACACGTGTGGACTGAAAAATAAAAACCAGACACTCAGTGGTTGGGCAAACCTGCACACATCACCATGCAAGAAGGACTTACCCTGCTGCAGCCAGGGCCTAGATCGCCTGCCGGGTCAGAAACAAGTGTCAGTCACGTTTGTCAACATGGGCCACACTCAATCCCGAGTTCTAGGTTCTGCCAGCTTGTGTAAAAGAGGAACCCACAGACGGGCCCTAGTGACTGAGCTGAAGCCCAGCCCCTTCTGGAGGCCACACTGCAGCAAGCTCATGCTGCGTCCCCAGTGGGACAAGGGCAGGGCAGGGCAGGGCAGGGCAGGGCGGCAGGTGCAGCCCACAGCTGCATCCTCAACCGCCTCGCCCACACAAGAGCCCTCGCAGCTGAGCACCTGCAGGGCTTTCACTAAAACCATTGCGAAAGGAAAAGGGGGACAAGGCACGCACCTGTGTGGGGCAGGATCAGGACGCAGGCACCCGGCTCGGACTGGCTGTCTGTCCCCGCCAACTGCACTGACAGGTTCGCCGAGAGCCCTTGTCCTGGGTGGGGGCAGTAAGTCAGAAGGCTGCACACCTGGGAGCTAACATCAGCTGGCCTCTCAGTGAATGACAGCTGAGGCTTCTGGCTGTGCCCTTCCTCCTTTTGACGTCTGATCATACAACACGGTTGAGTGTTAGCCGCCTAGGGAGAAAACAGCGCTGCCTCGACTCTGACTTCTGCGATGATACTCCAGAAGCTAAAGAGATAGACACTGCTCGCTGAAATAAAGGCACACTCCGCCCACACCGCAGGCCGCCCTCATGGTGGCCCTTGTCAACCAGCACTGCCAGACGCGCTGAATCCTCGTTGGGGGGTTGTGTTGGTTTGGTGTGAAGAGACACAGTCTCACTACAGGCCCCAGGCTGGCCTCGAACTCCTGGCGATCCTTCTGCCTCGGCCTCAGCCTGAGTGCTGCGATCACAGGCATGCGCCACCATCCCCACCTCTGAATGCTCACCACACAGAGCCAGCGAGTGTCCTAGAATCAGGAGAACTCACAAAAACAAGTAACTGACAACTGCAGTGATAAACCTTTCAAGAGCCAAAATCAGGCACCCAGATTTGGCATTCTCGGTTCAGGTCAGTTCCAAGAAAACTGGATAAAATATTGTAACAATAAGGAGGCTTTTCTGTAGCAACGTTTTTCTAAATTGTTACTTCCCATTTTGAAAAAGAAATGAGGATTCCATACAATATGCACTAGAGGAAAGATGAAGACAGAGGCCTGCAGGGCAGTCACCGGTGCTGCACTCTGAACACGACCTCGCCGTGTCACACGCGGTCTCTGCCCACGCTTGTAACAGTCCTCTCTTAGACCAACTTCACACCTGTAACTTCCTCTCCTCGATCTGCTCTTTCGGCCGGCTACCAGCGTCTTGGAGGCATGATGTGAAGTCATAAACAGCTGCCAACGTCGTGAAAGTATCAGTAATAACAGAGTAATAATGGAGTAATAAAGCACGGAGCTAAGCACTCATTTCAAATCAGTCACCTCTTCCAAAAAGGACCGTGACAGATCTTCCAGTGTCCGTGCGAACACAGCAAAATCATTTGGCTGAAATATTGTGCTTTTTCCTTCAAATTTCAGGCTCACTATTGCACACGCCTCCTGCAGATAAGGGCTTAATGCGTAAGTTCTGATCCTGTTGAAACCAACCATTCTGTAACAATGAAAAAGATATCAAAGGAAATGTGCAAATAAAGTTGGGCTTAAAGCATGTTTGAAACCCAAGTCCCCAGGACAAGGGAGTTTAACTCGTTGGCAGAAAATAGCCAGATCACTAGCCCTGCTTCTCAGTAAGATCTTACTTAGCTACTGCACGCACGCACACGCACACGCACACACACACACACACACACACACACACGCACCAAAAACAGATAAAGGTCGCAAGCTAACAATTACCACGTATTCACCGCTTCCTACTCTTCCATTGAACCACACAGCACTTCGGTTATACAGCCCACAGTCCGTCTGGGGAGAAAATATATTAGCGACACTTTCGCAGGGGGCAGTCGTGTGCCTCCCTCCTGTGGCAGGCTGGCAGGCGAGGGGCTCAGCACTCGATCTGGGAGCTGGGCACCCGCCGCATGTTCAGGGCGTGCCGGTGGATCTCCTGCATCTGGCGGATGCGGTCCTTCTGCCACATCAGGTTCTGGGGCATGGGGTACCTCTGCGAGCCGTGCAGGTAGCGGTAGGGGATGCGCACGTGGCAGGCGGTGGCCCGGCAGCGGGGCTGGGGCATGGGGGGCAGCAGCAGCCAGCGCTTCCTCTCGGCGCAGTAGCGGTAGGCCTCCTTGCGGTACTGCTTGTCAATGTCGTCGCTGTTCTTCCAGCCCCCGATGATGAAGACGTCGTCCCTGAGGTAGCACACGGCCGCACCCTCAATGCTCAGGACCTCGGGGGGCAGGCTCTCTAGGATCTCGTCCGGCGCGTGGCCGGCGATCTTGCTCATGGCCTCTGCGTTCTCCATGGCATAGCTCTTGGGGCAGCACGACGCCGTCTGGTAGAAGCTGGAGCTGGCCACGGACATCTGGAAACAGCAATAATTATCGATGAGCGGCAGCGAGTCCACGTCCTGCCACTGCCGGGTCTCAGTGTCGTAGCAGGTGATCACGGCCTTCAGCCCGTCCTCTGTGTCGCGGTCCACAGGTGTGCGAGCAGCGATGTACACGAAGCGGTCTTCGACGGCCAGCGCCTTGGCGTCACGCAGGATCTTTGGCGCCGACTCCAGGTTGTGCCACTTGTCCACCTCGGGGTTGTACACAGTCACATCCTTGAAGCCGGGGCTGAAGTTGCCGTGGCCGCCGATGCTGTATAGCTTGCCCCGGACCTCAGTGAGCCCAAAGGAGTGCTTCCGGGTCATCAGGCTGCACACGTGTTCCCACGTGTTCAGGCTAGGGCTATAGCGCTCCACGGTCTTGGCGAAGCCCGGCTCCATGGAGCCCGCCACATACACGTAGGACTCAGTCACCGCCACGGCGTGCCCATCCAGGTGGTTGTGGATGTGGGGCAGGTTCACCCATCTGTCCTCGTCCACGAAGTAGCCCACGCACTCGCTCAGGTAGTCCCCGCCCTCCGACACGCCCCCGATCACCATGATCACGTCCATGTTCTGCCCGTAGCGCGGCAGCAGGGACACGGGCGCTGCCGGCGGCCGCAGCGCACCTGACTGTAGGTTCTCGGCCCGCAGTGCGTGCCGCTCCACAGCATCGGCCACCAGCTTCACGCAGACCTCGTTGCTGGCCACCAGCCGCTCGGGCTTGACATGCCGCGTGAGGTAGGTGGGCTTCATCTGCGACAGCCGCAGCAGCGTGAAGAGCTCCTCGAAGTACCGCTCACGCTCCTCCGCGCTCCGCTGCACCCACTTGAGCACGGTCTCGAAGAGCACCTCCTCGGAGTCCACCGTGATCTCCAGGTCGGACAGCCAGTCCCGGATGAGGTGGAAGGGCAGCGTGTAGAACTCCTCATCCTGGATGACCTTGTGGAAGTTCCTGCGGATCATGTCGGCGGCCTTCAGGGCCAGCTGGCTCAGGGTGTACATGTGGGCCAGGCTGTGGATGGCCACGCAGTTGGACAGATGCAGTTTCTTCTTGAGAAACTCGCCGCAGAACTCTTTTAAACGAATTAACAGGAACCTAGGGGCAAGCACAAAGGGAGAGACTGATTGCAAACGTGCGCTCCTTTCGTGGCCACAGTCTGAAGGAACCCCAGTTAGCCCAATAGCACTGGTGAGCTTGCATCTTGCTTTACGCGTGGTGTGTGCCAAAGGAAGCCCCCCAAATGGGAAGTGCTGTGCTGGGAAAGTGTGTTTTGAGTGTATGTGTAGCCGGAGGCCTCACCACACACCTGTAATCCCAGGACTAAGGGAGGCTCAGGCAGGAGGATTGGAAGTTCAAGTCCCACCTCAGCAACTTAGTGAGACCTTGTCTCAAGTGAAGAGCTTAGTGCAGCTTAGTGGCAGAGCACCCCTGGGTTCAAGTCCCAGTACCACAAAAAGGAAAAACAAAACAAAGTGTGAAATCATCTTTATATAAAATAACAATTTTTTGAGATGGTCTTGTGCTAGGCCCAGGGCCGCACACCAGTAATTCCAGCACTAGGGAGGCTGCAGCAGGAGGATCGCCGACAGTTTGAGGTCAGGCTGGGCTACACACTGAGTTCACAGCCAGCCTGCACTGCATATCGAGACCACATCTCCAAAAGATCAACCAACCAACCCAAAACAGACAAATAAAACAAAACAAAGGAGATGGTCTTCCTATGTAGTCCAGGGGGGCCTTGAACTCACTATGACCTCAAGCTTGTGGCAATCTTCCTGCCTTGGCCTCCCAAGTGCTGGGATTACAGGTGTGCGCCATCATGGCCAGATTAGTAAATTTCTATATAATGAAGTTTATGTACAGTTATGTTATCCATAACATATATTTATACACAAAGTTTATTACATAAGGTTTTCTGGACTATATCCTTCAATAAAGTACAGTGCTTTCTTTCTTTGCAGTACTGGGGATGGGACCCAGGGCCTTCACACTGAGCTACATCTGCAGCCTTTTTTTCTTTGATACCAGGGATCGAGCTTTTGCTTCCGAGGCAGGCGGCACCACTGAGCTAAATCCCCAGCCCTTTAATATTTTATTTTGAAGGGCCGGGGATTTAGCTCAGTGGTTTCGCCGCCTGCTGTGCAAGCGCAAGGACCCGAGTTCAATCCCCTGTACCAAAAAAAAAAAAAGCAATATTTTATTTTGAGGAAGAGTCACACTAAGTCCCTATGCTCCTGCCTCAGGCTTCCTAAATCCTGGGATTACAGGTCCGTGGCACCACACCTTATTTTCACTGTAATTTATCCTCAGCACAGGTGAACTGCAGCCTGGACCTGTCCCCACCATCCTTCCGATTCCCTCATCCACTGTGGGCCTCCTCTTCAGGGGCAGGGGCAGGGGCAGGGGCAGGGGCAGGGGCAGGCAGGGGCAGGCCAGGCCCACAGGAAGCGCCAGGCGGGAGCTGTGTCGTCCCAGAAGCTGGGCCTGGTTAGGGGCTGCACGGGCAGAGGTGGAGCCGCAGCAGAGCCCATGCTGGGTGGGCTGGGTGCTCAGCGGCTGCACCCTGGACAGGGCCTGTTAAGGCAGGGGTGGAAGGGAAACCGAGCTCCAGAGAACCAGAAACAAAACGCAGCACAGTAGAAAACACAAATAGGTGGTGCAGGCTGAAACAGCAGAACCCAGGGGTTCAGCAGAGGTGGACAGGATGCTGCCGCCCCCCTGGATTTAACTAAAAACTCTACAATGTTTTAGCTAAATGCACAAATCCAGCAGTATTCAGCTTAAGCAAGGGTGGACAGCTGGAAACCACTGCGTTAAAGTTAAGGCCCCAGGGCTGAGAAGAACTTTAAACAATACATGAGGTGTGATCAAAAATACAGTATGTGGGGCAGGGGATGTAGCTCAGTGGCACTGTGCCTGCCTCAAAAGTGCAAGGTCCTGAGTTCGATCCCTGGCACACACACACACAAAAATTCAGTATGTGTTTCAATAGTAAATGGCCTTTGGGGGTCACGGTGACCGTGAGGAAGAGCCCCAGGTATGCGGTGCCAGACGTGACCAGGTGGACGGGGACCGCTTTCCGCTGGGTGGTGTTCGGCAGCAGCCTTCATCGTAGTTCTCATCACATCTGCTTCAGAAAGAAAGGGCTGGGGATTTAGCTCAGTGGCACCGTGCCTGCCTCGAAAGTGCAAGGTCCCAAGTTTGATCCCCAGTACCAAAAAAAGAAAAAAAGACAGTGGTGAGGACAACCGTGCCCTCTCGAGAGAGGTGAGGACTCACTGTGTCCTGACTGGCTTACAGACAAGACCTCAGGGAGGCCTGGGGGCTGCTGTGCCCTGGAGCACTGTGAACACCAGGCGCCTGTCCCTTGCCCCAGGGAACCCTGTCCCGCTCCTGGAGGAGTCAGTGTGGCCTCGTCTGCCTCCTGGCCAAACAGATAAAGAGAAGATGGTGTCTTAAATTTTCTCTCCTCTCCTCAACTCCCAACAAAAGTGGCTGGGCCAGAAAACCCAAGCTTAGAGGACAAGCCTGCCTGCTGGGGCGAGCTGCCCACACTGTGCGTCTCCGGGCCCCCAGCGTCCAGCCCGGCCCCCTGCTGCCCGCCCGCCCGCTTGCCAGCTGCAAAGTGGACCCTCACGCCCATGGTCTGGAGGACCCCACTCCTCCAAGCACCCTGTCCCCCTGGGACACCAGCTCTTCCGCTCAGGCGCTCGACCTGCTCTGATGCCTCCCATTCCAGAGGAGGAAAGAGTCCCAGGACAGAGCCAGACCCTCACACCAGCTCCGTCCTCACCCTCATTTTGGATGCTGCGCCTGTAACTCCACCACTGAGCCTCGGCCCAGCCCGCCTTCTTGCCAACACACAGCGCCCAGCCAGTGGGCATGTGGTGGGCAGCTTCCTCACCGACACCTCCTCCCCAGGCTTCTCTGCCACCCGGAGACCGCCAGGGCGCAGTTCAGCTGCCCCTTTCCTCCGAGCCCCTCTGCAGTGACATCCCCCACCTCACCACAGCCCATCTGTACCTCTAGCTTCCAAAGCACTTGTTTTTAATATAAAGATTGTGAGCTGTGGGTGGTAGCACATGCTCATAGTCCCAGTACTCTGGGAAGCTGGGGCAAGAGGATCAAAGACAAGCCAGCACTCAAGAGACTGAGGCAAGAGGACTGCCATGAGTTCCAGGCCAGCCTGAACTACCTAGTGAGACCCTGTCTCAAAATAGAAAAAAGGGGGGGGGCATGGTGGCGCATGCCTGTTATCCCAGCACTCAGGAGGCTGAGGCAGGAGAACCACCCCCAGCTCAAGGCCAGCCTGGACTGAGTTCAAAGTGAGCCTGAACTACAAGCAAGACCCTGTCTCAAAGGGGTGGGGGGAGGCTGTAGCTCAGTGCAAAGACCCTGGGTCCAGTTCAAGCATCACAGCACTGTGTGCCTGTAATTCCATCATGGAGGGAGGCTGAAACAGGAAGATGGCAAGTTCAGGTCACCTGGGCAACTTGATGAGGCCATCTCAAAAGTATCTTTAAGACCTGCAGCTGCAGCTCAGTAACATGGCACCTGGGTGCCACCTGCGGTAACCTTCCTTCCCCATAAAAAATTGTTAACCTCAGGGGCTGGAGATTTAGCTCAGTGGTTCTGGCGCCTGCCTCATAAGTGCAAGGTCCCAAATTCGATCCCCGGTACCAAAAAAAAAAAAAAAATTGTTAATCTCAGTGTTCAAGGAGCTACCCTTGCCCAACAGACCCTTAGTATGCTGCTTCCCCCATGACTTCCTTGATTTTTCCGAAGCCCAGTGCTGAGACCTAATGTTCTTCTATCCAACCACCTGTCCAGACATCCCTACCAAATCCAAACCCCAGCTTCCAAAACCGCTCCTCTGCAATCCTCCACGTCCTACCAGCCCCATCCACCAGGGGCTTGGGTAAAAACCTCGCAGACCTGCAGACCCACAGATGCATCCCCTCCTCCTCCTCCTCCACCCACGTCTCCCCAGCAGCGCACCTTCTCTGGGTCCCAGCCTTCTCCCCCCAGACCTCGCCCCACCCCAAATACAGCAGGCCTCCCATTCAAAGTCAGCTCCAGTCTTCTGCCCAAGGAGCGTCCCCAACATTTGCACCTGGCCCTGCCCTCCCACCCGGAGTGCAGGATCCTGCCCCACCTGTGCCCGGGGTCCTCTAAATTCCCTTGAGCTCTGCACCAGTCTCCACCTGGCCTCCTTTTCTCTGCATCTGCCCATCAGCTCCTTTTTGTCAGGTGCTCCGTGCCTCCCCCTCTCCTTGCAGCCTGATGGTCACTCCACAGACGACTGTTTACTGCCCACCAGTGTCGGTGCCAAGAGGGACGGGACTTCTGTGCCTGCTCCCCAGGAGCCCAGGGTCCCGCTGCCTTCTGAGGTGCTCACCAGGCGTTTGCTGCCAAACCTCCACCCCGCACCCAGCAGCCTCCTAACCCTAGCAGCCTCTGCAGCGTCCCCCACCACCACCTTCCTCCTGCCCGAAGTAGCCTGGGTTACTTCCAGATACACTGTTTAAATCACATAGTTTCTCTCCAGCCTCTGGCACTCACCATGAAATCCGTGCACCCCCACACCCTTCCCCTCTGCACCCACCAAATCCAGCCACAATGCATTTTTTTGAGGCAAGGTCTCACTATGTAGCCCAGTGTGGCCTTGAACTCACTGTGATCTTCCTGCCTCAGCCTCCTGAGTCCTAGGATTGCAGGCATGCTCCACCAAGACTGGCTTGGATGTTCCTTTTTCTTTGTTTTATTTTTTTTGAGACAAGGTCTCACGCTTGTAGTTCAGGCTGGCCTCCGATTCCCTGTAATCCCCCTGCCTCACCTCAGTCTCCCCGGTGCTGGGATTACAGAAGTGAGCCACCACACCCAGCTAGGATTTTCCTTTTTAAAAGACCCTTTGCTACGCCAACCTGGATCTTGCCTGGGGCCTTTGTGCTTCTCGGACTTCATCCCCTACCTTTGCACAACCGGTTTTCTTGCCCTTTGAGATCAGTTTAAATGCCAAACTGCTCAGAAAGGTCTTTCCTTAACTGACAGCTTTTCACTTTTGAATCCAGGGCGCTCTAACACTCAGCTACATGCCCAGCCCTTTCTCTATCTTCTGACACAGGGTCTCAGTCGCTAAAGCGCCCAGGCTGGGGTTAAACTCGCGATCCTCCTGCCTCAGCCTCCCACAGTGCTGTGATTGCAGCGTGCGATTCTGTTTAATCCTTTGAGACGAGGTCTCCCTAGGCTGGACTGGAACTCGCGATCCTCCTCCAACAGCCTCCCTGCAACAGGAACAGCACTCCTCGCCCGCGTCCCCGCACCCGCGCACCTGTCGGCCAGCTCCAGCACCTCGTGCACGCTCCCCGTGCTGACGCGGATGCGCCCGGTGTACATGTACTCGATCACCGCCTCCACCGTGTCGGGCTCGGGCCCCGGCTCCGAGCTCCACTTGCGCATCTCCACGCGGCCCGAGCGCGACTCGGAGAACTGGCCGGAGAGCAGCGGCGTGAAGTACTCGGTGGCGGCCGCCAGCACCGAGCGGTGGGCGCGGAACTCCCGGCCGCCCGCGCCGCCGAAGCAGAGCGTGATGTCGCAGAAGAGGCCCTGGCGCCGCTGTTCGTTCTGGCGCCACGACAGCTCCGAGCAGTGCGAGCTGCACTCGAAGTCCTCCGCCTCGGGGCCCGGGTCGCCGCCGCCCGCCTCCACGGCCGACAGCCCGGGCCCGAAGTCCACCGTGCCGCTGCCTCGGACCTCGGCCGCTAGCCCTGCGGAGGCGGCAGCGGCCGTCTCCATGCCCTCCATCTCCAACACCTGCAGGGATGCGGCTGCAGCCGCCGCCGCCGCCGCGGCCGCCACTGCCGCCGCCATCTTGCGCAGCCGCGCCGGCCCCGAGACGCAGAGCGTAGCGCCTTTGGAGCGCGACGCGGAGGGATTCTGGGATTAGACAGGCGGCGCGCAAGAGCCACGCATGCGCCCTCCCCCCGCGCCGTCAGCCCCGGGCCCCTGCACAGGGCGGCCGGAGGTCGGCGCCTTGTCTTCCATCACACTGGCAAGATGCTCCTGCCGCGAGAAGTTCAAGCTGTCCTTCGCTCACCCATTGTTCGAAAGCGATGTGGGTTTTCTTCTTAAAATGTCTTTGTAACGCCAGGCGTGGTGGTGACGCCTGTAATTCCACCACTCGCAGGCTGAAGCAGGATTGCCACGAGTTCGAGGCTAACCTGGGCAACCAAACCCTGTCTCAAAAAAAGCTTTGGACTTTGATCCCCAGCACAAGAAATAAAACGGCTTTGAAGAAAAAAATTTTAAGGAAAGAAAGACTGAGCCCCGGCCCAGTGGATGAGGATTTAATAAACTGTTTCCTAAAAACCCCCGAGGACTGAATGAGCTGCAGAGCGGAAAAGTTCTGCCCAGGGCGAGGTTCAAAAGCACAACTTGTTCAAAGGACAATAATAAAAACCACTTTTGGGTTTTAAGCAGGAGTGGCTCGACTTCATGTGCTTTTTTTTTTTTTTTTGCTACAGGGATAGAACTCAGGACCTTGCACTTGCAAAGCAGCCGCTGGCAACACTGAGCCAAATCCCTGGCCCTTCATGTGCTTTTAAAATACCATGCAGTCTAAGGGCCAGGGATTTGGCTGAGTGGTGCCACCATCTGCCTCACAAGCACAAAGTCCTGAGTTTGATCCCTTATACCAAAAAACCCAAACAAACCAAAAAACTGTTCAAAGTACCAAGCAGTCTGTGGAGAATGGATCTTACCAGATCTGAGTTACAGGGCCATCAGGACTTGCAGCAGACAGCAGAGGCCTAGGTGATGCTCCGCTTCCAGCCAGGGTATGGGGTAGAGCTCTGGGTACCATTCACCAAAAGGGGAGAGAAGAGATTGAGGAGAGACACCACAGGGCTTTTCTCTTTTTTTAGCTCTGTTTTATTTTCAAGAGGTGGATGAGCATTTTAAAAACGACCTGTACTCAGACTCTCAGAAAGTGTAACTCAAAGGCTCAAACACAGATGACAGAGACTTCAGCAGGCATTCCTGTTACTATACAGTTTATTTAAACCAAACTATGATAATACAGAGAAGGATGGAGGTGCAGCTGCCCAGGTCTGTGGGTCACAGCCTCGGGGAGGCTGGGGAGCAGCCCTGGGACCTGTGCTTCAGGAACAGGCAAGCCAGCCGCATCAACAGAAGACGTTTCACAGCTTTCTGCGTTGCACTTCCGTTTGGACGTGGTATGTGACAACTTTACATCTTAAATTACTACTCCACGAGTGCTGACAGTGGCTAAGGGTGCCATGGTCCCGCCAATGCAACAGCGGCAGACTTTGATCTGAACATGTCGGTGGGATGCTAAATAAAGCCAAAACACGTAACATACAGAAAGGTCCTTAAAAATCAGATTAATACTATATTCTTCATGTTAGATCAGAAGGAAGAAAGCAAAGTGAAAAAACAGGACATCAGGAGGGAGTACTTTGTATCTTGAAGTCTGAACCTTCCATTCCCTTCCTCCACAGAGGGGAAAAAACTTCACGGAAAGAAAGCAACATTATAATGCCCCGGAAGGAGGAAGAACACTATTAGGACAGAACTTGGGTCAACACTTCGGTATAATAAATACAGCGGGCAGCAGAGCAAATGTCACACGTTTGGGCTTGATTTGAATTTCTATGCTTATAAAAAAAATACTAAGCTGCTTTGTGTGGACTGCATGGGTTCCGGCTACGGGTGTGGTCTCACGCTGTTGCCCGGAGTCTCGGCTTCACCCAGAGGCTCACGCTTGACTACATGCTCATGTGTTCCGGGAGGACGTAGGAGATGTCGTCCCATGGGTGACGATACAGCCCCTGCTTCAGCCTCTTCTGATCCAGATAGTGCCCTGAAACGGAGGGGACAGCTCTGCATCAGGCTTCTGGAAGGTGGCTTAGGCACAGGACAAGGGAGGGAGATCCGCCTCATATAAACAAGGGAGCCAGCATGCTGGGGGTGCCTGTCATGCCAGCACTCAGGAGGCTGAGGCAGGAGGACTGCCGTGTGTCTGAGGCCAGCCTGGGCTCCATAGCGAGACCCTGTCTTAGGGAAAAAAAAAGATAAGACAGACACAAAGAAGTGGTGAAGAAAAGCTAGTCTGGTCCAGACTTGGCGAAAGGGAAACTGTCAGATTTCACTCCATTCCCCCGGGCCTGTGAATGAAGTCGTCAGAACCAGGGTAAAGTCGGGCTAGGACGCCAGGGACAGCCGAGGGCGGGAGGAGGACGAAGCACTTCGGGGAACTCACCGATGAAGCCCATGCTCCGGCCCAGCACGAAGATGCCATTGAGGGCACCGATGTCGATGTACTCGTCCGCCTCCTCCCTGCAACACAGACCAAGGCTGGAGCTGGCCCAGGCCCTGGCGCAGAGGGAGCCCTCTCTGCTTGGAGCAGCTCTGGCTCCAAAGTGGGAGAGGGGCTGTCGGGAAGGAAGGACTGGGGTGGCTTTGTCTCCTGTCTTTCCAAATCCTCTATCAGGAGCCGGGAAGACAACAAATGGGTGCAGAGGCCAGGAGGGGCGGCGCACGACTGCGATCCCCCCACGCAGCACAGATCCCAGGAGTTCGAGGCCAGCCCAGGCTGCTTTGCTGAGGAAGAGGCAGCACGGCGCTCACCGAGTGAAAGAGCCACAGTTCCTGAGCATGTCAACAAACGCCACCCCGATGAGGCCATCCACGTTCAGGATCAGGTTGGGTTTCTGGGAAGGCAAGCGATTCAAAGCATTGTCATCATTTCACTTTTGTTCTCAAAGTATTTCCACTGTTCCTAATCCTCCTGCCTCAGCCTCCAGTGCTGGGATCTCTGCTGCACCACCTCGCCCTGCTGTTCCTCTTGACACTGAAAACCTTCCCACCCAGCTGAGACTGCGCCATGGAGGACTGGCTGTCTGCCTCACTCACGAACAGGAAGTCCCCCTGCAGCCCCAGCTCTGACCTCCACTACTTGATCGGACTGGCGAGGCTCCCCCAGGGCCCCCTGAACACACCCAGGCGCCCCGCACCTTGGAGGTGGTGATCTTCTCCACCTGCAGGGCGTAGTCGAGCAGCGGTGTGGCCGGGAAGTGCTGCCGCACGTAGTCCTTGAGGATCTGCACCCGCATGTCCGGGTTGTTGATCTGGAATCAGAGCCAGTTATGGGGACCCCACTTAGCTTCCGGCTGCTCCCCACATTGCCTGGGGCCACGGCCGGTGGTGTGTGATGCCGGGGATGCTGCGGGGACCTCAGCCTCCTGTGCCCAGCAATGACACTGCTGGCTGAAGGGTTCAGGGTCCTCTTCTCCATGACAAAGAGGGCACCTGCCATGGAGCTGCTCCCCGGGTCACCACTGGCCCACTGGAAGCCTCAGCCCAGCCCCAGCCGCTGAGCCACTTGGGAGTAGGCAGCAGGGTGCCCCAAATCCTCGGGAAGCCCTCATACTGTCGGGGCTGGGAATGCAGGCACACAGTGTACCCATCCCGGGGCCACCTCCTCCGGCCACCTCCTCTGGCCTCACTTAGGAAGGAGCCGCCGCCTCCCCGGGCTGCCTCTCCCTAGCCCTCACTTCTCTGGCGGCTTTGAAGTCTAATCCGACTGCGTCTCGCCTTTGGATACCTGACTGGGGCTTCTTGAATCACCACAGGACCCTTTTGGCTTTGCTGTTGTACGAGACAGGGTTTCACTGTATAGCCCAAGCTGGCTGAAAACTCAGAGTCCTCCTGCCGCAGCCACCCGACCCAAGTGACGGGCAGACAGGCGTGCGCCCCCATACTTGGCACATATTCGACCCTGCGTCAGCGTGAGTCACACTCTGTGCCGGGAGCATTGCCATACCTAGCTAAGAGGCTTCTGGGCCACAGAGCCAAAGAGCCCAGAGCAAGGGGAGCCTCACACGGCCCCAGGCAGCTGCCACCACCTTGCCACTGATCTGCACACATGAAAAAGCTACCCGACGCAGGCTGTCGGCCTGCAGCCAGCGAAGCGCCCTGTGTGAGGCAGGCCCTGTCTCGTGGGGCCTGGTTTAATCCCAGCCAGCACTCGGGGAGGCTGAGGTAGGAGGCCGCAAGTCTGAGCCCAGACTAGGCAACTCCATGAGACCTTATCTCAAACCCAAGGGCTGTGAGTAACAGCTCCGTCTCAGTCCCGACAGCCCTGACAAGCCCCAGGTTTCACCTCCTGGGGCCTGAGCCACCTGTGGCCGGCACAGACCGGGCCTGCCGAGTCTGAGCAGCGCGGCCCCCACCCTGATGAGTCCCCGGCCCCTCCCACAGGGCTCGGCCACTTGCCGACTTCACGCGGTGGCCGATGCCCATGATCAGCTTCCCCTCCTTCTTCATCTTGTTCACAAACTCCATGGGGATCATGCCGCTGTCGAAGGCCTTGCTGAACATCTTGGCAGCCGCGTCCAGGGCACCCCCAAAGCGATCCCCCTGGAGGAACAGCACAGCCGCGCTCAGCCCTGCAGACGGACGCAGCCCAGCAGCCCCTTGCCTCCCCGACCTCTCTTACGATGGTGAGCAGCCCCGAGGTGAGGCTGGAGACCAGGTCCTTCCCGGCGCGGGCGCAGATGATGGTATTGTGGGCCCCGGACACGGCAGGCCCGTGGTCGGCCGTCACCATCAGGCACATCTCGATGAACTGGCACGAGTACTTGGGCAGCCTGCGGGCCCAGAGGTGAGTGGGACCCAGGGACCTACAGGTCCTCCCACCTCCCCACCAGAACCAGTCCCCGAGCCGAGAGGAGCAGTGGGCAGCGGGCCCCCGCAGAGGGCTCACACAGGAGCCGCAGCCAGCACTCAGGAGGCCCAGACGCCAGTCTGCAGAGCGAATCCGCAGCGCTTTCTAAGCCCCCGATCCACTGCCCTCCCTGGGAACCCTGCCCTGCTGCTGGGACACCAAGCTGCCTTCGCTCACTTCTTTACAAGTCCCCGGGAGGGGCTGCCCAGACCTCAGAGGAGGAAGCTGCTCTTTCTGCTCTGCGGTAGAGCGGCCTGCCGCCCTCGGAGAGCCGGCCACAGCCTGTGTGGCCCTTGCCGGCTGGTGGCCCCCAGGCCCGTCAGCGGGGAGGCCGCCGCACCAGCCCACCTTCTCTGGAACCAGAGGAGCCCAAGGACGCCGCCAATGCCCAGCTCCTCCCTGAAGACTTCGGTGATGGGCATGCCCGCGTAGATGAGTTCCTGGCCGCGCTCGTCACAGATGCTGGTCATGAACGAGGCGGGCTTGCGGATGAGGCCCAGCTCCTGTGCAGACGGGCAGAACAGGGTCCAGGGACCACAGAGCACCGAGGATAGGGATGGTGGGGTGATCCCAGCCCAGCTCCTCCGGAGCAGGAAGTACAGAAGCAAACAAAACCCACCATGACCCACTAATGGCCCCATGGATAAATGTCGACTGAGAACTTTTGGAGCTGAGCAGGGTGGCACACACCTGCCATCCCAGAATGCAGGAGGCTGAGGCAGGAGGGTCCCTCCAAGTTCAGAGCCACCCTGAGCTGCATAGCAAGATTGTGCCTCAAAAACAAAGACTTCTGGGGGCCGAGATGTAGTTCAGTGGCACCATGCCTGCCTCACAAGCGCAAGGTCCTCAGTTTGATCCCCAGTCCAAAAAAAAATTTCTGCCAACGGTCCTTCCTGTCACACGACAGCCTTTCTCAGAACCAGCTTTCTGGACACAGTTCCCAGGCATGAGTCTTGTGCACTTCACTGGCATCTGGGGATTCATGTGGCTCCCTCACCCGTGCCACACACACCTCGACAACCCTGTCTGTGCAGGCTGGGCAGGGGACAGTGCTCTCAGTTTTATTTCAGGTCCTTTATACTAAGTGTGATTGACCAGTTTTTCGTGAGGGCCATTTCCTAATCTAATGGGTCACTGGGTCTTTTGACTTCCGTTCTTTGTTTGTGTGAGACAGGGTCTCACTGAGTTGCCCTGGATGACCCCAACCTCTGACCCTCCCGCCTCAGCCTTCCAAGTGCTGGCATGACAGGCGTGCCTTCCCCCGCAGTTTAACCCTGACTTCCAAGAACCCTTGTAGGACAAGAACACTGGCTACTAATCAGCTCCTCACCAAGCGGCACAGGGCCAGTTAGACGGAGTGGACCCTGCACCTTCCACTGAAAACCTTTCGCAAAACCGACTCTGGAGACATTACCTGTCCCGAGGCCCTGCTCCTGGCCAGGCCACACGCAGGCCTGCACTGAACTGGACCAGAGCAACCCCACACCCACTGCTGGGTCCCGGCACCTACCCTGGCCCAGGAGTAGTCCATGGGCACCGTGGGGGGCGGCACCTCCTGCGCCGGCTCGATGGCTCCTCTGGCCACGAGGTCCTCGTACACGGACCTGGGGAGGCAGAGCAGTGGCTCGCACAGGCCGCTCCCCAGCCTCCTCTCGGGACGGAGGAAGCCAGGTGTGGCCGAGACAGCCCCTGGCCCTTGGCCTTCTCCGGGCGGAGCCTGACGCGGCTGGTTTGGGGACTCAGCCTGGCAGCTGGGCTCCCTGCCTTGGGGTGGGGGACAGAGGCCTGCACCCGGGGACACTCACTGGATGATCTCGCCGAGCTCATCGAAGCTGCGTGGCACGAACACGCCTGCCTCCTTCAAGGCCTGGTTCTTCGCGACTGCAGTTTCCGACGCCTGGTTGGCGCAGGCTCCGGCGTGGCCAAACTGGACCTGCGGATAAGGACAGCAGTCATAGGGCTCCAGGCAGCCATGGCCAGTCCTCCGGCCTCAGTGGGGCTCAGAAACAAGCAGGGTGGGCCATGCTTGTTGGGGGGAACCGGAGGCAAGACACTCGCACACCACACAGCTGCGGACATGGCAGCCAGAGTGCAATGCCTCGTGCCGAGGACCCACAGCTGTTACCCAAGACACGTGGGCCCCAGGGGCTGGGCCAGAGGCGGAGCGACAGAGAAGCAACAGACTCGAGCCCCAGCCCGAGCTGAGCTCTGCACAGTGCCTCAGTCCCAAGCGGTCTCACGAAGTCTGTGCACACAGGAAAAATCAGGAAGGTGACATGTTCCCAGCGTCTTTAAGAGACTGTATCTAGGGCCGGGAATGTAGCTCAGTGCAAAGGCCCTGGGGTTCAATCCCTGGTACTACCCAAAAAACCAAGCAGTATCTGTCTTGGGAGGAGCTGCAGGCTGGGAAGGCGGCTTGTCCTCTGGGCCCAGAGGAAGTGTGCGGTATCAGAACCCAGGGAGCCACGCTGTCTATGGGGGCCATGGGCGACCACACCCTCAGCATGCAGGCTCTAGGCTGTAGCAGCCTGGGGCTGAAGACAACTCGGCTGGCCCGGGCCACTCCGCACCTCCGAGGAGAACATGGTGGCGCAGGTCCCGATGCACCAGCAGACCACAGGCTTAGTGAGGCGGCCCTCCTTGATGCCTCGGCAGATCTTGTACTCCTCAGTGCCCCCGATCTGCAGGGAAGTGTGACAAGGAGCTGGGTCAGCAGAGCTGCCCTGGGGTGGCCCGGGCTGGCATGCAAGGGCTCCGAGTCGCCCCAGGGCCCGAAACAGGCACATGGGCTTTGTCCAGTGGAGAAGACTCAGCATGGACACAGGGAGCACTCCAGGGGACAGCGACTCCTACGGGAACCCGGACACCTGCTCCTGACCTAGAGTACAAGGTGACTCGGGACCAGCCACACTCCAGGAACCATCGAGGGACAGGAAGGCCAGGCGAGACCTGAGGTCGCACACACAGGGCAGTGAGACCATGTCCAGGTATAGGGACAGCGGTGACAACAGCAACCCTCTCCGGGGCTGAGCTCAGCACTCAGCCAGGGGATCACAGGGATGGTGGCCCGAAGTTGTCCATGCCCAGCATGCTGGGATTTCCTGTCACAATCTTTCAGCATGTGGGCGTGGCTCCCCCAGCCCTCAGGCACACATGGCTGCACAGCAGGGGCCTCACCTCTCCCAGCACCACGATCATCTTGACTCCCGGAGTGTCCTGGTACCGCAACACGTGGTCCATGAAGGTGGAGCCGGGGTACCTGTGGGAAGCAGGAGGCACAGGGTTCAGGGGACAGGGAGGAGGGAGGCCGTGTGGGCGGAGACAGCAAATGGCATGCACAGAGGAGCCCAGGCAGGCATCCTTGGCAGCAGAAGCACACATGAGGTGGTTTCAAAATATGTCCACAAATTGGTCCAAAAGGTGGAACCTTTTTTGATTTAAGACAGGGTCTCCCTACTTAGCTGAATGATCATCGAATACATGATGATCCTCCTGCCTCAGCCTCCCAAGTGCTGCAATTACAGTGTGCAGCACCACACCAGAAAGAAAAGGCAGAATCTGCTGCCTTTCCTCCTGAACATGGCCTGGGGTTGCTCAAGCAGCCTTCGAGGAGCCCTGCCAGCGTCCTTCTGTTGGCCACAGCACCCAGGATCCTCTCCCTGACCTGCCCCCGAGGGCAAATGTTTCCTGGAAGCCACTGGGCACAGGGGATCTTTCCTCCCACAGCACTGGGTGAGGGACACGGGTGAGAAGCCAGCTCCAGGGAAAGCCGAGACAGGGCCAGTGCGTGTGCGGTGCTGCACGTCCTGACAGCGATGGGCAGGCTCTCCCTTCCCAGCAGGGCGGCTGTGTCGATCCTGGACTTGCTAAATGCTGGGCATTAGGGTTAGGGAACATGACCGCTGCTCCCACTAATGAAAATAACACTTAGCAGGGTCTGGTGCCACCTGTGATCCCAGCACTCCAGAGGCTGAGGCAGGAGGATCACTGTGAGTTCAAGGTCAGGCTGGGATGCATATCAAGGCCCTGTCTCAAAAAAGACCCCAAAGAAGGCCGGGGATTTAGCTTAGTGGTTTTGGTGCCTGCTGTGCAAGCGCAAGGACCTAAGTTCAATCCCCGGTACCAAAAAAAAGAAGACTCCAAAGGGGCAGGGATTTAATTCAGTGGTTCCGCCACCCGCCTCAAAAGCACAAGGTGCTGAGTTTGATCTCCTGTACCAAAAAAAAAAAAAGATCCCAAAATCAAAACAAAACAGTGACACCCCCGCACCCAGTGGCTCAGGGCCCGGCCCAGCATGGGCACCTTACACAGAGGACGCGTTCAGGCCTTCCGGGCCATGCGGCAATGCCGACTCCAGCCCCTGGTCGTGGGCGGGTGCAGGGTTGGACAGAGCCTGGTGCCACACAGGACGCCACGCTGGTCTACAGGGACCGGTGTGCCCCTTTGATTGCTCCCCAGCTGCAGTCCTACGCGCTGCATCTGCAGCCTCCCGAGGGTACCCCTGAAACACCCTTCCTGTACCAGGCATAGCCTGGCGCTGGGGCAGCAAGCAGGTCCTGGGACTCGCCCCGCGCCGTCACCTGTCCCCGCCGATAGCCACGCCCTCGTAGACGCCGTCAGTGGTGCGCGAGATGATGTTGTTGAGCTCGTTGGACATGCCCCCCGACCGCGACACGTAGGCCACGCTGCCCGGCCGGTACAGTTTGGAGGCCAGGATGTTGTCCAACATGCCACCCGTGTTCCCAATCTTAAAGCAGCCAGGCTTGATGCCGCCCACCTGCAGGCAGAAACCAGCTCACCTGAGGGACCCCTTCCTGGACAAAGGACACCACCTACCAGCTCCCCCCTCGGTCCCTTTACTAAGGGGCCTTGAAGGTGGCCCTTACTGTGGCTTCTGATCACGATGCTCAGATTCCAGTCCCACCCTCACTCCCAGGAGGTAACGGCACCCAGGGCAGGTGCACAACAAAGGCCCTTGCTTATTTGTTCTCAGTTCCTAGCGTGGGCCAGGAGTGGTGGCCCACGGCTGTCATCCTAGCAACCGAGAGGCTGAGGCAGGAGGATCACCACAAGTTCGAGGCCAACCTGGGTTACATAGTGAGTTCAAGACCAGCCTGGACTGCATAGTGAGACTCTTGTCTCAAAAAAAAAAAAAGAAAAAGAAAATCCTAGCTTGGATTGTTTCATTTTAAACTTTTAAAAACTTAACAATTCAGTGAAAACATATACACCAAGTAATATTGCCCTAATGTAGTTTGGAATTTTTAATGGAACAACCAAGGAAAAATAAACAAGCCAGGAATGCACATCTGTAATCCCAGCACTTGGGAGGCTGAGGCCAGAGGGTTACCATGAGTTTAGGATCAGCCTGGACTACATAAGGAGACCCTGTCTCAAAAAGCATAAATAGGGGCTGGGGATTTAGCTCAGTGGCACTGTGCTTGCCTCAAAAGTGCAAGGTCCTGAGTTCAATCCCTGGTACAAAAAAAACCCAAATACTCAGAAGAGCCGGGGATTTAGCTCAGTGGTTCGGCTGCCTGCCTCACAAGCGTAAGGTCCCGAGTTCGATCCCTGGTACCAAAAAAAAAAAGTAAGATCTGAGGCCAGGGATTCAGCTCAGCGGCACCATGCCTGCCTTGCAATCACAAGGTTCTGGGTTCGATCCCCAGTACCAAAAAAAAAGGTATGATCTGAGGCCGGGGATTTAGTTCAGCGGCACCGCACCTGCCTCGCAAGTGCAAGGTCCTGAGTTTGATTTGAGGTACCAAAAAAAAAAAGTTAGATCTATAGCATTTTCTTTGGTTTACAGTTACAGGAAAAACGGAAGGCAGAAGAACACTAAGAATCCCCAACCCACTTCCCATTTGCCCCCGGAAACCCTAAAGGTGCTGGACAACAGGCTTGCCCCAGATCTCCCCCAGAAGAGGCATAGGAGAATCGGGCACAGCCACCCGGGCCTGGCACTCGGGAGGGGCCAGCAGCAGGGACACTCACGGTGGCAGGCCCAATGATGGTCACCCCCTTCCGGTCTGCCGTCTTGATCAGCTTCCGCGTGAGGGCCTCGGGGATGCCTTCCGCAATGATGGCGATGGTGTGGATCTAGGACAAGCCCCCGCTGTGAACCTGCAGCCTCCGCCAGGCCCCTCCAGCCACGGGGCTGGAGAGGAGCAGACTCCGCGGCCCAGTGCCCGACGCACGTGTTCCTGATGCCCTGCTGCCATCAAGCCTGCTGTGCCCTCTCCCACCCAACTCCCCTGTGCTATGCTGGCTGCTTAGGCGGCCACCTGCAGAGTCCCCAACAAGTCCCCGTGGGGTGTTTCTAGGACGAAGGCAGCCATACACAGTAAGTAAATGAACAGCTGCATTTTAACAAAAAACTGTATTCACAGCCAGGCAGGGTGGTGCAGGCCTGTAATCCCAACTACTCAGGAGGCTGAGCCAGGAGGGTCACCAAATCAAGGCCAACCCAGGCAACGTAGTGAGGCCCTGCCTCAAAAAATTAAAGGGCCGGGGATGTAGCAAAATGATAGTACATTTACTTAGAACGTGTGAGGCTCCAGGTACAGAACTGGCAGCAAAACCGATTCATAGACGGGAACAAGAGGCCACAGGACCGGACGCACACGGCTGGGCCACCTGGATATGGACAAAGGACCCAAAAGAACACGCAGGGGAGACGGCCTCTGACCCATGGTGCTGGGAGACTGGACTCCACCTGGAGAAGTTGAGGCCAGGCCCTGTCTCTCCCCATACAGAAATCAACTCATGGGCTGGGGGTTTAGCTCAGTGGTTTCGTCACCTGCTATACAAGCACAAGGACCCGAGTTCAATCCCCGGTAACAAAAAACAAAACAAACGAAATCAACTCAAAATGCATCAAAGACCCGGCCACAAGACCTGAAACTTCCAAAGAGCTGAAAGAAAACTTCAGGGGACCCTGGAAGCCACAGGCCCAGCAAAGACTCCCGAGCAGCACTCCTGCCGCACCTGGACAACATCAAACTTCAGTTTGCCCACAGAAGAGAACCAAGCAACAGAGTACTGAGATGGCCCGCAGGGTGGGCGAGGGCTCTGCTACAGGAAAGACTCGACGCTTAGCACGGAGAGCTCAGAGAGCCTATCTGATCAGTGGGCACACAGAGGGTCAGGTGGTGCTTCTCCAAAGCAGTACAAAGGACAGCCCGTCTGTGAGGAAACGCTCATCCTCCTCAGCCCTCAGGAAGTGCAGATCCAACCCACACTGCCACTACCTTTCCCAGGCAAAGGGCTCTGAACTGGCAGGATGGGGCGGGGCCAGTCTGTACTGCTGCTGAAAATGACATAATTTAATTAATAAGCCACTATGGAAACTGGTACAGAAGTTCCTCAACAAACTAAAAACAGCCAGGCAAGGTGGCCCACCCCTGTCATCCCTGTAATTGAAGTAGTACCCTCAGGAGGCTGAGGCAGGAAGATCAGTGCAAGTTCAAGGCCAGCCTGGGCTACAGTGAGCTCAAGGCCAGCATGAGCTATACAGCCAGACCCTATCTCAAAAACAAAACAAACGAGGGGCCGGGGATTTAGCTCAGTGGTTTCGCTGCCTACTGCGCAAGCACAAGGACCTGAGTTCGATCCCTGGTACCAAACAAAACAAAACAAAACAAACGAGGGGCCCGGGATTTAGCTCAGTGGTTCCACCACCCGCCTTGCAAGCACAAGGTCCCGAGTTCAATCCCTGGTACCCAAAAAAATAAAAACAAAAACAAAAATGAACAAATGAACAAAAGACAGACAGACAGACCAAAAGCCTACAGAGCTACCGTTGGATCTGGCTACCCCACTCCTTGGCCTGCACCATAGCAAGTTTAAAGTCAGTGTGCTAGCGTGACCCCGCACCCACGTTCACTGCGGCACGACGCACAACAGCGGGGTGCAGAACCAGCCTTGGTGTGCGCCAGCAGACGAATGCAGAGGAAGTGTGGCGTGTGCAAACGTGGTGCAGCGTCAGTGTGACGCGTGTGTGCACACTGCAGTCCCAGCCTGTCAGACAGGACCAGCCAGACCTCTCTCGTGCTGTGCCCACTGTGCAGACCCCAAGGGGAGGACAGGAAGGAGGAGGAGAGGGCAGCTCGGGCGCGAGGGTGGCATGGAAGGGCTCAGAGTGCCTGGGCGACACCGTTCACCCCTGCAGCTGATGTGCACTCGACAAACGGACACGGGAACGCAGCCGGCCCCAGCAGATGGGTCATTGCTTTCTTTCTTACTTCAAGAAGGATGGAACATTCCTGTGCTCTCCAGCCAAGGTTCAGACTGTGAAAGAATCCATTCCCTAATCTACACAGGGCTTTTACACGTCAGTAGCAAACCAGGAACACACAGTGCGTTCAGAACGGGTGGGAGCCAGGCACAGTGGCACAGGCCTCTAATCCCAGCACTCAGGAGGCTGAGTTGGGAGGATCACTTGGGCTCAACAGTTCCAGGCTACGCTGCATGGGCAACACAGCAAGACCAGTCTCAAAAAGAAGCAGAAAAAGAAAGAGAACAAAGCAGGACGAGCCATAGCACACAGATGGGCAATGAGTGTTCTCAAAGGTGCGCCTTAGTCTTCCTTACAAATCAAGGCCAGGCGTGGCAGCGCATGCCTGAAACCTCAGCAGCACTCAGGAGGCTGAGGCAAGAGAACAGCCTTGAGTCCAAGATACTACCTCAAAACACCAAGACCAAAATCAAAAGACAGCAAGCCAGGAGGCTGGGGTACAGCTCACTGGTGGACAGTGAGCCTGGGGCTGACCCAGCACAGGGTGGGTGCAGACTAACCGAACAGCCAGTCATCTGGCAAACCCCAGGCGCCGGGACCAGAGGGGTCTACATCACTGGCCTCACTGCGACACTTCCGGGCCCACAACTTCCGGATGCGCACAACCTGACGCAGCGTGCCAGCCTGCAGGATGCACAGCATTTGCCAGTGCTCGTCGCTGATGCCCATCCCGATGTGGAGAAGCACAAATGCCCAGGTGGTGGGCATGCCTATGACCCCAGCACTCCGGGAGGCCGAGGCAGGAGAATGCAAGTTTGAGCTCAGCCCAGGCAACTCAGCAATTTACAACACCTTGTCTCGAAATAAAATAAAGGTCCCAGCCCCGGCCTCTGCAGCTCCCTGCCCTGTGTCCCCCCAGGCCCCTGCCCGTGCGCGCCCACCTGTGCGTAGCTCATGGTCTCCATGGTGCTGTCGTAGGCAGAGCGCAGGGAGGCAAAGTTGATGAGCACATCCACTTCAGGGTGCTTCTGCATGGCATCCGCCATGTTCTTAAAGACGGGGATCAGGATCTCCTTGTGTCCCCAGTAGAACTTCTGCTTGTGGTCCCCCCTGAGAGGCAGCAGGGGACAGGTCAGGACCTGGCCCGCCAGGCTAGGAGGGAGGGTGCTCCGCCCCAGCTCCGCCTGCGGGGACTCACGTGAAGGGGTACACCATGGCAGCCACCGAGGGCTCGTCGCGGGAACACACATAATCGAAGTCCAGCATGCCCTGCACGGCCCGGGTCTGCATGCCCCACACAAGGGCCTTGGTGTGGCGGCTGAAGAGGGTGGCACTCTTTCCTGGTGGGCAAAGACACAGCAGGTGCACCCAGGATCCACAGCTGGGGACCGTGGGGACCAGGGAGGGGAGATGGGGCGCCCTGCTTCCAGGATGGCGGCTCTTCAAGACAGAACAGGATGTTAAGGACAGGGATCGGAGACCCTGGGGCCGCAGAGGGCCTCGGTGTTTCTGGAAGGAGGCAGCAGGGGAGAGGAAGTGAGACCGCCCGCCAGGTTTGAGGCACCACACAAACAAAGAGGACCCCATCTGGGGCCGGGCCTCAGCTGCCAAACCCAGAGCTGCTCCAGGTCAGGAAGTGGGCCTAAGTGAGCTCTAAACTCTTTTTCTCCCTTTTTTATGGTGTAGGAGATAGAATCCAGGGCCTCGAGCAAGCTAGCCAAACGCTTCACCACCCTGGCACTTTTCATTTTGTTTGTTTGTTTTTGGTACTGGGGATCTAACTTGGGACCTTGCACTTTCGGGGCAGGCGCCGGAACCACTGAGCTAAATCCCCCGCCCAACTTTTCATTTTCTACTGGGAGCCAAGGTCTTGCTAAGGTGGCCTGGGGTGGCCTCAGACTCACAATTCTGCATGCCAGCTGGAATTACAGGCATGTGCCGCTGTCTGGCTTAGCAAGATTTGTTGGGGTTTTTTTGGTACTGGGGTTTGAACTCAGGTCCTTGCAGTTATGAGGCAGGAGGCAGAACCACTGAGCTAAATCCCGCCCCTAGCAAGTTTTGATTTAAAGTAACTGAACAGAGGATGCTCAGCACTCCCTACTCTGGTGGCTGCGGGACAGTGCCCAGCACTGCTTAATGCTCTGTCCATCTGGGTAGACAGAGGCCCTCAGGACCTGGGCAGACCCAGGGCAGAGAGCGGAGAGGACGCACAGCCTGGTCTGCAGCTGAGCTTCCAGCCTGGGCTCAGGCACAGGCCCTGGCCCTTCTCGCTCCTGTTTCCACTGTAATCCCCCCTCTGCCCAGGCAGGAGAGGCGAAGGGCAAAGGAGAGAGTAAAGGGAGCTGGCAGGAGGGCAGGGCTGGCAGCGGGACCAGGAGGAGGAGCAGTGCAGGGAAAAGCACCCTGGGAGAAGCGCCCAGGCCGGGCACAGGTCCACCGTGTGCTAGCGCGGGCACAGAAGGCCCAGGGTGAGGCCTGGCTCAGCCCCTCGGAAGGCACCTAAGGGTGCTGACACCGGGACCCATTGTTGGCTGGACTCGAGGGCTGGAGGAGATGGGGCTCTCGCACAAGGGCCGCACCCAGTCCACCCGCATGCCCTGCTGCCCTGGGTAGCTAAGCCCAGGGAGGCCAGTGACAGCGCTCCTGGGTCTCCTCACGCCAGGCCCGATTATGTCACGATTCAGGGAGCAGCTCAGCAGCCCTGAGGAGGAGGACGACGAACCCAGAGGTCCTGCCATCCCCGGGGACCACACACCACACATGGCAGCCGGGACGGACCCCGTGTCCCCACAAGCCCGGGCACCGCCAGCCTGAGCGCTCCCCTCCCCAGCACAGGGGAGCAGGGGCTGTGGGGCACCACGCCCACCAGCAGCACAGCGGTTCCTGTGTCGCCTTCGGGGCACAACGGCAGACTGCGCAGGGATCGAAGCACTAAGGCTGCACGCTGCCCGTCACCCCAGCCCTCAGCACACGGCCCGGCCTGCAGCTGCTGGGCTCCGAGCTGACCCCTGGGCTGTGTGCCTGCACTGAGCCCTGCATCCCGCTGAGGACCTGGTCTGCAGACAGCGCACCCATCCCCGCCCGCTCCCCCACTCCGGAGGGCCCACACGCGGCCTGGTGCCGGGTGCTCGGGATGCGCTTGTGTGGACGGCGATGCGATCAGAATGAGCCAGTGGTCGCCGCGGCCACTGCTCCTCCTTCCCGCCCGGGGAGGGTGACTGGGCCAAGGTGGGAGGGACAGAGCAGGACTAGACTCGGGCTTAGGCCACAGCAACGCAAGGGCAGGAAATGCAGCAGACAGCACTGCGCCCGCGGGGCAGGTGGAGGAGCACGCGAGAGCCTGAAGCCCACTGCCGAGCCACGCAGGTGGGTGGGCGGGGGTCCTACCTTCCAGGGGTCTTGGACTTTGGTCTGAATCTGTCAAAGAAAACGACCAAGGCGACTGAGTGACCTGCGGAGGCCCAGAGGCTGTGGCGGAAGTGGGAAGAGGGGCTGGTGTGGACGAGGCCTGTGTCCCGCAGCGACGGGAGCGGCTGGCAGCCAGGGGAAGGTGCTGCCGGGCGGCCCACGGAGCAGGGAGGCGCCAAGAACCAGGGCACGGAGAGCGGCAAGCCACCCCTCCTGGTCCCCGTGAGACACGGCAGACGTCACACAGCCTGGGGACCCAGCCGACGGCATCCCTGCCCCCAAATGCTCAGCACGGGGGCAGCATCAGCAAGGGGCGCGGCTGGGGCCATTGCACATCCTGGGTGGGCACAAGGCCTCTCCCTAGCAGGGCTCCCAGGACGGGGTGTCGGAGCCCCCACTTCCTGAGATACCTGAAGCCCTGCTCCACGAGTCACCCACAGGCCGAGAGCAGGCGGAGTGGACAGGCAGCGAGCCTCCCCCTCAGGAGAGCCAGGAGGGCTGCGCCACCTCCTCCCGTCCTGTTCCCACCCCAGCCCCAGCCTACTGCAGCAGCAGAGAGCCAGTTGCTCCCACCGATGGGCGTGGGGGGAGGAAGGAGAGGAAGTGCAGGAGGAGGAGGCAGAAGAGAAGGAAGAGGAGGAGGAGAAGGAGGTGGAGGAAAGGAAGAAGAGGTGGAGGAGGAGGAGGAAGAGCAGGAGGAGGTGGAGAAGGAGAAGGAAGAGGAGGAGAAAGGAGGAGGAGGAGGAGGAAGAGGAAGAGCAGGAGGACGAGGCAGAAGAGAAGGAAGAGGAGAAGGAGGTGGAGGAGGAAGAGGTGGGGGAAGAGAAAGAGCAAGAGGAGGTGGAGGAGGAGGAACAGGAGGAGGAGGAGAAAGAGGAGGAGGAGGAACAGGAGGTGCAGGAAAAGGAGGAGGAAAAGGAGATGGAGAAAGAGGAAGAGAAAGAAGTGGAAGAGGAGAAGGAGGAGGAGGTGGAGGAGGAGGAAGAGGAGATGGAAGAGAAGGAGGTGGTGGAGGAGGAGGAGGTGCAGGAAAAGGAGGAGGAAAAGGACATGGAGGAAGAGGAGGAGGAGGAGGAGGTGGTGGAGGAGGAGGAGCAGGAGGAGGCGGCGGCCACAGTGCCCGAGACGCCGGTCCGCAGCCTGGGACTCACCTCGGGGCACAGCCGGCTTGGCCTTCTTCGCAGGTGCCACCTCCTCAGCTCTGGACTCAGAAAAAGACGCCGTCCTGCTCGGGGCCGGCGTCTAAGGGGCGGAGGAGAGAAGGGTGAGAGCCACAGGGGACATCAGCTCGAGAAGAGGCCTGCAGCGTGGCCCCGCTAAGCGGCATCAGCGGCACAACCTGAACACTCCTGAGCCAGGGCTGAGAAAGCACAGCACGGGGGCTGCGTGGGCTGAGTACCAGCCCAGGCTGCGCTCCCAGCAGGAAGGTGCGGGTGTGAGCTCAGCTCTGGTATTATTTACTTATTATCCTCTCTGAGACAGGCTCCTGCTATTATCCCAGGCTGGCCTCAAGCTCTCGGTGATCCTCCTGCCTCAGCCTTCTGAGTGCTGGGATGACAGGTGGGCACCACCACGCCTGGCTGGACTCAGCTGATTTCAAAGCCCGAGTCTTCCTTACTCTACACCCTGAGCAGGGGGGCACGGGATCCAGGCGAGGCAGGGCTGGGCTCAGGCCACCACGTACCGAAGTGCTCCCGCTGGCGTTGAGCAGGAAGTTGGCAGTGTGGGCCACGGTGGGGGGCTGGTTGGGGATGGGCCGCTGGCCCAGGGCCATGCCCACGATGGCAGTCATGTGGGTCTCGGTGCCAAAGACGTGGATGGGGAGCCCTGTGGTCTTCCCTGCGAGGGCAGGAAAAGCGGTGACTGAGTGCCCAGTCGCCACGACAGCAGCAAAGTCCCCAACAGCCGAGCTCCAGGATGCCTGGCTGTCAGAACTCCATGCTGAGCTCCTTCCCCGGGCCCCGGGCTGCACGAGGGAGGCGGCAGGCAGGAGCCCCCAGCCCGGCCGACTCACAGGAGCCTGGGGTCAGAGCTCACACGGACCAGGTGGCCCCGTCCTCAGCGCCCTCTTTTCTAAATCCTCCACAGCCCTGAGTCCCTCCTGCTGCTGGGCGCTATTTTTCCCTCCAGCAGCTCCTGTCTTCCTCCTCCGTCCTCCACTTCAGCCTCCAGCCCACACTGCGTTACCCGTGCAGAGCGCGCCGGCCTGCTGCGTCCTCTGCGAGCCTCACTCGCCTCTCCGTCCTGCACCGTTACTGCCTGCCACCTGCCCAGAGCCCTCGCTGGCCTCACCGCCCACCACGCTGCAGATTCCTAGCTGGCAGCATCTTCTTCGTCCCATTTCCAGGCAGGACTAGGGCCTGAACCCCAGGCAGGCAAGCTCTCCACCCTGAGCTACATCCCTGGCCCCTTTTTAAATTTCTATCTTAGTTTGACACAGGATCTCAGGAAGTCAAGAAGCTGGGTTGGGGATTTAGCTCAGTGGTTTCACTGCCTGCTGTGCAAGTGCAAGGACCCCAGTTCAATCCCTGGTACCAAAAAAAAAAAAAATAAGTCAAGAAGCTGCCCAAGCTGGACTGGAACCTGTGCTCCTGCTGCCTCAGCCTCCTGCACCACCACACCTGGCTGTGTTTCCTAGACAGCAGTGGTCTCCAGCCCCCGCTCAGGTTGTGACAGCCCTCTGCCTGGTGGTGACAGGCAGAAGACAACTGCATATGGACACTATCGAGCGACAGTGGTAGCGTGGCTGTGCCTATAATCCCGGCAGGCTGGGAGGCTGAAGCAGGACAATCACAAGTCCAAGCCGAGCCTGGGCACCTTAGCAAGACTCTGTCTCAAAATAAAACACAGAAACAGGCTAGGGATGTAGCCCAATGCAGAGGCCCTGGGGGTCGAATCCCCAGCAGTGCCAAAAGAAAACCAAGCACAGAGGAGAGCCTGCAGGCTGAGGCCGGCGCAGGGAGGCCAGCTCCACCTTACCGACTTCGCCCATCACCCGCAAGCCCTCCTGGTAGTTGGGGCCACCTCTCCGGACAAAGACGGTGACCTCGTGCTCCTTCAGGGGGCCCTGGTAATCTCGAATGGCTCTCACGATGCCCTGCAGGTGCAGAGGAAACAGACGCGGGACTGCTCACCACGACAGGAGGCTCGGAACATCAGCTGTGGGCAGCGGGCAGCAGCAGTGGCGGAGCCCCCAACCCCTTCCTTCCTCCCCTGCTCCCACCCCACACTTGGACCGCCAAGGTCAACTCTGACTTCTTCAGTGTTTTCAAAACACGTGTGCAGCCGGCACAGGCGGCATGAAGGGGGGGCCCGGGTGTCACTGTAATGACGAAGGGATCCTGGGGCAGCCCCTCGAAGCGGCCACTCGGGGATGGCCATCAGCCCTGTCGACTGGCAGTCAGGGCTTTTGGGTTCTTTTTTCCCAGTACGGGGGACAGAACCCAGGACCTTCACGCTGAGCTGCACCCGCAGCCCTTTTCATTTTTTATTTTCAGTCAGGATCTTACTAAGCTGCTAAGTAGCCCAGGCTGGGCTGGAACTTTTGATCCTCCTGCCTCAGCCTCCAAAGTGCTGGCTAACAGGCGTGCCTGCCTCACCGGGTCTCTCATTTTCCTTACAGCCCTGACCCGTGCCCGGGCCCCAGATGGGATGTGGAGGCACAGGTCATCCCTGTCCCCCGCCTGTCCACTGGGGAAGGGGCCAGGGCCAGGAGATAAAAGGCCGGCACGCGCAGCCCCCAGAGCGAGCAGTGTGGGGCCAGGCTGATTGGGCCAGCGCCCCAGGACCGGGCCTGAAGGGGAGCAAATCTCGGCCTCCCTCGGCCTGGGGGAGGCTGGGCCCAGGGCACAGCGGCTGCCAGCCCAGAGCCAGAGCTTCAGGCCCATAGCTCCTGCCCAGGGCCCAGCCTGGACGTGGGGCAGCTCCATCCCCCCACTGACAAGGAGGGGGCAGGGACGGCGAGTGCTGCCCACGCCCGGCTCCGGCCTCACGCCCCCGCACACACCCCAGCCCCCACTCACCTTGAAGGTGGCAGCCACGTTGGTGAAGTTGGCGATGCTGCCTCCGATGATGAGGATCTTGCCTGCATTGGAGGAGTTAGGAAACGCTCGGAGGACTGCGCCGCAGCCGCCCCACTCCAGAGGCATCAGGAGGGACTGGGCAGGACCCCCAGAACCCAGCTGGGGTCTGGGCACCCCGGTGGGCCCCAGGGAGGGGACAGGAGCCGCAGACACCGGGCAGGCACCACCCCAGGCACCGCTCCAGCAAACGCCGTCTGCCCGCAGCCCGTGGGAAACAGGCCCTGAGTTACATGAGCAGCTGGACCACAGCCTCGGTGACTCCTGGCACCAAGCCCTTCCCGCTGCCACGCGCGGGGGGCCGCCTGGGAGGAGCAGGGTGGGTGCGTGAGTGTCTGTGCCACCTGTGCCGCGCCTCACCATCCGGGTGCTTCTCGCGCGTCATGAGCGACAGGATGGTCTTGGCGTAGTCGTAGGTCTGCTGCTCGCTGGGGGCGCCCGAGTACTCCCCGTAGTTGGCCAGCTCATTGACACCCCCCAAGTCGCAGATGGTGTCACTGCAGGGAGACATGCGCTCAGGGCTGGTTTGGGGCACGGGCACAGGGTACCGGGCGCTAGAGCCGACCCGACCCGAGGTCTCCCATGGAAGTTGCTGCGCTGTCCAGGTCTCCTGCCTGGGCACAGTGTGGGCCGAGTGACAGAAGCGTGCGCTGGAGGAGCCTGGCGAGCACCCGATACACACAACCCCAGCCACTCAGGGAGGGGCAGGGCAGCGGCTACCGAGCTTCTGGACAAACAACTGCAGGTGACTACCACGAAGAGTGCAGACTGTGACCCCAGTGGCTCTATGAACTGCTAGTATTTCAGCCAGGCGTGGTGAGCCCGCCTGTCATCCCAGCGCTCAGGAGGCAGAGGCAGGAGGATCGCAGCCTGAACTGCACAGGGAGACTTTGTCTCAAAAAACAAAATAAAACCAAAACAAATGGCATTGCCAGCCTGGGACGACAGCGTAGTAAAAACACCAGGGCCCTGGTCAGAGCGAAGCAGGGAAACACCAGGCAACCTTCATCTCTGGTTCACTTCCTGCATTTGTCACACTTCTGCATGGGGTACATATCCCGAACTCAAACTCCAGCACGGAGGAGGCCAAGGCAACCGTGAAATTGAGGACAGCCTAGGCTCAAAGCACAAAACAAAGCAAAAGTTCAGGGCTGGTGGGGCACACCGGGAATCCGGGACTTGGCAGGCTGGGGCAGGGCGACCACAAACAAGCTCAAGCCCAGCCTGGGCAGCTTAGCAACTCAGTGAGACCCTGGCTCAAAATAAAAATGTTTATATTTTTTGTCCAGTGTGAAGGCCCTGGGCCCCAAGCCCGATCATTTCCAAGCAGACCCAGGCTGCAGAAGAGGCCACTCGATTCCCCGTGCCTGTCCCACAAGGCCCTGCCCTGCAGCAGGGTAGGCGCCCGGACCCCAAGCACAGCAGTCCCACGGTCACCTGTACACCACAGAGGCTCCGCCCCCGGCCACCATGGTCCAGATCCGCCCCTTGGGGTTCAGCAGGGTCAGCTTCAGGCTCGCCCCGCTCTTGGCGTCCAGGTCTGCGATGTAGGCTTCCTGGGGAGCAGAGACCGGTGGCCTTGGGGCGGCCCCTCCCGGAGCCCAGACCCCCCCCCCCAGCACCTGGGACACTGATGACATCGAGTCCCAAGTCCCCCAGGCCACTGTCACCATGGTGCACAGTGACACAGGGCCACGTACCCCACCCCAGCCCTGCCTGTCACTGAGGGCTGCAGGAGCACATCTGTAGGACCAGGGCCCAGGGGGAAGGAACGCTCCCTTCCTCCCTTCCTCCCTTCCTCCCTTCCCAACAGCCAGCAGCCAGCAGGGGCCGCCTGAAATTATCGTGGGAAGAATCAGATCCAGACAGAGCCCTGGGAGGCTGATTGCGGCAGGGCTAAGAGGCTTTCTGGCTGGGGTTCAGAGGCTGGGCTGCCCCGCCCCACCCCACTGGGATTTTAAGCAAATTAAATGCTCCTTGCACCTCCTTCGGGCCAAACACTCAGCCTGGGAGGGGGCCAGAGGCTGTCTGGCTGAGTCACCCCACCCCGCCCCGGCCCCTCGAGACCCGCCTGACCTCAGGATAGGCCTCCCGCCCGAAGGGGGGAGGGAACTCCATGTCGCCCCACTTCACTTTGCAGATGTAGTCGGCCGTGGCATCCACCTTTGCCGCCAAATCAAGGACGTAGACGCCATTCTTGGTCACCACTGCAAGATGAGCAGAGGCATCAGACACGGCCGCTGGCAGAGGCGACCAGCAGCTCCCAAAGCCTACACCAGACACCCCAAGGGTTCGCTCTCGGGCCAGGGACTTCGGATCCCAGCCCGAACCCAGAGTGGCCTCCAGAGACACCCAAGCAAAGGGAAGACAAGTTCTAGGCCGGGTGTGGGGGCCAACACCTGTAATCCCAGCACTCTGGGAGGCTGAGGCAGGAAGACTGCAGTTCCAGCCCTGCCTGAGTACCATAGCCAAACTCCTTCTTAAAATAAATTTTAAGGGCCGGGGATTTAGCTCAGTGGTTACACCGCCTGTCTCGAAAGCACAGGGACCTGAGTTCGATTCCCGGTACCAAAAAATTAAAAATTAAAAAAATTAAATAAAATAAAATAAATTTTAAGAGCTGGGGATTTAGCTCAGTGGTTCCGCCACCTGCCTCGAAAGCGCAAGGTCCCAAGTTCGATCCCCGGTACCAAAATAAAACTAAAAAATAAATTAAAAAATAATAAGAAAATAAATTTTAAAAAGGGCTGGAGATACAGTGCATCACAAAGCTCCTGGGTTCAACTCCTAGCACCGGAAAAGGAAAAAAATTCTCCAAGACGATTCGCGACTCCCTGCCCTTTTCCTAATAGGATAGGGAGGTCCATTAGTTGCCATGGCAATTTTCAGACGTCTTATAAAACGAAGTGCCAGGCGTAGTGGTGCACACCGGCAATCCCCCTACTTGGGAGGCTGAAGGAGGAGGATCTCCACGAGCTCAAGGCCAGCCTGGGCTACACAGCGAAACCCTATCTAAAAACAGAAAAATAAAAATGAAGAAGTAAAATGGTATACTCTCTGCCTTAAATATTTAACCATTCACCCATCCATAGCCCTGCCATTTAAAAGTACCTGCTGGAGATGTGCACAGTCAGAGTGTGCTTAACATCCCTAAGGCCCTGGGTTCAATTCCCAGTACCAAAAATCAGTTAATAAAATACAAACTGGAGCTGGGCATGATGGCCCACGCCTGTGGTCCCAGCACTCAGAAGGCTGAGGCAGGAGGATTGCCATAAGCTCAAGGCCAGCCAGAACTACATAGTGAGACCCTGTCTCAAAAAAATAATTTTTTTAATAAAAAGCAGGCATGGTGGTGCACGCCTGTAATCCCAGCCCTCAGAAGGCTGAGGCAGGGTGGTCAAGGTTACCCTGGGCTGCTATAGTGAGATCCTGTCTCCATACAACACAAAACAAGGGGCTGGGGATTTAGCTCAGAGGCACCTCGCCTGCCTCACAGGCGCAAGGTCCTGAGTTCACAAAAAAAACAACCAAACAAACAAACAAAAAACACAACAGTAATTTTTTTTTTTTTTTGTACCGGGGATTGAACTCGGGTCCTTGCGCTTGTGAGGTAGGCAGCAGAACCACTGAGGTAAATCCCTGGCCCCACAACAGTAATATTAAAGACTAAGAAATAAATCAGAAGCACTTAGGAGCACGTAGCTGGCAGAAGCCCCAGGTCTGCCTGCCTGGACTCCTGGTGAGCAGCCAGGGCCTGAGGCCAGGCTGGGAGAAGCCTCAAGTGCTGCTTGCCAGCAGGCCCAGTGCCTGCCACCTCCAGGGACACTGCGCGTCCCTTCCCGGCCTCTTAGCTAATTAAGTCAGCAGGCGGCCATCTGCTCATAGCCCGAGCGCCTTCTTCCCGGGCTCAGCCTGGACTTTGCCCTGGGGGCCTGGCCAGCAGCAGCAACCACCCACGCCCCCCATGCCAGCTGCCGCCTTCACAGCCGCAGGCCTGTGCTCTGCTGGGGTCAATGACTGACCAGTGCGGGCTGAGGCTGCAGGCAGGCGCCGGCGCGGCACCAGCACACTGCCTCTCCAGGCCCAGGGCAGCGAGGTCTGGGCCGTGACCAGGGACCCTTGGCCCCGCACCCGGCGTCAGCCTTACCCAGGGGGTTGATCTCGAGGTAGGTGAAGTACAGGTCCTCGTAGAAGTTGAAGAGGCCAGAGATGAAGCTGGCCAGGACCCTGCAGCACGGGGAGGGGCTGTCAGCCCAGGGGCCCGGCCCCGCCCCACCATCACCGCCCTGTGGGGAGCGCCCCCACCCGGTCCTCAGTCCTTGCACACCCTGGGCCCTGGACATCACTCTTGGCCACTGAGGCGGAAGAGAGCTGCCAGGCGTGGGCCGGAGGTGGCAGACAGGGCAGCCGGAGGCTGGGGCAAGGCTGGGCGCATACTGATTCTGCTTCTGCTTCAGCCCTGCACCCTCCTCCTCCCCGCTTCCCCCTCCCCATCAGGCCCTCACTCAACTCTTTCTTATCCTCTGGCGCCTGCACCAGCAGGTGTTTCTTGATGTCCTCGGGATACAGCTTCTCATCCACGCCAACCAGCAGCTTCTGGGCTTTGGTGTCCACGTCGCCCACGTCGACCCCGCCCTCGTGGTGGAAGAGGACAAGGTCGCCATCTCGAGTGGCATAGATGCACACGTAGAACTCCTCCGCCTGCAGGGCGGGGCCCGGGCCGGTGAAGCCAGGACAGAGCGGCCACCCTCCCCTCGGGGACCAGAGACAGCCACTGCCCCTCCGGGCTGCCCTGGCCCCACCGGCGGGTCCAGCCTTCAAGTCCCTCTCATCCCAGCAGGGGAGGGCCCCTGTCCCCTGCCCTAACCGCCCTGGGGACTCCTGCCTCAGCCCCTGGGGCAGCTCGGAGACCCTGGGCCTGGCCTCTCCTGGCGGCCCCACCCCTCCTCCCTCACCCTAGGGGTGGACGGAGGGAAAGGCCCAGCCTGCGCCCCTCGCGTACCTGACTGTGTGGCACGAAGGGCTCGATCAGGAAGTTCTTGAGGAAGCCCCTGGCCTTGCCCACCTGGGAGAAAGTAGGGAGACAAAGCTTAAGTGGGTGGCACCTCCTGCTCCCAGAGGCACAAACACCGGGCAGAGTTTCCAGAACCCAGGGCAATGGGGTCACAGATCCCGAAACTCAAGGAGCCCTCAGGAGAGCAGAGTGTGGTGGCGCACGCCTGTCATCCCAGTACTTGGGAGGCTGAGGCAGGAGGATTGCCCTGAATTCAAGGCCAGCCTGGACTACATAGCAAGACCCTGTCTCAAAAACGAAAAAACAGAGCACAGCATCAAAAGGCATCTCACTCCCATCCAGGCCTTGAATTATCCCAGATCCCTGGCAGACAGGGGGCCCGTGGAGGCAGGGGACGCTCTGCCCCAGCTGAGGAGGAGCCCAGGAGTCCAGCCTCGAGGCCAGCGGCCTGCAGAGCCAATCAGGCTGAGTGTGGCCCTGGCTGCGGCGGAGGCCAGACAGACCGAGTGCCCGCGCGACCCCCACTGGCTGTGCATCACTGCTGAGTCAGGGACCAGGCGGTGATCCATCAGAGGTACTGAGCCAATGCCACAGCCCGCGTCCCTGAGCCCCTCCCGAGGCTCCCTGGGGACACCGCACAGCCGCAGCCCCAGGCCCACGCTCTCCCCTCTGTCCCCAGACCCTCGCAGTTCCAAGGGTCCCTCTCTTCCCTCGAGGCCAGGCGCAGTGGGCAGGCTCTAACCCAGCTGCTCAGGAGGCTGAGACACGAAGCCTGCAAGTGGAAGGCCAGCCTGACCCCTCCAAGGGACCCTGACCCCAAATAAAACCTAAATAGCCGGGGATGTAGCTGAGTGGTTCCAGCGCCTGCCTCACAAGTGCAAGGTCCCGAGTTCCATCCCCGGTACCAAACAGGGTGTAGCTCAGTGGCAGAACACTCGCCTAGCAGCCACAAGGCCCTGGGTTTGGGCCCCAGCACCTCCACCCCGACAAGACCGCCTCTGAGGAAGCCAGGAGGGGGCCAATGTCTCCACCGCCAGCCGCCCTACACCAGCACCCAGTGCGCACATCACACAAGCTGCCGGGGAACCCCAGGACCTGGAAAGAAGCAGCCCAGAGCCATCTCCACAATGGCCGCCAGCGGCACGGGCGGTTGCGCTGGACAGAAATCCAGGGACTCGGGCGCGCTGGCCCTGGGCTCCTTCAGCACAGCTGCCCACGCCACCCCTCGCCCACTCACCGTGGTCTCCTGGCCCAGCCGGGGCTTCAGCCAGGACTTGACCCCGTCAAGACTGAGGTTTACCCCAACCAGGCCCAGCTTCCCCCGCCGCTTGATCAGCTGGTCGGGCTTGACCACCAGGCTCTGGAAGGAGAGGGGTTTGTACTTGGTGTGAGCGGAGGGGATGGGGACAGCTCCGAGAGCTCCCTCACCACCCTGCCTAATGCCCCGGGCAGGCGGGCCAGGCAGGGGTGGTCCTCAGGAACACCCAGCACTTCCCTACCCCATGGGGGCCCTCAGGACAGGCCAGCCTCGATCCCCAAGGGAGGACGGACACCGCCTCGGGGAGGGGACTCCAGGGCCAGCCGTCACCATCCCTGTGTCTCCTCCCTCACAACAGCCCCAGGGGGCAGACACACCCCCCACCACTGGCCTGGCATCTCAGTACCCCTGCGGTGCTGGCCCCGCCCTGGGACCCTGTGGGTCTGAAGGCTGCAGCTTCTACTCTGGGCTGAGCCTGGGCAGCTGCTGCACGGCACAGACACAAGGTCGCCCTTCCAGCTGCCCAGACAGAGCGTGCACGTGCCTGGCCACCTACTGCTCCCAACAGGCTGCTGATCCTCCAATCACAGGGTCAGCCCAGCTGACAGATGGAAGATCTAAAGCTCAGAGCTGTGTCACGGCTTGCCAGCCACAGGGTAAACAAGAGTCCAGTCCTAAGGCCGAAGAGGGAGCCTAAGACCCTGCTCGGCCCCACATCCCCCGGGATTTGGAGTACAGGACTCCTGGGTTAGACACCCTGCAAACCTTGGTCCTCCTGGGCCCGAGGCCAGCAGGGCTCACCTGGGTCAGCAGCCAGGGGTGGTCCTGCAGCAGGCGGGCCCAGTTGGTGTCAGGGGTGACCCGGGCATACTGGAAGCGGTTCTGCAGGGCTGAGGTGGTGCAGATGTACTTATACAGGAGCTCCTTGCCCGTCTGCTCCGAGATGGCCTTGGCAGACATGGCTGCAGAGGGACCTGCTCTCCCTGTGAGAGGTGCTGTGCAGTTAGTGGGGTCAGGGACGAGGAGCCCGGGCAGACCCCATCCCCACCGTCCCTGAGCACCACTCGAGGCTTCTCTCAAGAGGGAGGAAGGGCTGCCCTGCGGGACGGACAGAAGGCTGTCCCCCCAGTGAGAACAGTGGGACTGACACAGAGCCCCGCTTCCCTGACCTGGCAGGAGGCACGCCCTGGCCTTGCCTGCCCCATACCCCAACACACACGCACCCCACTAGGCCAGCAAGGTTGCCAAGCCTCCTGCAGGGCCCCACGGGGACAGCCTGGATGACTCCACCTCGCAAAGCAAACCCCAACCTCCCCATGCCCACCCCAGCTAATTCCCCTTGACAAGCAGACGCCCACCGACTACAGGGCTGACGACAGAGCTGACCTTCGCCACACCCTGCCACCAATGAGTCAGCTGCTGCTCCCTCAGAGCACAGCGCAGCCCTCCCTGGGGACCACCCTGCTGTCCCTTCTCACTGGGCAGAAGCAGCCGCCTGGTCACGTGCAGAGAGCCTGGGCTGAGGCTGGGGCAGAGCCCTTGCCCGGCGTGTGCCTGCCAGGCCTGGGTCTGGTCCCCAGTCCCTATGAGACCAAGGTACAGAGTCACAACCCCTTTCTTAGGTGAAGAACCAGTTGCCCAAGAAGCTCATTAATCAGCAGGACTTGAACCCAACACTTACCCCGAAGCCCCCAAGGCTGGCGGGAAGGGGCTCAGCAAAGAGCATCCCTGTGGTTCCGAGGGTACGCCCCACTCCTCCACCCCCACCCACTCCAGCCGTTTCCCAACCTTGACTCAGACCAGAAAAACTGGTCCTGAAATCGAATGGGTGCACCCCCACCCCTCCAAATGGGGCAGATGGGGCAGAGAGGAGGAGCAGGGCCTGGCGAGGCTGGGAGACAGAAGCCCCTGCCCAGCCTCTCCAGGACATAGGCTCCTGCCAGGCCATGAGCGGAAGGAAAGGAACGCAACCTTTGGCAGCAAAAGAAATCACAATTTCCTGAGACCAGACTGAACCTGACCCAATGGCCCATCTCCAAAGGGTCACTGACGGACAGTCAGAGAGAAGGCAGGAGAATGGGGACTCGGTGCTGGCTCTGGCTTGGACGGGGAGGGTGCGACAGGGTACACACAGGGAAGAGCCTGACTCTGCATGCTCACCACGGCAGCGGCAGCAGGCTCAGTAATCAAGGGCAGAGCCAGGCCAGGGAGGAGACAAGAGAAACCTCCACATCGGGGTTTCAATGTCTCCCCAACTCTGCTCTTGCACTCTCTAGCGTGTGAGGAAAATGTGTGGGTCCCACCAGACAAGGGCATGTGCTCCTAGTAACAATACGTCAAAGTATATACCAATCTGGGCTTGGGGGTCCCCCGGGCTGAGGCTGCCTACCCCATGGCTGAATTGTTAAAACTTGAGGGAGAGGAGCTGGGGATTTAGCTCAGCAGTTCCGCCGCCTGCCTGGTAAGCACAAGGTCCCAAGTTCGATCCCAGGTACCAAAAAAATAAAAAAATAAAAAATAAACTTGGGAGAGACGGTTTCAGGGCAGAGCTTGGGCCCCAGGATTGTCACCTGCTAACAGGTAAATGCACGAACCATTGTAGGTAAGAAGTCACGGTGTGGAACGGGGTCACCCGTGCACTGAGGTAAGGGTGCTTTCTGCAGATGGGGTGACCCGGGATTGAGTTCACCCAGCAGCCCTGAGGCCGGCAGCAGCCTTAGGGAAGCTGAATGAAAGGAGCCCGTGCTCTTGGCGGGCACAGCTGGGACGCGGCCAGGGCCAGGAGAGGAACGACAGGGCGCTCTCAGGGCCCTCCTGGGAAGCATGGTTAGAGTCTGTAGAGTTTGAGTTTGCTAAGAGCACGGGAAAGGGGCAGAACTATTCGGGCGCTCTCAGCCTCGCTGTGTCAGAGGCGCCAGCTGTCCCGTGCCTGGGGGGCTCTGCCCTCACCGCCCCCCCGAGGCTGTTTGGGAAGCTGAGAGGTGCAAGGTCCCCCGTCCAGCGGCTGTCCCCCAGCCCCTGCTCCGAGAGGCGAAGTTGAGGCGTGGAGAGAGGGCCGAGCAGGCAGGGAGGCGGGCAAGCGTGGCAGGCACCCCACACCTCCCCTCCCCAGCCCAGCAGATCCCGGCCGCACCGGGCAGAGCCCGCGACTGCCAAGGCTGGAGAGGGCAGCAGCGCCGGCGCGCGGGCAGCATCCTCCGCCCCCCCGGGACGTGGCTGCATCCGGACGCCGGGGCAGCTGGGAGGCGGGAGGCCGCACCCGGCCCCCTGGCGCCGGGGAAGGAGGGTCCTCACCCCGCGGCCTCTACCCCGGCCGCTCTCCACCCGGCCGTGGGGCTCCGCGGTGCGCACAGGCCCAGGGCAGGAACGAGGGCGGCCGGAGGACCGCATGGGCACTGAGGTGGCCCGGAAGAGCCCGGGAGCCTGAAAGGCGGGGAGCGGCGGCAGCGGCCGGGCCCGCGCCACCCCGGGGGGCGACTGTGGGGACCACGAGGTGCGGGCTGGGACCCCAAACTTGGGGCAGGTGCAGCTGCACGCCGCACACGGCCCCGGCCTGGGAAGGGAGGCAGGGAGCTCCGGGAGAGAGCTGGACCACCCGCCGGGGACGGCCCCGCACTCACAGATCCTCCGAGGTCCGCTCCAGCCCGCGCCCGCACTCCGGCCGCCCGGGGCCGCCCGGGAGTCGGCTTTTGTCCGGGTCCGGCACGCTCCGCCCCGGGCGCATCGGCTCACACCCGGCGCGGCACCGCGATTGGCCACACGCGTTCCCTAGCCCGAGCACCAGGACTCCTCCTCGTTGGCTGCCGCGCAGACCCCGACCCCGCTCCTGAAGGTTGCTGGGACTTGTAGTCTCATGTCTTCGGCGGGCTCTGGGAGGCCGGGAGTGGGCGGGCCCTCGGATGAGGAGATGGGCGGAGCTGCCGCGAGCGGAGCGAAGCGGAGCGTGCGCGGCCAGGTGCTGTGGCCTGATCTCTGCGGCCGGGTGGGGTCCTGCACGGAGTCGGGTGCTGCCCGCGAGTCCGCAGAGCTGCTTGGGGGACCTGGCTGCCTCTTTATTTTTGGCACTGGGAATCGAACCCAGGGCCATCCCCTGGCCTCTTTACTTTTTAGGATCTTGCTAAATTATTAAATTGGCCAGGCGGGGCGCGAACTTGTGATCTTCCTGCCTCAGCCTCCTAGGGTGCTGGGATGACAGTGTGCGCCACCACGCCCGGCCGAACTCGCTTTTTAAGCAGCCGTGGCAGACAGCTCTCTGGTTCCCACATCGTCACGGTGCTGTGCCCCGCCATCAGACTACCAGAGATGGGACAAGGTGGCCGGTGGGGCTGGGAGGCACCAGTCACAGCCGCAGGCCCTGATGCCTGGTCGCCTCGGTGGGCCACGGGATGCTGGGACCCCTGCAGCCCGCTCTTCTCCCATCCAAGCTGAGGCTGGACACTCAGCCGACCCCTCCCGCCCCCTGCACCGAGGCAGACAGGCTTTCACCAGGTGCTGCTGAAGCCAGGTCCTGCAAGCCCCCAGCCCTGCCGGAATTTGCACCCCACAGCTGCAGGCAGGGAGCCAGAGCCCTGCAATGACTACTCAGGTGATGAGGTCAGCCCAGAGCCCAGGATCAGCAGCTGGCGTCTGCCAAGCACTCCGGTCACACGTGCCCAGCCACAGCATTGTGACACTCTCGTGGACAAGACATCCCCATGCCCTGGCATGCCCCTTTCCCATCCCTTCCATCTCATTCAGCCTTTGCAAACAGCAGCTCCAGCCGGCACGGTGGCCCACACCTTTCATTCCAGCACTCGGGAGGCTGAGGTAGGAAGATCACTGCAAGTTGGAGGCCAGCCTGAGCTATGTACTGAGTTCAAGGCCAGCCTAAGCAACATAGTGAGACCCTGTCTCAAAACAAAAAATAAATAAACCAAAAAAGAAAGAATTACAGTGGAGGGCCGGGGATTTAGCTCAGTGGTTTCTCCGCCTGCTATGCAAGCACAAAGACCCAAGTTTGATCCCCAGTACCGAAAAAAATCAAAAAACAAAAAACAAAAAAACAATTACATTGGAAGAGTAGAATGAGTAGAGAGGAGATACAGACAGGAGGAGGTTCTTTCTGGGTGTGTCCTGTTCTAAAACACCTTTGTCCTGGATTCTTTCTTTTTTGAGACAGGGTCTTGCCGTGTCCTCCTGCCTGGCTTCCAAGTTACAGCAATTCTCCTGCCTCAGCCTCCCAGGTGCTGGGATGGGAGGTGTGCACCACCACACCCAGCTCAGCCACCTGTCCCCAAGCAGCTGGAGACGGACAGAGCTCCCAGGAGATGAGCCTCACAGCCCACCCTCCTGGGAGGCTGCCAACCCCAGAACACTGCAGGGTGCTCCCCGGGCTGCAGCCCCCCTCTAGGGATTCAGGATGGGGCTCAGTGCGCAGCCTGCCCCTCTCCCAGGTAGCCTGGACCTGTGCCTGTCCATGCACATGGACACCCTCGACCAGTCCACATGACCCACTCAGCCTTATCTTGCGTGCGGCTTTCTTTCTGCTTATTATTGATTTATTATTTCTGCTCCTTATCTCTCCGGCCAGGTACCAGGTTTGGAAATTCTCTCCAAGCCAGGCAGCGTCAGAGGTAACCGTGCCTGCCAACATGTCCATCAGACACCAAACTGAAGAGATTAGGAAGATGCCTGAGCCGGGAACATGTCGGACCCCAGCCTGGGCACCCCAAGAGCTGCCCAGCAGCACCTCCATCACAGTCACAGGAACCCAACCTGCCAGGCCAAGTATGGTGGTCACACCTGTCATCCCAGCACTGGGGAGGCTGAAGCAGGAGGATTGCCACAAGTTCGAGGCCACTGGGATACACAGTGTGACCCTGTTTCAAAAAACAAAGCAAAAACCTAGTAGAGAGAAAAAAGCCAGACAGAGCAGAGCAGGACTGGCACTACCTCCTGTGCACTTTCACTTGCCAAGGTGCCTGAGGCCTGGGCCAGCCCGGCTCAGCTGGGTCCTGGCGCTGTGGCCCAGGGCCCCGTGTGTCACGGCCCGAGTGTTTTACAGTGAGACCAGAAAAGGGCTGCTCGCTCCTGCCGGGACTTATACCCACCAGGGATCACAAGTCATTGTGATGGGGCTCCACTGTGCCGTTTAAACCGGCTTTACTGAGATGTAATTAATGTCCCATAAACTGCACATACCTGGTGCTGAGCGGATGGGCTTGGCATGTGTGTGACTGTCACTGCAGGCAGGAGACCTGCCCTTTGCTCTCAGGAGTGTCCAAGCCCCCCAACCTGGCCCGGCCCCTAGGCAGTCACCACAGTACTTTACACTCAGGCTGTTTAAATTAGTCTGCTTTTTTTTCAGTGCTGGAGATTAAACCCAGGGCCTTAACACTGAGCTGCATCGCCAGCCCTTTTAAAATTTTTTATTTTGAGACAGGGTCTCACTAAATTGCCCAGGCTGGACTACAGCTGGTGATCCTCCTGTCTCAGCCTCCCAGAGTGCTGGGATTACAGGGTTACCCACTCCATTTTTTTAAAGGATATTTACATTCAGCATTGTTACTTCGCCTGTTTTCTTATAGATCATCTCCACTCTGGTCCTTTGGAACTACACACTGGTGACAGTGACAAATTAATACATATTTAGAATTTTCGGCAGTGAGTGGTGGTGCACACCCAAAATCCCAGCACTCTGGGAGGCTGAAGCAGGAGGGTGCAAGCTCAACCCTGGGCAACTCAGTGATTTAGCAAAAAAGGACTGGGACTGCAGCTCAGTGCAAAGGCTCCAGGCTGTCTCCAGTAACAAGAAAAAAGAAAAAAAGAAAAGAATTTTCTTTATAGCTAAAAATGGAAATCTTGGTTTTGTTCAATGGTTTTTGCAAGAGACAGTTTTGTTAAACTACTTACAGGTGGAACAGCACCATAATGAGTAGGAGTTTCATATCGGAAGAGATATAAACCTTTTTATCTATTTTTCAGACAGGGTCTCCCTAGGTAGTTTAGCCTGGCCTCAAACTCAGCAACCCTCCTTCCTCAGCCCTCCGAGTGCTTGGATTACAGGCACGCTAGCCCTTCAAAAATTTTTGTTAGTACACATGTGGGACAATGAGTGCTGTCAAGGTGAGGAACCAGCACCCCGACAGTGACTCCTAATCTTGTTTCTCTCCCCGTCTCCATTCCTACAACCCTTTCCCATCTCCCAAGCGCCCACTTCCTTGGTCATTGATCTTTTATTTTCCTCTGCAAATTATTTATGCTTCGGGTTTCTCACATAAGAGAAACCGCGTCATATGTAACCTTCTGTCTGATTTATTCACTTAGCGTGGTGGTCTCCGGGGCGCCCACTTTCCTTGGGACAGCTGCTAGGGGTGGCGGCCAGAAGCCCTGGCCCTGCTGTGGATGTGGGAGGCCCCTATCGGGAGAGCCGCGTCCAGCCTGCCACTCGTGGGCGTTCACTGACTGTTGAATCTGAAGTCATTTCCCACTGCAGTCTCTGACTGGAGGTTTTAGGGGTAACTCCCAGTGCCAGGGATCCCAACAGACAGGGTGCAGCCCCAAAATGCCGATCAAAGAGATAGCATCGTGAAAGCAGCTTTTATCAGCCTGGCCTCGCTGGCAGGGACAGAAATTCAAGGCTTCAAGACCTATTCTCTTTGAAGGGCTGACGAAAGCTTTGTGTTTTGTTTTGTTTTGAGACAGGGTCTCACTGTGTAGCCCGGGCTTCCCTTGAACTCACAGCGATCCTGCCTCAGCCTGAGTGTGTGCATCACCGCGCCAGGCAGCTTTAGGCTTTTACAGAAAACGGAAGCAAAGGCGCTGGCTGCGAGGTGCGTATCATCCCGGCGAGCTTGGTCTACTTGATCGGTATCTCAGGACTGGTTCTTCGAGGTTCTGGGACAGCCATCTTCACCTGTGCACGACACGGCTACGATCCCAGCATTCAGGAGGCTGAGGAAGGACTGCTTCTAAGCCTAGCACTCTGGGAGGCTGAGGCAGGAGGACTGTAATCTGGAGCCCTGCCTGGGCAATCGAGACTGTTTCAAAATTTTAAAAGGGGTGGGGTGGAGGAATGTGGCTCAGCCCAAAGGCCCGGGGTTCAATCCCCAAAAAGGAAAACAGAGAGCCGAGCTGCTAAGGTTCATCTCAGTTACCCACTCCGCATCTGCAGGCCCAGCCTCTAAGTGCCCCGTCCTTTCTTGGAACTCGGCCTCCACCCGTCTGGCTCTCGGGGCTGCCTCGCACAGGATGCGGCCCACGTGGCCGAGCCAGGCGGCCAGCACCCATTCGGCAGCCGCCGGGCACGCGCTCGTCTCCTGTCTGCTCCGAGGTGGTGGTGACGGCGTGTGCGCATGGGCACAGCCCGGGGCGGGGCCAGGGCGGAGCCGCGCTCCAGCCGGGCGGAAGTCACCCCGCGTCTGCCGGTTGCTAGGAGACGGGCTTCCCGCAGCCAGGCCGAAGTTCCGCAGCTCCTTCTTTCCCTGCCAGACCGCGATGGCGGACCCCGAGGCTGAAGTCCTGCGCAGCACCTTTCCGTCCTACATGGCGGAGGGCGAGCGGCTCTATCTGTGCGGAGAGTTCGCGAAGGCCGCCCAGAGCTTCAGCAACGTGAGTGGGCCGGGCCCCTCCATCCGCGGTGGCCTGGACTCCGGGGCGCGGGGCGCTGATCCAGCCGATGCCGCGGCACCCTCTGTGTCCAATCCCTTCGGATTCCTGATTGACCAGACAAGCCCGGGCCCGGGGCTCCGCTACCCTCCAGTACTGGGCTCTGCACCTGGGCCTCCTCACCCAGCTCCATCCTCAGCCCCCACCCTTTTTTTTGAGGCAAGGTCTTGCTAAATCACTAAGTCACCCAGGCTGGGCTCAAGCCTGAGATCCTCCTGCCTCAGGCTGCCAGGGTGCTGGGATGACAGGTGTGCCCACCAACGCCGTCGCTTGGTCATTTTCTGTCAATTTCTACTTGGTCCTTCATTCTCCAAATTAGGAGTGAACCCTCCCTCTACTTTTATGTAAATGTTTGGCGACTAACCTTTCACAGAACAGCATCGATTTCCAGTCAACGGCCGGGCGGCTGCGTGAAGAGGCTGCAGATCTCTGGTGCAGAGCCGCTTATGGATAGAAGGTGGTCAGAAAATATTAGCATCGTTAAAAGAATCTTAGTAGAGGCCCTGGGATTTAGCTCAGTGGTTCCACCGTCTGCCTCAAATGCACAAGGACCCGAGTTTGATCCCTGGTACCAAACAAAAAAAAAGAACCTTAGAAGAAATTAGGTTTAGAGTTTGGTATAACCACACCTTGATCGGAGTTGAATGCTATTTCAAGCCACCAAACACTGATCAAGGCAGCACACGGCTGGGGATGAGGAACGATTCTCACTGTTGGGTGTGTGTTGTTGGTAGATGTTATGCCCACCTTCAGGGCTTGGCACACAGCGACATCGCATCGTGATCCTTTCCCCTGGACCCAGAGCCGGGTCCTCACGCTGCAATGCGGGCCCACAGTTAGCACCAGTGACCCGGAAGCTGTTGTTTTACAGTTCCTGTGCTGCAGAAGGCCCACTGCTGCTGCTGGGGAGGGAGGGTGCTGGGCTCAACCTCGGCCTCACACAGGCTCCACAAATGCCTCTCCCTCCAAACAGAGCGGTCCACAGCCCGCTCATGGGCCCAAGAGTGACGCTAAAACCACAATTCTCAGCCGTCACCCAGAGTCTGGTGTCCCTTTTGTCACTCATCACATGGTAACAACAGACCCAGACCCCAGCAGGTGAATGCTGGGTTGGAGCCCTGTGCCCTGCCAGTCCTTCTGCTGCACCCTGCCCCTTCTGGAGGAGCCAGGCAGAAAGACAGGCGCCTCCAGGGAAGGTGGCCTGGCCAGAGATGTGGGTTCATTCCAGGAAAGGGGTAGCGACTTCCGCTTCTTCGGAAGGCAGGAAGGTCTGTGGCAGGGGCACAGTCAGCCCAGGCCTCGTGAAGGAAGCAGACCACAGACTGTGGTGAGCTCTCCTCAGGAGAGTGGGGTGGGGCGTGGGGAAGGGCCCTGCACAGATTCAGTTTTCCCAATCCTGATCCTGAAATGCCAACAGCTCCCCATTAGCTACAAGCCAGGCGCATCGGTGCCTACCTGTCACCCCAGCTACTCTGGAGAATGAGGCAGGAGGACTGGCATTTGAGACCAGCCTGGACAACATGGCAAGACCTCCTCTCTCTCCAAAAAAAAAAAAAGGGAAAAAAAGGACCGGGGATTTAGCTTAGTGGTGCTGCTGCCTGCCTCACAAGTGCAAGGTCCTGGGTTCGATCCCTGGTACCAAAAAAAAAAAGCCAGGTGTGATAGCACCTGTCCTCCCAGCACTTGAGAGGCTGAGGCAGCAGGATCACTGTGAATTCAAGACCAGCCTGGGCCACATAGTGAGACCTTGTCTCAAAAAAAAGTCCCCCAAGGCCTGGTGTCCCCTGCCACCAAGGGAGGTGGGGCCACCCTTCCTGGAAGCCAAGCCTCCGGGCCCTGCCAAGCGCGTGGTCCTCCCCAGGCTCTTCACCTTCAGGCCGGAGACAAGAGCTGCCTGGTGGCCCGCTCCAAGTGCTACCTGAAAATGGGGGACCTGCAGAGGTCCCTGAAGGATGCCGAGGCCTCACTCCAAGGCGACCCGACTTTCTGCAAGGTGGGGGACACGAGGGCCCTGCTGTCCCTGCTGCTGTGGCCCCTGACGACAACAGCGGAGGAGCCGGGATCTAACTTTCTGTCTCCACAGGGCATTTTGCAGAAGGCGGAGACGCTGTACACTATGGGGGACTTTGAGTTCGCCCTGGTCTTCTACCATCGAGGCTACAAGCTGCGGCCCGACCGGGAATTCAAAGTGGGGATTCAGAAAGCGCAGGAGGCCATCAACAACTCGGTGGGAAGTGAGTGTGGTGGGGCCAGGCCCTCATCAGGAGGGCTCTGGGGTCACCAGGTTAGCGGGGGCCTGAGACGCAGCGGGGTGGGTGGCAGCCTCACACACAGGTTGGCTGTTGCTGATTTTTTCTTTGTGATTGAGACAGGGTCTCGCTCCGTAGTGCAGGCTGCCCTTGAACTCACTACGTGGCCTAGGCTGGCCTTGAACTCCAGATGATCTTCCTGCTTCAGCCTCCCAAGGACTGGGATGACAGGCGTGTGTCCTCACACCCAGCATGGAGGAGGGTCTCAGAGGCTAGGAACTACCCTGAATTCTCTCCAAGGGCACTGAAGGGCTGTTTCATAGTAGCCTGTGCCTGGAGTCAAAGGGCAGACAGGGTCCTCAGCCAGCAGCCCCAGCCCTGGCTTCCTCCCTCCTCCAGCAGCTCCTTAGCAGGGGAGGAGGAGGACAGGAACAGGTTGCCCATGGGCAGCGCAGGATGCAAATGGTATGGCACACAGGGTTGCGGGCCGCCCTAGGGCTCCCCGGCCCCCTGGTGGCGTGGCCTGGCCAGGCAGTGCTGGCACATGAAGAGGGACGACAGGTCGTGCCCAGGGGCCGGGCAGCTCAGCCACACCTGTCCCTGCAGGTCCTTCCTCAGTTAAGCTGGAACACAGAGGGGACCTGGCTTTCCTGAGCAAGCAGGCAGAGGTAGGGCACCTGCTCTAGGCCCTCCTGGTGGGGCACAGGCTCTGGGGAGGATCTTGGGGGGCATATTGTATGGTTCTGGGGCGAGGCGGGTCCCTGTGCTCCTGGTCCAGCCCGGTGTTCCATCCCCAGAGCCTGAAAGCCCAGCAGCAGCCCCAGCCCAGGAAGCCGCTGCACCACATGCAGAGGGAGGTGAAGCGGAAGGGCCTGCTCAAGAGCGAGAAATCGGTGCGCCAGCTGCTGGGCGAACTGTACGTGGACAAGGAGTACCTGGAGAAACTGCTGCTGGACAAAGGTGCAGGCTGTCGGCGCTGGGAACGGGGAAGGCGCAGGGCGCGGGCGCGGGCTGGACCTGCCTGTAGCTTGGCTGTCTGTCCTGTGGACAGGTTCTTGGAGACAGGATCTCACTACGTAGCCCGGGCTGGCCTAGAACTCAGGGCCATCCTCCTGCCTCAGCCTCCCGAATGCTGGGATTCCTGACATGCGCCACCACGCCCGTCTTAGACTGCTCTCTGCCGGTGCAGCGGGAGGGGGCAGACCCCCACGACCTGGGGCCTCCAGGGGGTTGCCTGCCCGAGAAGGGCGCCCCCCCCCGTGGACCCAGCGGGGTGCTCAGGCCCCAGAGCCCGCTGCGCCTGGCTGACCCGCCTGCGCCCGCCCGCAGACCTCATCCGGGGCACCATCCGGAGCGGCGTGACGGTGGAGGACCTCATCCTGACGGGGATCAACTACCTGGACACCCGCAGCAGCTTCTGGCAGCAGCAGAAGCCGATCTACGCCCGAGAGCGCGACCGGAAGCTGATGCGGGACCGCTGGCTGCGCGACCACGGGCGGACCCCGGCGCAGACGGCGCACTACGTGCTCAAGAGCCTGGAGGACGTCGACCTGCGTGCGTGGGCGAGGGCTGGAGGGGGAGGGGTAGGAGGGCGGGGCAGGAGGGCGGGGAGGGGCCGAGCCTCAGCCCCGCCCTCGCCCCAGTGCTGAGCAGCGGCAGCGCCGAGAGCAGCCTGCAGAAGGCGGAGAAGGTGCTGAAGAAGGTGCTGGAGTGGGGCCGAGACGAGGTGCCCAACAGGGACGAGCTGCTGGGCAACCTGCACAGCTGCATCGGGAACGCGCAGCTGGAGCTGGGCCAGACCGCAGCCGCGCTGCAGAGCCACCGCCGCGACCTGGAGATCGCGCAGGAGCAGTGAGTCCCCAGCCCTTACTAGTTTTTTAAATTCTTTCGTTTTCCGGTACCGGGGATCAAACTCAGGACCTTGCGTTTGCAAGGCAGGTGAGGCGCCACAGAACTAAATCCCCAGCCCAACTTTTTAGATCTTCAGTCTGACGCTCTTCTAGCTGAGCTATCTCGGCGGCCTCAGCCCAACTTTTTTAAATTATGAGGAAGTAAAAAAATTTTTGTGTGTGTGTGGGGTTGCTAAGTTGCCCAAGCTGGGCTCAAACTTGAGGTCCTCCTGCCTCAACTTCCCAACCCAGTATTTTTATTCTTTTTTTTTTTTTTGGTACTGGTGATCAAACTCGTTCTTGCACTTGCAAGGCAGGCGGCGGAACCACTGAGCTAAATCCCTGGCCCAGCCCAGTATTTTTATTCTTGCCTGATCTCAACAAGCATGCATCACCAGACATGCCAGCTCCCGCCATCACGGGGGACACAGCAGTGACCACACACAGGGTCAGTTCCCAGCAGATGTCAATCGAAAGCTCCTACAGAGGCTCACCGGGACGGAGAGATGGTCGCTGGGCCTGAGGTGGCCTGCTGGGGCTGTGGTGAGTGGGCAGGGGAGCAGGTCCTGTAAGCATTGTGGCACATGTCTGTCATCACAACCCTCAGGAGGCTGAGGCAGGAGGATCGAAAGTCCAAACCCAGTCTGGGCAGCTTAGCGACTTAACAATACCCTAGGGGTCTTGAAAAAATAAAAGGGCTGGGATGCAGCTTAGTTCACAGGCCCTGGGTTCAATCTCCAGTATGGCAAAAAACGAACAAATAAAAACAAACAAATAAACCCAACAGCACCTAGCTCAGGTGGAAGGGATGCCGATCCTAAGGTTGTGGGCCAAGATCCGTGGACAGCAGGCTGCACCCCCAGCATGGCCTGGGGGCCCGGGGACAGCGCCCCACGGGACCGGTCACTTCCTGGGTGCTGCCTCCCGCCTTTTCCAGGCCGCTCCTCTCCTGACTCCACCTTCCCTCAGCACCCAGCACCAGGAGCTGTCCCTGCAGCCCCACGGAGGCCACCTCCCTGCTGCCTAGGCCCCTCCAAGGGCCCGCATTTAGGCCGACCCCCCACGGGTCCTCCTGGCTCTGTTCCTCCAGGCTCAGCATTGGCCCCAAAGAATGGGACAGAGACCCTGGGGCCAAGACAGCAGAGCCAGATGAGGAAGTTGTGGGTCTGTTTCCAGCCTCCTGAAGCCATGCAGTTAGGAGGCCACACAGACACTGCCTTGAGCCACGAGGTCCTGGCCACTCAGCCCTGCAGCTTCAGGGTCCCTGCGGCCCTGTCCACTCCAGATCCCCACCCCTGCAGGGACTCCCGGCCAGAAGCCCACTCCCCTCCCTCCCTACCACCCACTTGCTCCCCTTCTGTGCCTCTGGGCCCTCAGGGACCACTGGGTCACTGTCTCCTGGGACCCGCCCTGAGGGAAGGACAAAGCCAGGCCCGGGTAAGCACCTGCGCCCAGCTGAGCCCTACGGTGCCCGGCCCTGGACAGTGACGCCTGCCCTCCCTCTGCCGGGCTTCCTCCTGTCCCTCGGCAGCATTCAGAGAAGAGCCCTGGCCAGACCTGGGGTTGCAAACCTGTGATCTCCACACGGACACTCAGGAGGCTGAGGCAGGAGGATCACTGTGAGGGAGTCCTCGGACCACAGCCTTCCTGGCCTGGGCCCATCCTCCTCCAGCTCGAGCCCCAAGTCCTGAGGCCAGGGTGTTTGTTTGTTTGTTTTGAGACAGGGTCTTGCTGTGTAGTCCAGGCTGACCTCAAACTCAACAGCGATCCTCCTGCCTCACAGGCCTGTGCCACCACTCGAAGGCCAGGGTTTTGTCTCCTCTGTCTTCGATGTGCAGAGGCGCAGATTCCTGCTGAGTGGCTTGCTCCCCCAACTCCCCACAGCAACCTCCCTGATGCAAAATCCAGAGCCCTAGACAACATCGGCAGGGCCTTCGCCCGGATTGGGAGGTTCCAGCAGGCCATCGACACGTGAGTGAGGGGCGGGGCAGCCCTGTGCCTGGCACTCTGGCCCTCCCAGCCCTGGACACCACTTTAAACTCTGGGCTTCACTTAAGTGAGATGATGCAATAGAATCAGCATCTCCTCCGATTTCCCAGCAGACAGCCACGGTGGTCCACGCCCATAATTGGATCACAGGTCTTTAGGCCCGAGTGACTTGACCTCTCCTCTCCCCTGGAAATTTGGACTCTCCAGGCTGGGCTGGGGCTCAGGAACTGGTTTTTACCAACACGGGATCCTTAGGCTGTGACCCCTGGGGAAGCTGCATGTGACCCCATGGTCAGGTGGACGGGGTCCGCTTGGCCCCGCAGAACCATGGGAGCCCCAGGCTCAGCCGCACTTCCTGGGGAGAAGCTGTGCCGGCAGCTGCGGCCCTGCGTGACTCGGTTTCCCCTCACCCTCAGTGTGTGCATCCACCCTTACTTGCTCCTTGCCCAAAACTGCTTTATAATACTGATGCGCTTGTGGTTTAAATATTAATTTGGAGAATACAGAAAACTAGTAGCAGAGCCAGGCATGTTGGCAAACACCTGAATCCCAGCACTCTGGGAGGCTGAGGCAGGAGGGTCCCAAGTTCAAGCCCAGCCTGGTGAACTCTGGCAAGACCCTCCCTCAAAACGAAACACAGACCAAGGCTGGAGATGGAGCTCAGTGTGAAGCATCTGGGTTCAGTCCCCACCACTGAGAAAGAAAGTGCTCAAAGTAAAGCAGCACTGCTATCCAAAGACAAGCACTAATTCTACTCATTATTTTTTTGATACCAGGGATCGAACTCGGCTCCTTAGTAATTCTACTCTTGTCGATACTTTTGTTTTTCCTTCTAAGGTTTTTTCTCTGTTGATTTTTCTCTCTTATAAACATATATATGTGTGTGTGTGTATA